GTCACGTGGAGCTTGAGCATGCTTGAGCTGTGCTAACATCAGTGATCACCGACTGCTGAGGCACACACAGAGGGAACATCAGGGAACTAAACCGTTTTCCCGACCTTTCATTCTACCTTTCATGTTTAGACCTTTCATTTTAAAGCAGGGCTCCCACTCAGCCCATACAGTGTCACGGCAAGAGGGCTCCAAGCTGCTCCAGGGCAGCGTGGGGTATTGCAGCGCAGCGAGGAACTCACACCGTGATTGCGTTGGAAGCCAACTCACGGCGTGATGTTGTGCAAAGCATCCTGTTGAAGCAAGGACCTTTAGTACCAGGACCCTCCGACAGGTCACCAATTGAGACCTGTTAGGGTCCAACAACCCTCAACTAACAGCCTGTTGGAGGGTGCTGGTATATGAATTCTCATCATCCGCTCGTACAGTGTCGGGGTAGAGTAAAAATGGTCTATACCAGCATTCGCAAAGGAGTGGTGTGGCTTGTCCCATCCAGCGCACCCCGCGCGGGGCAACTTCGTCGGATAGCACCCAACTCGCTCTGTGAGTGGTCACCGTTTTGGTGTCTCGTCTCGCATGTCCACTGTCCCCGTCATCTTGAAACGGCACAGGCGAATGGCACTCGAGTATGGCGGAGCTTGGAGCAGCAGGCCGGAGATCATGTGAGCTCCGTTGGTGCGGCATGCTTGGTGGCGTTGTCACAACGTAGAAGACAAACCCATCCTAAAATGCTTCAATCTTCTTGATCTTGTGCAGTGTTTTTTTTAAAGATGTGGCCAAAATGAACTCAAGATGCAGGTATCCTGATCGGAAGTCATAAGATGCACTACCACGAATTCTGTAGGCTATAGTCTCTAGGTCCAGGTAAAATTTGACAGCCAACATTGACATTCACTCTCGCCTGGGTTACTTCCTGGGTCACGGGAAAATCCATGGAAACTGATGGAAACTCCGAATCCAGTCACCATTAAGTGTATGTTTGCGCACGTGCCCCTTCTGGAGATCCACCGAAAAAGAGCTCCAAACAGTGGCACCCTCCCCACTCCAAACCAAAACCGCTCCAACCATATCGGTGCTTGGGGTGGGTGGGTGGTTTCGGGGAGTCCGTCCCCACCGGTTCCGGGCGGAGGATGGGCTGGGAGCCCGCACCCCGCAACCGGTTCACCTCGGCACCGGTCGCGGAGAATCCGCCAACCGCAGGAGCTCGGAGCAGCGGTGCACGTGCCGAACCGAGTGGAGCGGGAGCAGAGGGGGGTTCTTCACCACATCGGAACCGCCCCTAGGGATCCAGTCGTACCGAAGGCATCTGGACCCTGGAACCCACCCCAGTCCCACCGTACCTCAGAGGGTACGACTGGATCCCGGATGGGCACGCAAGCAAAACCACCAGCATCCTCCAAGAGGTCACGACGGTCACGACGTTAAAGGTCTGCAAAACCACCGTTTCGGAGGCCTGTTGGAGGGTCCTGGAAGTGATGTGTTTTTGGAAACGTTTTGAAACCTGGACCCTCAACAGATTAAGAATGTTCATCACTGACTATTGGGATTTCTTTCCTATTGGGCCGGTTTGGCCGATTCCAACCAAAAGTGAACCGTCTCAACCAAAAACGAACGTTAGCGCTGCTCCTCTTCTTTTTTTGATGCGCACACTTTAACGTGTCCAATCAAGTGGAAAGCCTGTAAGCCACAGTGCAAACAAGTGTGCTATCAATGAACGTCTGAGTGGGTCCAAGTGATTCTTGTTGGATAGCACGTCCCTTTTTCCACTCATCATCCCTGCCAAGGGAAACCTCTCTGAAGTTCTAGTTGTGTGATGGGAACTCGATGAAATCCTGAAGACCATCAAAAACCCAAGAGTACAGAAATCCGGATTTGCGTACTTTTGCAGGTTTTTGGGTACTATTTGCGTGCGGTTGCGTACTATTTTGCGGATGTGTTTATGTACGTGTTGTTTCTTGTACCCTTGGCATGAAAAAGCAACTGTGCAGATTAAATGTTGCATATCGAGCCGAGTGAATACCAATAGCAGCGTTTGATGGATGCTGCATGTCTGAATTAGTGGGGGCTAACTCAGCATCCAGCTCTTCACAAAGGTGAATGCTAGGAATGAGGTACTTTTGTGTTCGACCCTGTCAGCATGGCTTCAAAATGCTGTTAATTACAGTTGTTGTTGCAAACCTCCAAAGTTCAAGCTTCCTATCCTCAGTCCAATAGTCCAATCAGATAAGTTTTCATGAATTGAACGATTCTCCTTGCTCAACTCCAATTATGGCACTATTGGGCCAGAATGTCCAGTTTGAACGGTTTCAAGGTTTTGCGACCTTTGAAACAGTGTTTTACTGCTTTAATTACCAAGGATTTTAGACGACCAAACCCGGTCAATCCGAGCGCATTCCAACCCTCAGAGATGGTCATCATGACCGGACGGATGACGGATCCCTGTCGCCGCACTCTATGGCGCCGGCCACGAATACCACCAGCTTAGTAGGCCATCTTGGCGCTGTCCAGGACTGCAGTCCGAACATGGCCTACATGGCCGAAGGGTGGTGCCGAAGGGTGGGGCTTCCAGGGCGCCATGTATGGCCTGAACGGAGCTCCCAGCCGTTCTGACGCCCCTGGAAGGTTCGGGTAGCTACTACCCCAACCTCGTGTGAGCGCTGGGGGAAGTGAGGCATGCTCCGGTGGTGGTCGCAGGTGGAGCTCGGACTCCTGACGAAGCCTCGCAGGGCCAAGCTTTCGGCTGGGAAGCGCAGGGAGTGGGGTGAGGTGGCGAGTCGGGAGTCACCCAAGCAGCTGGCGAGGAGCCAAGCAGCTGGGGAAAACTCGTTGGAGATAATCTGAGAGATTCAATTCCCTCAAGGCACAGGGTTCCAGTCTCACATCCGAAGTCGGTTCGGTGGTTGGGCGGGTGGTTCCAGCTGAGTCAGTCCCCACCGAACCTGAGGATATGGGCCAGGAGCCCAAACGGGATTCTTCAGAAATATTATGAAATATTCAGAAATGACTCTGGCGGGCCCTGTACAGGAGTCTGGATGCATCTCATCTATCTTGCCCCAACCGATCCCTGCTCACTGTAGTACAGTACATTGATTGTGTGAAGTGACCTTAAGTGAGATTATTACAGCTCATGCAAGGCACCATAACACTTCAACAGCTCATCTTGACAGTGGATGCAGAACCCCCCATATAACCCCCCAGTAGTCCTGATTTTGCTTGAGGTGATGTGGTTTATCTTCTGTGCATCTTTTTAAATGTTTTCCAGGTTGCTGGATGGCAAATTCAAATCCAAGTAGTGGAGTGACCGCACTGGGCACTGGCAGACGGTCGGACTGTTGGTTTTCGAAGATGGACAAGTTTTGCCAAGCAGAGTGGCAACTGGCCTATAGTGGACCATGTCAAGCCATTCTGCAGGTACTGTACCCTCCAGCAGATCAACATGGACCCCAAAACCATTCCCGTTGGTCTTTACTCAGAGGGTCGAAACCACCAAAGGGGCATCCTCAGGGTTTCTTTGGGATCGTCCTGCAGGTACTGAGACGGTGATTCCTCCGTTCGATGCCCCAAAAACCACCCTGCGTTGCGTGGACTCGTGACCAAACCTTGGGAGTCCGTATACCGACCCAACAAGCCCTCGTCCAAACAGCTCCAGTCTGACCCAATAAAACCTCATCATATATACCTCGTTGAGTAGTGATGACGTCTATGATCAACTGCAGTAAAGTGAGCTTAAACATCACGAACTGAAGAAGTTGGTATGTTTATTCTTCTCCCCGGATGCCACCTGTTCTCGAACCTATGGAGGGATCGCTCAACCAAACCGGGAGGGGTCTGGCGGACCAGACATGACCAATCCCGGTTTTGAGGGACCAGTCAGACTGGTTTTACGCACGTTTGGGCGAATCAACCGTCAACATGAAAGGATGCAGACTGGAATGACTGGTTTTGGTTTTGTATCAGGTGTGCACAAATTGCTGATGTCGACCCATCAAGACGCGGAAGAGTGTTGTCCCAGGGTCTATGACGGAGGAAATGCATCCGGATCCTTTTCCTCAGTGTTTGTGAGTACCTGTGGCAAACCTGCAAACCAAGTGATGTGTCAATATGGGTTCTTTTTGAAGAACAAGACATGGAAGATGCGCTAATAGAACGGAGCACAAGCCTGCTGAGTGTAATGCAACCTCACAAGCTCCAACTTGGGTGAATGACCATTTTGGTTGATGCAACACTTCACATCAAAGATGTAGACTGTAGACTCTTGATTCACAACCCCCCCTGCCCCTACCTTGTTCATATTAGGGTGAAATATCATCAAACGTCTACATGACTTACATGTCTTCTATCATGTTCGTTGTAGGGAAACCATCCGTTTTTGGATCACTCTGAATGAGTACTATACACCTACTTTGCTGCCCGCGCCGCACCGCCACTCAAAGAGCTTGCAATTGCAAGCGCCGTTCGACCGTTTCACTGGGCAAAGCCCATCTAGAATCTGGACATCATGGCACTAAGTTAGCAACCTCGGTTGCTAGCATCGATGCGGTCGATGGTTGGATATCCCTCCTAGAAGATGTCCCCCATGAGGGCACCACATGACATGGAGACTTCAATCCGAAGTGGAGAATCAGCCTTCCTTGCGGAGTTTCAGGGAGACAAATGTTGAGATCAAGGGATGTCTATTCCATATCTATTCCCTAAACTGGAGTGACAAGTGACAAGTCTGAGCAAGCTACCCAGCTAGAGACTCGGACAGCGGCTGAGGATTCCACAGGGCTTCAATCAGATATAGGGATCCCTGGTAATATGATTTAATCTTCCGCTTCTGGGGTGAATCCCCTTCTGCATGGGAACAATGATTGGCCCAAACTCTGAAACTTTGGCACCGAGATTCGTCGGTACATTCAGCTTTTGCAGAGCAGCTGACCTCCCTCCTTCCCCTAGCCCGGAAGCCCGAGCAGATCGCCGGCAGGTGGAGTTCGTTCCGTTCACCTTTAGAAAAGGCTGATTCCGATCAAAAGAGCTCGACAGACCCAGACACGCCAACAGCTCAGCCTTCGTGGTGACCACTTTTTTTGTTCACCAGTCCACACCAGTCCCCCGGTCTGCCCGTAGGATAAATCCTAGTACCATCACCCACAGCCATGTGACACACACCAACAGATTGTTTGCATCCGCTTCCTCTGCCATTGCAAAAGCGATGAACGATGAAGAGGCCAGGTGTCCATGACGTTTTTTCTTGGACAGATCAATGTGGTTTGATGGTCGCACGGCAGCTGAGTGTATGATTTGTGTGTGTGTGTTGATTCTTTATCCCAGACCATCCATGTGTGTGAATAGGTACATAATATATACATGAAAACCACATGAAAATGACCCCAATGTAGGTAACCATTCCAGTCTCATGGATGGTCTGGGTACGTTCCTTTGTTTGTGGCTGGAGAATCTGATTGTCTCCGGAAAAGTCTCTCAGTGAACTCATCAGAATTGCTGCTCAACTGCTATGAGGACAGTTTTTGCTTACTTTACAAAAGCTTACCCTGACAGGGTCGACCCGGTCGATGAACAGGTTTCAAACCTGTGGCATGTTCCATGTTTGAAGGGGAACTTCAGTGGGGTCCAGGTAGATATCAGGCATTACAAGAAGCTACGTTCGGAGCATTTCGAGCGATCGGACGCCGAACGGAGCAATCGGACGCGACTCGATCGGGGCTCCTCGCCATACTAGGACTAGGAACAAGAAGCTACTACCCAGAGGCTCATGGACCCTCAAACTGCTACGTGTTTGAGGTCCAAAACCCTGGCTATGAGGGTCCAATGAGCCTTTGGGTAGGTCCAGATCCAAGACGTGCGGTGCCCTAATAGCGTACTAGTAGCGTCCATTGTTCCCACTAGTAAGGCCAGGAGCCCCGATCGAGTCGCGTCCGATCGCCCCGTTCGGAGCCATGCCCGAAATGCTCCGAACGTAGGGATTTCTGGTGGGTTCTTCTGCGATCGTTCCGTTCGGTCCAGATTCGTGTTCATGGCGGATCATGGCCTTTCGGGGATGGTGGATCACGCTGCTGGTGGGTCCAAACCCAGACCAGACGAATGGGATTGGAAGAGTGACCTACATTGAGGGATATACATGCCCTAGGGATCCAGTTGTACCTTCTCAGGTACGGTGATTGAAGACTATTTATGTAGGCGCCAGGAGGGCCCAGTCATACCGAACGTGAGGTTCGGTATGTGGATCCTTAGGGATGGGTAAGATGTTGGGTCTGTCCTATGACCTGTAACAGTCAGGAAACAAGCAACTCTCTAGAGAGGTCGGCCTGCTAAGCATCCTCCACTGGGCCCAGGATAGATCGGACAGACCCAAGGTAAACCTGTACCCCCCCAAAAAAGCCAGAAACAGTTCTGGTTGTTCCAATATGGCGCCAGCTTGAGATCCTTTACATAGCAACTGGGGGACGGTGAAAACATATGGAAACATCCATTTCTGGTTGGGACTGGGTTTTCAGTACCCGTTTGGGCTCCTTTCCCATCTCCTCAGGTTCGGTGGGGACTGACCCCCTGAAACCACTCACCCCAAAACCCACCGAACCGACTTCGGAGGTAGGCCAGGAGCCCTGTCACGGGATTGTAACTCCCTAGGCCTCCAGTCGTATCGTTTCGTGGTTGGTGGGACTGGGGGCCACGGGGGGCGGGGGGTGCCATGGGACCGGGTCCAGTCAGACCGAACCAGGTTAGGGACCTACTCGGAGGTGTAGGGACTATTCTAGACATGGATGGTGTGGGTCGACGGTCTTCGGTGACGCGCGAACGAAAACCCAGTACGCAGCACATGAGGTAACAACTCACCTGAGTGCGCTTTCCTTCGGGAAACCTTGACATGATCCCAAGACGGCCATATTTACCTGGTTTGGGTGCTATGTTTTCTTTTTGAGGCTGCATCTATTCCAGTAGACAGGTCGTCTGAAATGGACACATAAAAGCACCATGTCCATCCTCTCCTGGACTGTCACAAGCTCCACTGGGCGGGTGTTTCAACCACGCGACGATGCGAGGAGAGCGAGGAGATCTCAGATGCCACCCTCGAACGCAACGACACCATGGAGATGGAAGAGGATGGAGATGAGGCGGGACGGTCGGACGGATGTCGTGTCTTCTTGAATGCAAACCGTCAAGGATCCGCGGAACGGAGATTCAGGATGCGCGGAACGGAGTACGGAGATACTGGTTTTTGGTTTGGGGGAAGTGGGGGGGGGGTTGATGGTGATGTTCCCAGTTCCCGGGGGGTGCATGCCCTGGCGAAGATGCTGTTGATGATTGGTGTGTTTTCCCGGTGTCTGAATACCAAGTGATGTAGACCCTTGATTAATAAACCCTCCCTTTGAAGAGGATGTTCAATTCAAATGGGGGGGGTGAGTTGCTCCAACACTTCGTTGGTCATGATACCCTGTCGTTGGATCTGCTGAGCCTTGTTGCACACCGACAAACAGGGCGTTCTCAAACGTCCAGAGGGTTTTCCTTGAATGCCCTTCAGGTCAATGACCTCATTTCACTGGAATTGGTCCGCAATCCCACCACCACCCCATTCAAAGTGGGCCTGGTCTCGTTCGAAGTGAGCCTGTATCTCGCGCAGTTGAGTAGCACCTGATATATACCGATGCGTCAACATTCGCGTCCTGGGCCGTTCGTCGGTGCAACAAGATCATCGACTCGGGGGAGACAGATGCGGTGCCGAGACCGAGGCCCTACGTAGCTCACAGTCCCTGTAGACCTCCAGTCGTACCTCCTCAGGTTCGGTATGACTGGACCCTCCTGGCACCCACCCCAGTCCCACCTTCTCAGAAGGTACGACTGGAGGTCTAGGGAGTATGTGTGGACCACAAATTTCTGCGTACCAGTTCTGCATGTCGAAAGCACCTTTTGTGTGACCCGACCTTCAACTTGATGTTGGCGACCCAAGATGAGAGTGTCAGTGTCAGTGCAATGCAGGAATTGCTGTGGTTCCAGTTTTGCTGCGATGCTGAGTTTCTTTTGGATGTCCCCCCTTGCTACCGACAATCTGGGTGTGGTCGACTCCCAAATTTACTAATTTAGCATAATGAATTAACAAAAAAAGGTAAAGTGAGTCTTATATAAACTGGATCTCACTGACAAAACCTTGGCTCGGCCAAATTATAGTTTGAGCTTTTGATTACTTTTATTCGAACTGACTTTTTGTTTAACAGTTTTAACATAAAAATGACTTGAAAGACCGTTGGTTTGTTAACGTTTGTGAACGTCATGTTGGATAACCTATTTTGATACCTGCAACCTCGTGGTTTTTTTTTGGGTTGGTAGTTCAACATACCAAGATATTTAGGTCACGGTTTGTGAACCACACATATAAACATCCGCTTCTGAAATAAACATCCGTTTAAAAAAAGAAAAAAACGTTCGGGGAAAAAAGAAAACGGTTGTAGCTCACTAATAAACGCCTTTAGCTTGCGTATAAACGCCCGTGGAATATCAGGAAAAATCAGAAAACTAGAGAAACATCCGCAGACTCAAATATAAGGCTGTGACTCGAAAAGATGCTTTTCACGCGGCAGAAAACGGAAAAAAAAAAGAGCACTCTGAGGAAGTTCCACATATATAATGCATTGTGCGGACATCAATTCTCGGTAGCAGTGGGGATCTGAAAATCAATAACGAACGTGACATCTTTCATCCCCAGTAAGATCGCCAACATATTTTGCTTTGGTGAATGCATGATTGATGCCTGGTCCGACATTCGTGCGGCATCTGATTATATACAATAAAACCCGAAAGCATTCCCCCGCCAGGGAGTTGAGGCCTCTTGGTGGGATTGGAAGCCTGTCTTTAATCTTCGATGGAAGCATGAGGACCAAATGCACTGGAGTTGAGGGCGATCTTGCTTTCTTTAGTACACCATATCCGCCGCCGTGCCGCACTCAATGCGCAGGTGTTCCACGTCACAGATTCCTATGTTCAATGAGTGTAATCGGTGAGTTTTCTCAGCGTCTTGTGACTGGTATGCCTCTAAAGAGTCTCTTTTACTGTTCTTTCCTGCGCCCTTGTGCCAACACAGGGTAAGTTGGGGTCCGTGGAAAGTCTCCAACTGAAAGTCCAAGTGTTGTTTTGGCCAGAGTTTTTTCAACGTCCTTTCGCCCGCATGGCGATTTGAAGTGATTGGAACAGGTCTTTTGACTGAACCACTTCCTGCCGGGGAAAAATCATCCGAGTGAAGAAGTCAGCAGGAGACTGAACCACAAAGGCCGAGTTCTCCGTTTAGGCCGCTTAGGCTGACTCTTCAAGAGTTCAAAGGACAGCCAAAGGGCTTGCCAGCAGCAAGAGACGCATCGAACCACATAATGATGTTCAGAAGTTTCAATTCCAACCTTCCAGCTCACACGGTCAATGGAGGGAATATGTTTGAAATTGGCGCCGAACACTGCCGCAAGGAACGATCCCAATATTGTTGCCAGACTCCGGCTTTCGGATGGTCTTACCTCCCCAAACACGGACTGCCAGTCCGGACTGCCGCCGCAGGGCACGACCCCTTTTTACACCACTGATGGGCCGTCCGATGGCAGTCCCATGTCCAGGGTCGTGTCCGGGCTCCGTACTGGGTACTGACACTCAAAGCGACGTAACTTATTTTTTTAACGGGTAAAATGCCGGGAGCCGGCCAAAATAGCTTTTCTGGCGAGGGAATATAGGGGATTATAGGTGCTTTCCCCCCAAAAGCCCCTCCAAAACCGGTGGATTTCGTGCATGCTTGCCGGCGGCATCGACTGGCGCCTTCGACCTGGGCAGGTCTCGGTGTCCTCGAAATCCTCGAAATCCTCGGAGGTCTCGGAGGTGGAGCAAAGTTCTCTGGTGCCTTGGTCGCTGTGGCCGGGTGGCGCGGTCTTGGAGTTCCGGTTCGGCGCCCCGAGGGTCGACGGCACCTGAAGGTTGGGACGCTGAACACATGTGGTCGCGACTGGGGCTCTCAACAACAAAAGCATACAAAAACAACGAAGTGCAGCAGGCAACCCTCAGAGGGACGTGGTCGCCATAGCTAGATTCATGAAGTGCCATAGCTAGAAGCAGCAGAGCCATTTAGGAAGTGAAAACTGGACACACCGAACAGCCCCCTTGGGGACGTGTCAACTTTTCCAGCATTTCTAACGACGTGAGCTCCAAAGGTACCTGGATCCCTAGGGAAAGGGTTCGCTTTCTGCCCTAAGAATCCGGGACCTCAAACAGATATGGCTTTGATGGCCCGGACCCCTGCCATGGAGAGCCCAAGGATTCTGAGGGTGATATAGTTTGAACCTAAGAACCCTTGGACCCTAAGAACCCTTGGACCTTCCCGAGCTCGGAAGCTCGGCTTCGCTCCAAGGCCATGATCTCGAGATATCAGGTGGTCCAAGACCACAGCTACTCGTCCTGCATCGGTGGTCCGGTCTTCCGGTGAACCTCCGACCATGCCCGGGCTGCGTACGGGCTGCGTACGGGCGGCCCATTCCGGGCTGCGTACGGCCCAACACTCTTAAGTGGGTTGTGGTGGTTTTGGTACCCCACACTGCACCCTCGTGATCATTCTTCTCAAGGGGCTAAAGGCCATCCCGTTTCTTGGAAATGGTTCATCTACTGTAAAAGATCTAAAGAGGCCAATGACATCCAATGGCCATAGTTCAGCTACAACCAAAACCCCTCAAAATGGTTTCGTGGGGTACTTCAAGCATCCAGCAGATGGGATGTTTATACTTTGGCCGTAGCTCAGTTTGTTCCTTTTTGTTTGTACACCTTTAGACCGTTGTTTCAATAGCTTCGCATCTTCAGCCTCCAAACTCTACCCTTTTCCGCCCTGGCCCCGCCTCACTGGCCTTCGTCCGCACCGTCCACCGGCAGGTTTCGACGAGATCCAACTTCCCACGGCCACGGCCGAACAGATCCGGCTGTGTTGGCCCCTTCGGCGGAACGGCCGACGTCACCGGTGCTTTCGGTGCCGACGGGACGTGGTGTGGCGTGGCAGAGGGTGTCGAGGGAGTCCCATTTGGCCCAAGCTGATGGTGGACAATAGGTGTTCCCACCAAACTTTCATGAAACAATGATGATGTTCTACAGAACAACGAAGGGGAGTGAGAGAATATGGAGTCTGGAGCTCGGAGTTGGGTGCGTCTCATCCTTGGTTCTTCTCATCCGGTGGACCTTTGGCGCCAAGCAATTACAGGTGAACGGAGCTCGCAGCTGGACCTGGTGTTGGAACGATGAAACGAACACGACCAGGGGCCCGAACCAAACCATGGAAAAACCAAGGTTTTACCGGTGTTCACAGACCAAACACCCATGCTATAGCATGCTATAGGGGAAAAAAACACCTAGGTGTTCTGATGGTGTGTTTCAGCCCGTCTCACTCGTCTCACTCGTCTCCGGTCTGAAGTCGGACCAGGGTACGACTCACTCGACAGGTCTGGTCGACAGGTCTGGGTGTCCTTTGTCCCAGACGACGGGGCAGGGCACTGTGGATGTTGTGACGTTCGGGGCACCCCGAGTCCTGGACTTCCTCCGTTCGGAACCGGCACCCGGACGTGTGACGTGACTGCTGTGTGGATCTTGGGCTTCGGAAGGGAAACATGAGGAAAGTACCGGAGGAACGAAGGTTGATCGAGTCCGAGAAAAAGAAGAGGTGAAAGAAGAAAGAAGACCCAGAAAGCATTCAGAACGAGGCTGGTGGTTTCAGAGATGTTCCGAGGGGTCAACCTTTACCTTGCAGGGAAGAGTTCCCACCCGAAGACTCCGGGTCCATTTCCGCACCGCGGGTCAACCGGACCCGCCTTCGCTGGTCTGGAGCCCCTCCAACCCACCCTTCTCTCCCAGACGGGTCGTGTATGGGTCTTAAAGGTTCTTCTCTGCCCGGGAGCCGGGGGTGACGATGATGTCGATGTCGCCGACCAGCAAGGGGGGTTCTTCCGCGCTGTTTCGTCAGCGCACCGACCCTGGGACTCCAGTGATTGCTTCTAAATAGGAAAAGTTCAAGCGGGGGATGCCGCGCCCAGTTTCTGTGTTCAAGAAACCCTTTGCAAGAAAAAAAATGGAAGAAGCCTTCGACCCGGACCCGTCACCTGGGGGTTACCGATCAGTTCCCCATTTCCGCCGATGCGCCCAGGGCCGCCTTTTTCGCCAAGATGCCCAGCCGCGAAGCGGCCGGCGAGGCGATCTACGCCGCTCCACCGGTGGGGGCGAGGCGAAGGGTGTGGAAGGTGTGTGGGGGGGTGGAAGTGCCCTGAACGAATGAAAACGACAGGTGTGGTGTGGTGTTTCCACGAGTGCGGACGCCATGTGGGCGGGGTGCCCAGGTCATAACAGGTGTGGTGTGGTGTGGTGGGGATCTTCGGATCGGTGCTTGTTGTTCAACCAACCAGCCCAGGCATGGATTTGGGCTTTGGACCCGGAAGAACCATTGTTTGACGGATGTTTGCAGTACAACACCAGGTCCACCATGTATGTTTGTAGCGGAGGCCTAAGGATTGAAAGACGGTTCTAAAGAAAGGTGAACTCTCTACCAGCAGTCACATGTCGGGGTGCTATCCATAGAGGTTAGGGGTGCTATCCATGGAGGTTAGGGGTGCCCAGCTACTCCACTCACTTAGGAACTGGGATTCTATAAGGGATGTTCCTATGGTAAACTCTCAAGCAGATCCATCGCTTGTGAAGTACTTTGCTTTTGCGTGACACAGTTTGATATCCTGGTTGGTCACAAATGGTTGTTTTTGGTGCATGTTTGAGGACTCACATAGCCTGAAAACCCAAACAACCAGAAATTCACGGATGTTCCAATATGGCAATTGAGATCTATCGGATCCCTTGTTGAAAAAAGAGAACATACCTGAATAATTTTTTGTCTCCGTTTTTTGTGTGGGGACGGAGGCCAATCCGTTTGGACGGGAGCCTGTGCCCGGAGAACGTGAGAGTGCATTGGAACCGAAAGCGAAGGCCCCATGGATCACCTTTTGTCACTAAGCAAACTGTGGAAGGGAAGGATGTTGGAGAAGGACTACCTCATTGCCATGAAGTCAGGTTTCATGTGTGCAAACTGCACCATGTGTCCCTTCTCCGAGCTGGGCATAAATAAGCATGCACAGACGCGCAGCGTACAGAAACGCGCAGCTCCATCGCATGTCCGCCACGCGTGGCAACTGAGGATGTTCTTATGGAAGAAGCCCCAGGTGCCTTCGTCGGTTCGGTGCCAAATGCAACGAGTCCGGCATGTGGGAACGGCGTCAGCACCGGTGCACAGGTGCAAACGGTATACGCACAGGAGTCACTTAAGGCTTGATTTCAGACTAAAAGAGTGGGAACGACATGGTGTAAAATCATGTAAGATCCCTCAAGAATGGGTTCCAGCAGTAACCAAGGGGTGCCCAGAACATCCACTCACGTAAAAATGGGACGAACAAAGCCACCCAACTCCATGTGACTCTTGGTTGTTTGGATTTCAGACTCTAAGAATTCCCTAGGGATCCAAGTACCTTCTCAGGTACGGTGATTGGAGACACTGTTATGTCGGTGCCAGGAGGGTCCAAGTACCTTCTGAGAAGGTGGCAGTGGATCCCTAGGGTTAGAATTGGTTCTTTGGGCCAGGAATCCAAGTCATGGGCACAACAGATGACCCGCTGCAGCACCGAATCGCTCCACGTGGCCGACGGTCATGGCACCCCGTCCAGCCCGTCCATGGGACTGGACTACATGGCACCCCAGACAGACCCCCTTCAAAGCAACCAAATGTAGGCAGATATGGCAGTCTCAGACAGGTCGTGTTTGAGGTATTGTTATGATACATTATACCCTCCTGGCCAGGCTGTTTGGAGACCTTAACAGGTGGTAACAGGGCGCACCGGACTTGTCACCAGGAAGCACCTGTGAAGTCGGGTGCTGGTATAGTTAACGATTCCAAGTCACGGACCTCCGTCCTTCTGCTCCCTCACCGACCCGCCTACGAGGCGTCGCAGCGCTCTTTAAGTCCGCTCGCTCGGTCTTCGGCCTCCGCTTCATCGAGGGCTTAAACAGCCGCGATCTGAGACCGCGAGAAGAGGGGATGGGATGGAAGAGGATGGGCGAAGACTGGACCTGCGGGTTTTGGTACGGTGACAGAGCGGTTTGTAGCCGTGATTCCTTGGGGTGTTGACATGGGTTGCTCCACTGAACATCAACAGGTGGTATATCACCTATATCTTCACAGGAAACTGAGGGTGTCAGAAGGAGAGAGCGGCAGTGGCGGCAGGTTTTCAGGGTGCGAGTGGGCTGGTGGGGCTGGAAGTGGGTCCGCATCCCAGGGTGAGCAGTTGGATCAGTTTGATGATGTGGCCTTTTTGTGCGGCAAAAAAATGGCCTTCTCGAATCCAAAAAGGTCCGACTCTTTGACCAGTGGCATCAGTTGGATTGTGTGCGCGGATTGGAGGGAGACCGAACAAATATGGACATTCTCACTCTTCCGTCCGGGTGTGGAAAGACGAAACGCGTCCATGGCGCTTCGTCGAAGGAAGGGAGGGAATTGGTGTCGTTCTGTTGACACATTCGCCACCCCAAAAAGACCAGTTGCAGAATCTGGAACAGGGAGACCCCCCAGGCAGGACCTGCTGCAAGAAGGAACATAGACCTGTCTACCCTCCGACTTGTTACTTACATTAGGCTCACAACTGGGGGGGAGCCATGTGAGCGAGCGCGCAGAACTATCCCGTGCACCATCGCGACCACATGGATGGGTCATTTTCATGGAGCACATAGGACTGGAACGATTCCAGTCCACATCGTCCTGTCTGGGATGAATTGGTTGATGTCAGCTCGTTGCTCCTTAGGCCTGGTCGTGGAGATCAACGAGCCAGCCGCTCTCAAGAAGCAGGCGCGGTCTGTGATGTGCGGATGTGCCCGTGGAGGTGGCTGATTTTTGGTACGACCAGACGAATGGGACTGGAATAGTTGCCTAGATTGGGGTCATTTTCATGGGGCTTTCATCTATGTAGGTATTCCAGTCCCTTGGATGGTCTGGGACCTATATATGGTGTACCTGGACCTTCCTAAGACAAGGGAGAACGTTTCATCCATTGAGAGCGAAGTGGGTGTTTCTTACTTTGATATGATGCCTTCTTACAAGTGCTTGATATGATTGATGAAGCGTATCAAATAGCGCCTTATCCACTTTTAGTTTGGTTCTTCTTATTTATGAAATAGTGCCTTTGTGTTTTTGGATGGTCCGCCGGGTATGGCCCTTTTCCAACATCAGGTGATGGTGCTGATCTGGGGAGTCTGATTTCAGAACGTCTCAGTCTGCCAAGTCCAGTTCTGGATCACCGATTGTTGGGACCCCTTCCTACCCATGAAAAAAATATGTAAAAGTCGATAGCCCAGGCCCAGGGGTCACAAAGGAGTGGTCTTGAGTCCAGTGAGTGGAGTAGCTGGACACCCCGATCCTCCAATAGGTACCCCGTCTTGTGACTCCTGAGCCTTTAGCCTTTTTGGGGGGGATTGGGAATGCTGATCATGATCCTCTGTCCACACACCACCCAAGCTGGATAGCTACGTACGCACAGCTACCAGGCATGGGGGGGTACGCACAGCTAGAGCCACCGACTCTCAAGGGTTACAACTGAGAAAACACGCAGGGGACACTCCACTAAAACCAACAGGTGCAAAAAGCTTTATAATTATTTTCCACTGAGGCAATAGAAAAGCCGAGACTGGCAACAGCGAAATGTTGAGGAGAGAGGTAGGTAGAGTTAAATGAAAATATGACACTGCAAACAAGAGGAACGAGAGCTCTTAGGCATGGCCTCCACCCTAATAGCATATGACAGTGAAAGAGCTGAACAAGAGGAACAAGAGTTTAATGGTCAACAAACAAGCGAAAAAGTGCTGCTGCTTGAGCGGGGGTGGCAAATGTATTCTGCTCAGATTCTGTTGGAATAGACCCTCAGGAAAAGGTTTCTGTTGCAATAGTTCAATAGACGTTCAAAAAAAGATGCAAGTGGAGATAAAAAGGTCTAAAGGCTATGTCGCCCCAAAAGGTGCCAAACAAAAAAGGATGTGAAACAATGTGATAACATGATGCAGAACCACAATTAAACAAACAATACGTCCACCACGGGATTGGGCTAATGTTTATCTCAAGCATTGTTTTGTTGTGTAATTATGTTTTTGGTATCCTTTCCCAATCTCTTTGGGCCTGGTAGCCTCATGGAAGCCTCAGGACCTTGGCGTGTTTGCTGCAATGCTCTGAAAAGTTGTTGATACAATTGAGTCAATGGAGGTGTTTGAAGATTTTGAAGCAACATTGTTGAAACAACACAAGGTTTAAGTTTTTTGCTCAATGTTTTGAAGACTGTTTGTATCTCCCGTTCTAGCGCGCGCACACATTCTGAAAAAGATCCCCGTCTCCATGGGCAGGTGGGAAGAACCCCTCAGCCACATCTCTGGCCCGCCCAAAAGACCGCGAGCCTCTATTCTTCAGCCCGTTCCTGGCAACGGAACAAAGGGGAGGTAAAGGAGGCACGGACGATCTCGATCGAAGTCCTCGATCGATCTCCTCTGGCCAGGTCGAGACCCTGGGATATCAGCACTTGGATTACGACGTGACCACCGCCCGTGTGGAGCTCGTTGGACGGCCCAGAGAGGAAGATTTCGGTGGGGGCCCGGCCTGTGGCGCCTGGAGGCTTTGCCGGCACACCCGACAGGACGATATCTTAAATCAAATAGATTGATAATTCCGAGCATTTGATTTACTACACATCCACAGACCATCAAATTGACCCTTAGGTCTTTTGGTCCTTCGGTCGACCTAGCTCTAGCTGGTTGTGATAGGTCGTCGACATAGCTAGTAGCTCGGTCTTGTTGTTGTTTGATTGGTCGATTTTTATTGTACCCTACCTACAAGTCCAGTCTAACCCGGTAAAACCCGGTTCTTTACCTCATTGAGTAGTGTTTTTGTATGACCGACTCCAGTAAAATGAGGTCAAACTGACCTGATTGGCGTGTGTGGCATTGACACAATCTGCAGTATGGTTCAGATTTTGTTGGAAGGCTAACTAGGAGCATGTGGAAGAAGAAAGTCAATCGTTTTGCTTCTGAGGAAGCTGAAGGGGATCAGAGGTTGTACTGTATCAGGGAGTGTTTGAGTTCGGCTGGCCTTCAACCATCACTCATGGGCACTCAGTGCAGACTGATGCACTCTGATGCAGCCTTATTCGGTAACAAGCCCGCTTTTCCATGCTTTTCAAAGCATGTACCAGCCAATACCAGCCAAAAAAAGGAAAAAAGGATGGTCCCGACCAAAACAGATCCGGTTCCCAGTCCAGGCGATGTCTTTTTCTTCGAACCTTCCTTACAGGGCTCCTGTCCCACCTCCGAAGTCGGCTCGGTGGGTTTTGGGGATGGGTGGATTTGGGGGGGGGTCAGTCCCCAGCGGTCACCTGAGGAGGAGATGGCAATGGGCCGTTCGGAACCCTGTCACCGGGAACTCTGCCGTGAACTCCCCAGAGGTCGGTCGACATCCGCGGCATCCGCCGACCCTCCAGAAATCCATCAAGGATGCGACACGGAGTCTAACTCCACCTTAACCTCCTTGTTTTGGGATGATTTAGTTCCTTTTCAACGGGGTAAATTTCCAGGAAGGGGAGATAGATGTCAGATGTTCATGAATTCGTGTGTTACATTATGTCTTTGGTCTCCGGTTCCTTAAGCAACTCCAAAGTTCTTTCGATGGAACTGGCGGCCCCACTCTGTCCACCTCCCGCTTGACTGCTCCCAGGTCCGGGATGGGATCCTGCAGGTCATGGAGCAGGCGCCGATGGGACGGCGGGACACCCGGGCCGGGACCCTGCGGGCACGGCCGGGCACCCTGCGGGCACGCGTATTGCTCAGAAAGGGTCGCGGTGGTGAAATGAGCTCAGGAGACTGGGTTTGGGGCCGAAGCCATTTGTAGCAGTTGGTTCGGGTCCAGCCATCAGCCTCTGGAGCCAAAAAGAGATGATTCGATATGATTCGGACCACCAGCCAGCTCTCAAGAGAGTTGTTGTTTTCAGATGTCTTTTTGATCGCTTTGGGAATCTTAACATGAAGCTGCAGGTCTATCATTGAATCAATGGCACTCCCTATAGCTCAGAAGGTCTGTATCCCTAGGGAATCACGGCTTCAAGGCTGAGCCGAAGCCACCGTCAGGCCGTGTTTAGGGATGTGCCCCAGATGCCGCAACAATGGGCGTGTCACACCTCGTTTGTCCTGTTTGGATGTCTCGTTTGCAGTGGGCTGGGTACCAGGACACCCTGACACCCAAACAGGATGGTCCTGGCAACTATTCCAGTCCCATGGATTGTGACACCTCAGCGTCTGAGACTCTCCAACACCCCACAGTGGCCGACAAAACCCAAAGCGTGCCGCCAGCGTCTGAGCGAAATCGAAGACTTGGAAGTGGAAGACTCCCCACTATAAGTCCAAGGGAGCTATTGTCTTCCAAACATCCTGAATCATATCTGATGTGATTCAGCACCCAGACACTCCATGTATGGTATATATGTCTATACCCCTGGAACGAACCACCCCTGGCCGTTTCTTGACAGTCCGGACTGGCAGTCCCAGACGGGTCGTGTTTGGGGTATGTTTGGAAGACAATAGCTCCAGATCTGAGACTCCGTTGCTGGTTCTGATCTGAGACTCCGGTGGTGGTTCATCTGGACCGGTCTCTCTCGCCGGTCGAGGTCGGGAAGGTCGTGCGTGGGGTGAGTTCCTCTCTGATGTACAGAGAGACTGACCTAGCTAGACTCAATTCATACAACAAACACCTGGTTCTTCAAAGTGACCGAACTTGATATCCCTGTTTGAGGTCACTTTGGCCTGTAAAGGGTCACTTAGGCACTCCAAAGAGGTCACTTTGAAGAAGCTGGCAAACATTGGTTTGACCTTCAGATATGATGTGGTTTGACCATCCAATGTTGTTCCGGTGAGAGATTCCCGCAGAGCCAGCTTGTGTATTGTGTAAGCAAAGGCGCAATCATGGCGAAAGCACAGTACTGCAGCCCGCGCGACAAAAGCTGCAAGCTCCGCAGCATGGCCACGTGGCGAGCCCTGGAAATGGTGAAGAGTACTCCATGGCAATCGGTTCGCTCCTGTGGCAATCTGTTGCTCCTGTCCTCCTCATGTTCTTCTGTTGCCTTCTTGTTGTCCTTCTTCAGCTGTTCATTGGCCGCGACAGGCACTTCTCCCATCTCCCGTGTACTCATCCTGCCGTCGTCTGATCTTCTCTTCCTCGTTCTCCTCTTGGAGTGCTCCCCTCACGTTGTCCTGTTGTCCTTTTAGCGTTGTCCGGTCAATATCAAAAATCTCAGTGCCCATCAAGAACCCAAAGGACCCTCAAACCTGCATCATGCCAGTCCATGAGATTCTTGACCCTCATGAGCTTCTACACCACCTATTTACCAAAACTGGTATTGATATTCCTGCCCAAGATTTGCAAGGATGCTGGAACCACGTGCGAAATGTATCACCTGAAGCCTGCTACATTGCCAATGGAGCCTCCACCCGGCACATACCCATTGCGCTGTACGGCGGCTCTGCCAAACTCAGTAACACCGCGGGCAAGCTATTTGCAATATACTCGACGCTCCCTCTATGGAGGCCGCGATCCGCACGGTACGCACGTTGGTACCTGTATGCGGTTGAAGAGGGTAAATTCCACAAGCACTTGGACCATGCACAGGGTGTTCCGAAGGCTTACTTGGAGCCTTGGCCTCGCCTTTTCTGGCTATGGTGGCCGGTCATTTGCAATAACGGAACTGAAAGGCGACTGGCTTTTTCACAACGTCTTTTTTCTGATTTTACAGTTCATGGAAGAGACTGGACAGTGTTTGCTTTCGATGCTCCACGAGTTGCCGCCCTCACAAGCTCTTCTGGGCTTGAATTGGAATAATATTTTCCACATGAAATGACAATGAGTGGAGTGCAGCTCACAGTCGCTGTCATTTAAGTGATGAGGTAAGAGCACAGTTGAAAGAGCTGCCAAAAGGAAAAGGAAAGGCAAGTCGCTGTCATTTCCGTTTGAAGAGTACTTCCGACCTGAACGCATCATCTCCCGAGCCGCTTCCCTCGCATCACTTCCCGAGCGTCCTGTCCTGTCCGCATCGTTGGCAAGGAGTAGTGGCGCAAGAAGAACGCCGGCAGGGGCAAGGAGGCATACTTCTGGGCCAAGGCTGAGTGCGGTCTTACCCTCCCCTCGGAGGTGGTGACCAAGAAGGGAGCCACCAAGGGAGGCTATATGTGCAAGTATTGCCAGGGCTTGTGGAAGGCGGGCAGAGGAGGCTCCAGATTCGTCCAGATCACTGGCGGACCCAGCAACATCTGCAACAGACGAGAAGATGGAGCGGAGGCTTCAGGGATTGGAGAGGCAAGACCAAGAAGTCCAGAAATCTGGCTTCTGCTCAGCCATTTGCTTTTCAGCTGCAGGCTCAGCCTTTGGCTGGTCAGGCTTTGCTTCAAGCCTTTCTACTGGAGGCTTTGTTTGATCCTGTGTCTGTTGGGGTGCAGTTGATTGCCTTTGCGTGCTTTCCTCATATGCATCATGGCTTTCTTGCAAGCCACTGGAACTGGAGGTGGAGCCAGCTGATTGCTTTTGCTTCCTTTCATCATATGCCTCCTGCGGTCATGTTGTTGGAATTCTGCCAAACAAGCCTGTCACTGCCACGCGAGATGAGTGCTGTTGGTGTTCCACCTTGTTTGTCAGTGCTTGCATTTCAAGGAGCCAAAAAGCACAAGCGATTCAAATAGCCTGGGCAGTTTTCCCAAATCAGCCTCTTAGTAGTATATGCGGTATATGTGTTGTTCAATGATTTTGTGAGTCAAGCTGAGTTTGCTCGGGCTGTTTGTCAGAGACTCCTCAATGACAAGATCCACAGTCCCAGAGTCTCCCATGGTGGGTGTGGCAGCGATGGACGCAGCACTTTGTGGACCTTGAAGTGTAGATTTCGTGCGAACCTTAAAGTGCAAAGGGAGGCGCAGCAAATGTGCTCTCATATGTGTGCACTCATGGGCGTGTGCTTTTACATGTCCTTTCATACTTGTGCTCCCTAAACCTCCACCCTTAGATCTCCACCACCACCACCACCATCACCGCGATCACCACCTTCGTCTGGAGCCCAACGCGTCTAGATCTCCCGGCCTTTTGCTTAGACCTTTAGACACACTGTTTGGGTTTTTGCCAGGATAACCTTAAAGAATCAACCGTCAGTCCCAATTCGGCTCTTCCCCTCAAACTCCTGGTTCAACTCCGCTGCCCCTCCGTGTGGAGAACAAGAACACACCGTCAGCACCTGGTTCGAAGGAAAGCGCCCACCGTCGACAGCGTTCGAGCGTTCGGTCTGACATCGAACGGCAGGAGATGGGAGCGCAATTTACCAGTTTCTACCGTGACTCCTTCTCCGCTCTCCTGAACTACGTGGGAGGACCGAGCGAGCCCGCGACGACGCGAGACCGGGCCGTAGGACCCGTACCCGGAACCCGCACCGAAGTTCGATGCTTCGGGACCGGTCGTGACAGGGGGAGACCGGTTGTGACATGTAGAGACGCCGTTTTCGTTCACAACCCAGAAGCAACTCCTGGTCCCTGGGAAGTTGCTTCAGGTTCACGAAAAACCCCTGAAAAACACGATGGGACTGGAAGAGTTATAGACCTACATTGGGGTCATTTCATTCGGGTTTCATGTGCAACATTATGTAACTATTCCAGTCCCATGGATGGTCTGGGGTGGATCACCTGCAGGTTGACCAAACGTCCGTGTGTCCACATGCGTGTCGATGCTCCATGGTGGCGCATTTCCATGGCCTACATGACACGGTGGTCTTGCGTGGCTTTCAGACATAGAAATGCGCCATGGAGGTGTCCCATCGGAGAAACGGCTCAAGGGAGTCAGATTCCCCATTGAAATGGGTGGATCCTTTTTGACATATGGTGTTTTCGTTCCAGAAACACCTGCAAGACCACCTGCCGGCCCTAGAACTTGGTCGGAAGCGGCGAGTGGACGCAGGAGCCTTCATGTACATTAAGAGAGAGCTGGCTGGCCACATCAAGATCATCCAAAGGACATGCAGTGAGTGTGCGACATGCGACTAAGGAGGAAACTGGACCCTATCCCAAACACTCCATGTGTGTGAATTAATTTATAGAAAGTCCCTGAACAACAAGACCATCTTGGAAGCTTAACATATGCCCACATTGACCCCAGAAAGCACCCGAATCTATGCAAAAACGGGAGACATGGAGTGTTTGGGTATGGGATTGTCCGATCTTGGACCCTTTGATGTTTTACAAAAGTGGCCAGTTCTCCTATGGTATAGTGCCTATAGATGCATTGATATAACCTTGAAAAGAGTTTCGGTTGACCTGATTGTTGTAGCTGAAAATCCGTAGTTTAAGCCATGGTTCTTCAGGTAAAATGAACTCTAAAATCAGGGTGTTGAATCCTATGGGTAGACGGTCGATTTGGCCTTGGGGTTCATCTAGGTGTTCCCCTTCCCCTGTTGAAGAGAAAGAGTCAGACGACTTCCCCACGATGCCGAAATGGATCCGGAACCGGATCCGGGACTCGATGTGCGGCGGGACTGATGGAAAGCACTCCCAGGCACGACGAATGGGACTGCTATATGTCTACATTGACCCCCAGAACAACCCCTGGCCTGATCGGCATATATACCATGCAGTCCCATTAGTCGTGTCTGGGACTGATAGTTTACGGCTCGGCCGGGCCCAGCCTGGGAGGAATTGGGGTGTCCCTGCAGCGGAAGTATCATGAAGCCCCTTCCTACCTGGAAGTCCGTCGATCGGCTTGCCACCTATGCCATCCCACACACTCCAGGTCCATACTCCATGCTCAGAGGCTGAGGAGGTTCTTCCTCACTTCGCGTGGGGGGGTGTTGGAACGAAACATCTCGAGGTGACGTGATGTGACGTGGAACGGATCTCGGCGAGTCTTCGACCAGTTTTGTCCGCAGTTGGTAGCAGTTGGTCCAGGTCCGCCTCTGGGTGTAACAAATATGGTATATCTAGGGTGTAGCCCATTATCAGTGTGTAGTTGGTAAAGAAATATCACGGTTTTTAAGAAAGGCCTTTACTACCATCATCATCCACTGTTACTGGTAATGGGATACACCCAAGGTATATCTCAAGGTATATCCCATTGGACTACGAAGCAACGGCTCCAGCAAGGTCCGGTCAACTGCTCCCACCCGCCCCCCGCCCATGTGGCTATATGGACCGGTCATACCCACGACCGACACCCTCTGAGGTGTCGTTCATAGCGTCAAAGAGGGGTTACTTCGGAGTGTCCCAAAAACCTCCGGACGAAGGGACCTGGTTTAGTGTCAAAGACTTGGTCCAACAAGACCGAGACACTCTGCGCATCGCACCCAAAGGTTTCAGAAAGGACCCGTGACCCCTTGTTGGCGCTCCAGGTGAAATGACCCGAAAACACCGACATAAAAGGGTGAAATGGACCGAAGACAAACATGTAGCAGTTGGGTTGGGTCCTTCCGGTCGCCCCGGAACTGGGCAGTTCCGGTCGCGTCGGAGCTTCGCGCTCGTCGTTCGGGTTGATCTCTCGCTGATCGATCGATCACTCTCCTATGGACGTTTTCTGAGATTTAAGAGGTTCAATCCCGCAGTGTCATGTGTTAAAAGAATGGATTTCACAACCGAACCCACGCTGTCATCGTTCCCGAACTCTTTTTGATGGTCTGCTGGGTGCGAGGGCGGTCGGCGTTGCACCGGAGACGGCGAGGAGTTGGCGTTTGGCTCGGAAGGTGATGGAAGAAGAAGCTGTCCACCAGACTCTTTGGTGAAAGTCATGGGAGGGTGTTTGGAGGGGAGAAATCATGAAAAGTATCATGAAACATCATTAAAAGCATCACAAGAAGCTGCTAATTGGATAGGAGGCCATCGCTAGTATAGGAACAAAGAGCTACGATAGCCTTAGCTCACTGGCAGCTACGACAGCCTGCACGACCTTTCAGGACCTTCCGGGACCTTTGTGGCCTAACTTGGGGTCGGTCGACCCCTTGTGGACCCCTTGTGGGCCGATCTGTTTGTGGGAAGAAGGTGTTGGACCTCCAATCCATTCAGTGTCTTGGAATATATCAGGTACCTGGACCGAAACTCAAGTCCAGTGGGTTTTAGACACCTCCAAATTACCTCAAATCGGAGCTATGTAGATCGGCACCCGGTACCGTGTTCGGCACCTGGGCCACGGTACCAAAGGGCTCCGAATCACGACTCCAGCGATAGCGTACCGGGCGTACTGGGCGTCCATCCATGGGACCCCGAAAAGGGGCGGTGCTGGTGGAGTTCGTCACCAATTGGGAAGAGATTCGATTCGAAGACTAACATGGACCCTGAAAACCACTGGAAGGTAGAGGGGAACCATCTATGGTAGAGGGGTCATTGTCAGGGTCGACCATGTTAGTTTTCAGGAGTGTAGATTCCTAGACCGCCTAGACCAGGATCCGACGATAAACAGGCCTCCGAAATCGTGGCTGAAATGCAGGCTTAAGCATCGCAGGTGGTTGACCTCTTGGAGGGTCCTGGTACAGACCAGTGCTGGTAGCCATATCTCTCAGTTGTGACACAAGTGTTTTTTTCCCCAGACGCGAAGTCTGGACCCTCCTAAGTATAGCCATATATGGCATACATGGAGTATTTGGGTATTCCAGTTTACATGGAGTGTTTTGGTCGCATGGTGTTCGGCTGAGGCAAGAAGAGCCAGATTCTCCCCTCTCTGTGCCGCAGGCCGCGTTGAGCGGGTCTTGAGCGGTGTCCGTGCCTCTTTGGCACGTGTTCGGCGAGATCAGTTGCGGTGAGAAACCTCGGGTACCCAACTGGGATAGTCGAACCAGCGTTCTTCAACCTCTGGAACGAAAACGAGCAAGATGAAACCAAACAGGTCATTCACTCGTTGAGCCGAGCCAAGTTCAGTTGAGCCGAAGACCGTGACGTGAAGACGGTGACGGTTGTTTTTATGGTTCTTCGGAAGCACGGAACCGTACCCATACCCAGACGGTCCATGGGACTGCTATATATGCCGACATTGACCCCCCAAACCACCCCAATGTAGGCATATATAGCATACATGGAGTGTCTGGGATACACTCCATGGGACTGGGATAGGACTGCCCCAGACAGACCCCCTGCTGGCACCCACCACCCCTGGCCACCGTTTCGACGGGTCGCGTCGCGTCGACGGGTCGCGCCAGTCCGAAACCACCGGACCGATCCGTCTTCTGGGGCACCTCTCCGGAGCGGAGCCGTCGAGAAGAAACGACGGCCGCGGCGCCGTCGGAACGGCCTCGACGCGGAGCGACTCCCTCGTGGTCCACGGGGGGCGACCGCGCGCGCGCGCGGCGCGCGCGAGGCCCGCGGCGCGTGCCTGGGCAGGTGCCGTCGGCGCCGTCGGAGGCGGCCACAGATGAGAAGGTGAAGGCGAAGGAGGCCAAGGAAGAGACACCTGCCTGCCTAGCTGGGTAGGGGGTGTTGCTGTGGAAGTGGCCCAGAAATCGTGCTGGTGGGGGAAGTGCTGTTGCTGGTGGGCAAGGGTCGCGTCTGACGGCGTGGGAAGTTGAGGGTTGGCGGGGTTGGCTCATTTCGTTTCGCCTGGGACTGTATACCGGACAAGACCTAACTTGATTGGGGTGGTTGGTGGTCCAAAATAGGGGTCACTACAGGTTTGGGGTTCCAAGTGATTGTTCCACCATGTTCCACCCATTTGTGTTCAATGGTTCTTTGTAAAACCAATGTTCCACCTCCTACTCCTGATAGGTGATATGTCCTGATTGTGCTTGCGGTTGGCCGGGTCTTTTTCCGGGGTACCAGCTTCGTCCAAGTCTTCGCCAGCAAGTTGGCAAGTTGGATGTTTTGAAAGATCACTATAATAGATTCCAACCACATCCTCAGAAGCTACTAGACGTTTCGTGGCACCCGCTCCCACCACCGAAATGGAGGTCGTTGTGTCGCCACCATCTTGAGTGGAATGCATCTAGATCGCACTAAGGACCGAGGAGGAGAAGGGCGCCAAGGATAAAAATAGCTTGCAGGCCAGGCCCAACCGCCCACTTCGATCCTTCCACGCATCGATCGGACTCTCCGCTTCGGAAGAGCGGAGCGTCGTGGCTTGCCGTCAGTGCGCTTTTCGGTGGCGGAACCGAAAAGCACCGGTCACTGAGTCACGACGAGTCACGAAACACGGCCGGCCAAGGCCTGGCGATCTTGGTTGAGGTGGTCAAATTGGACCGGAACAGGACAGGAGGACAGGATCATACGCTAGGGATCCAGTCGTACCTTCTCAGAAGGTGATTGAAGACTAAGGCTTGGAGGGCCCAAGTACCTTCTGAGAAGGTATGTGGATCCCTACACCCAAAAGAAGAAGGCCGATGAAAAGCGTGGTGGCCATGAAGAGGAACCAAAACGGGGCTTGAAGACGGCATGTTGAGGTTGTTTTGGGCTTTTTCGACGCTGTAGAACATAGCACAAAATGATTTGGATGTTTGGATGTCTATTTTGTTTGCCAGACTGGGTGCATCCGTTCTGAGGAACATGTTTCTTGCGTATATGATTTTGCTTCCATCAAATCCAAGCTAAGAAACCACGCAGTGCCGTGCCTGCGCCCGCCCGCTGCGGTGCCTGCGCCGGTGGCGCCAGGTCCCGACGAGTTTCGAGGGCATGTTCCTTTTCAATGCCGCCGTCATGGGCCGTTTGGCACGGGGAAGGAGGGTGTCCCGTGGAGGCGTCACCATCCCAGGAACGTGCTGGTTTAAAGCCAATGGGTACTAGAAAGTCTGCCGTATACATTTGATTTACTTGTACTAATCTATCTCTAAATGATGTCCTGTTCATAAATTGAATTGTTTGTTTCCATATATCCCAGACACGACAAATAGGGACTGGCATAGGACTGCCGTGCCAGACAGACCCCTGTAATCAACCACCCCTGGCCTGATCGGCACTCCTATGGCAGTCCCCTGCAGGCCCTGGTCATATCTCCATGTATTCCATACCTGCACCCGACTTCACAGGTCACCACCTGCCTCTTTTAAGTCTCCATTTCAGCCACCAGTTCGGAGACCTGTTGGAGGTGCTGGTACATGGAGTGTTTGGGTTAGACTGGTATAGGGCCAGTCACAGGATAGGGCCAGTCGCCGAGTCGCCGCACGCCATTTCCATCCCAACTTTAGGGCGTTCCGCGGGGTGGGAGGGAAGATCTGCCTGGGCCCGACTGATCGTAGTCCTAAAAATAAATTTATATAGAGTTGTGGTCGTTTTTGGTTTGGGTCATGTCATGTGGCCTTTTCTAGGGTACTTGTGTGTTTGCCTCATGTTGCAAAAGAAATGTCAGGGGCTGAAGTGAATGATGAACAATGTCAAACATCAGATGCGACAGAAATCTGGTGGATGGCTAAAAGTCATGCTGCAAGTGTCACCGACTGCTACGAGATTTGGTGATATTGATTGAATCAGAACCCAAGCACTCCATGCATCTATGGCACCCAAACGCTCCATGATGGCGCAAATATGGCCTACATTCACCACTACATTCACCATTCAAAGTAGACCATATTCGCATGCAAGGAGCATTCGTAGGGGGTATACCTATCCCATACACTCCATGTATGCCGCCCCATTGATCCCGCAGAACACCCCAACCATACATGGAGCGTCTAGGTATGTTGATCCAACTGATCGGAGGAGGGCGGGCAGTCCCATCAACCACCGTCGCGTCGGTGGCCGACCCGCCCTGCCGGCCTATCCCACCATCAACCACCAGAAAGACCAGTCAAAAGCGCACGCACACCGTAAGTCGAGAGTCTTAAGGTGACCTATACCAGACACTCCATGGGACTGGCATATCTGCCTACATTGTCCCCGGGTATACCCAGCTGTGAAAAGTGGATCACCTCCGAGCTTGAGCCAGTAGCTGGTTCAGTGACGACTCGTCCCAGTGGCTGGTTCGGTCACAAACCAGAGACTTGAAAGAGGTCACGCACTGTTTCGGTCTCGGTCAAAACCCCTTCTCAAACCCTATAGCCCATACACTCCATGGGACTGCCATATATGCCGCCCCATTGACCCCCCTGGCACCACCCCCACTGATCGGCAGTCCCATGGGTCGCGTTTGGGTAGGCAGGGATCCGTTTTCGTACCTTCTCAGGTTCAATACGAACTGTTGGACCTCACAAAGCTGTCGAACACATCACCTGAGACGGCACGAGACCGGACGCCCCACACACACGACACGTCTGGGACTGCCAGTGACTGCCGACAGACGCCCAGACGCCCTGTTCAACAGACGCCATGTCCAGGTCGTGTGGGTATGGGTGAAAGTCCGGCCGCTGGGACCATCGGTGAACCACTGGTGGAGAACGTAGCACAGGACGTAGTCGTGGAGCGAAGGCTGGGGAGAACGTCGGACGTCGTCGTCGATGAGGTTATGGCGAGTCCTCCTGGATGAAGATCGTCTTGGACCACTTGGACGCCATCGCAGCGACTGGGATGTCAGAAACCAGTGGATTCAGTATTGTCATTGCTTGCTAGATTTGCCAACTACTTTTAAGTAGATATATAGTCATACAGTCAGGTCAGCCTGCCATAGGCTGCCTATCTAGTTGCTCTACCTGTCAGCATCAGCGGAGACTGGGGAGACGGCATTGTGGAGACTCAATGGGTCTGGTCTGAAGTGTTTTAGGCTCGCTTCCAGAGAGAGCCTCCGTGGCTCACCCGCCCTGTACACCGGACAGGTCGCAGGGTCGCACATCCAAAACCCTCGTCGGGCCGAGAGCGGTTTCGTCGACCGTCGTGGTGGTGTTTCCTTTGAACCGATGGGGAAAAACATCCGGGGAGCTGTACTGTGCTGTACTGGTCTTCACCATGTTACTTGAGTCATGCTCTTAAAGACAATTTGAAGTCACAAAGTAAGAGACAGAGAGAGAGAGAGAGAGATTGTGGAATAGAAGCCTTTAGATGTGTTTTGTTGTGAAAAAGACTGTTGGCTGTGCAATGCATATGGTTGCATCATTGTAGATAAGTGACCATTTGGAGTTCATGAAGAGCATTGATGTGATGAAAACCTAAATTTTAGCAGCTGAATCTAACATCAAGAACCCACATGTTAAGTTAAGCAGCTGAATCTAACCACTGTCCACTATGTTTATGACATTGTCAAAAATAGTGGTGCCATACATTCTGATCTATCTTGTAGTCAGCTATGTCATTTGCCTGTGCAGCAACTCCCAAGAGTGCATCAGTACATCCTGTACAGCCTCAGACACCACCTATGGCATTGCATTCTGGAGCTAGCATTGCTGCACCAAAGCATGGAGCACCATCATCAGCATCTGTACCAGCATCACCAGTGATCATTCCTGCTGCCCACCATTTGAACCACCTCCTGGACCATATCCATTTCTCTCCTGAACCTCCAGTGACAGCATTGCCTCCAGCAAAGAAGCCGAAGATTGGTGATGGGTCCAGTGATGATCCTGGACCAAGCAACTTCCAGAAATTGCTGGAGGCTATTCCACAGCCCCCTCCATTGCTTCAACAGCATTTTCACCTTGGCTCTTGGCAAACCATCTACTTTTGAAGACACAGAAGAGGATGCAGGGGTCCTTGAGAGACACCTTGGACCTTTTCACAAGGTGGGTTATTTGAATACCCGGCCAGTGTGGAAAAACATGAGCGACACCTACATCTGGTGGTGCCTCAAACTTAAGTTCTGGATTATATATCTCAGACTATCCTATTCACGAACTTGTCAATCCAGCCTGGGATGCAATCGAAGTGCACGCAATGATTGACCCAGAATTTCAGACCATTTGGGAAATTTGGGCTCCATGGAATTCCGAGAAGGCAACCAGCACAGTTGCTGATTACACGATCTATGAATGAAACAAGCTGCTCATTGAGCATCAGGCCACTGTGATTCAGAAACTAAGGTTGAAGGAGATCATAGGCCACTTCTCAAAACCAGCTGGAAAAGCCAAATGGTGGCTGTGCAACGGAAGCTCTTCGGCGCCAAGGATTGAGCGATCCAAGCAAGAAGACCGCCCGCTGAAGCGGTTCGGCTCGCCTAGGCGACGTGCCACGGGACTGTGGTTCCACGTGCCACGCCTAGGGATCCACTGACCTCCGAAGCTATGACTGGAGCCACTTCAGCTCTCCCTGCTCATCCTGCTACACGGATGCCAATGGATGCTGCATGGGGATCGTCTTCCAAAAGGCTGTGCTAAGGCAGTCAAGGCGTTTTCAGAGGCCAACACCAGCGTTTTGCTCAGGTCAATGTGGCCAACACCAGCCGACTGCAGGCCGGTTGCAGTCCCGCGGGCCGCATCTCCGCCCGGTTGTTTCGTCAAGAGAAGACCCCCCGCGCGCAACTGCGAGGGGAAGGGATCTTCGCCCCGCCCCCGCACGAAGCTTGGGGTTTGGTCAGCTGGCTGCTGTTGAAGGAGTGAAGGCTGTATGAAAGCCAGGGTGATCCACTGTCTGGGCAAGGGGTGGTTAAGAGCGGAGTTTGGCTGGAACGGCATATTTATACCAGTCCCATGGAGACATGTTTGGGTATATGTCTGGGTGATCTTCCATTTGTTGTGAAAATTGGGAGCTCACCAATGGGAGCAACTGATGAGAGGTTCCCGCCATTTCGGAGACCTGGTCGAGTTGGGCTTCCAAATAATATACTGACCACTTCATGATCGCTCTCACCCAGATGCTCAAAACCAGCTTTGGGCCTCCAAACTCCAAACCTGCATTGCATATAGCTTGGTGGGACGACCCCGACCGACCCCGATCCGGTGGTTTGGGGCGATCGCGCAGTCGGACGCGTTGGACGGGCAGGAAGAATGCTTTGTTCTCACGATCCATTTGTCCAAGGTGAAGGACCCTCTGCGCGACGCGAGACGCGGATGGGATGAGTGATGTGCTCCGGGAGAGAAGAGGAGTGAGACGAACATGGGCGTGGGACGGGGGTGAAACGTTGCTGGAGGAAGAAAACAATGGCAACAGCAACTTGACCTCTCTGTTTTTTTTCTATGGCAACGTGTTTTATTGCTTCCTTCACACACCCAAAAATAGGATCAAGGACATTCAATGACAAGGATGATGGTTCGGGAATGGGATGTTCTGCACACATGAAGTATTAGCAAGCGATAGCAAGGTTTTTCCCCTGGAAAAGTATTTGTACTGCCAGGTTTTTGGCCCATGATCTTCGATGTCGAGAAGAAGACATACATGCCAGAAGGACGAAAGAAAGACCAATGCCATAATTAATGTCAGCAACGACAAGTTGTTGAGCAACCAAGCGTTATTGCTCGAATTAATTTGGAATGGATGCCTTCGTGGATCGTGATGAGCCATTGTCGATTCTGGAACTTGTGATGAAGTGATAGATCGGACATCATCAGCACAAATTCTCAAGACAATCACAAAGCGCCATTCACTACTCCCTGAAATTTCACAAGAGTCAAGAGCTTTCTTGAAGAACTACATAACAATGCGCAATTTTGAGGGCGGCGCCAAATCGAGCAATATAGTCCAAAAGCCAAGCGCCCAAGCATCCTGCTCGATGCTGAGACTCAGTATTGGATGCAAGGCAAAATGAATCATGTTTCTGCCATTGCAGTGGGAGAGGAAGCCAGCATCGGTCGACGGCACAAGGCGGCTGATCCGATCGTGGAACGACATCCAAAGCTCAGAAATGGAAGAGAAGCCAGAGCAATGGAATGTAATGGAGAAGTACATGTCCGCAGGGCTCATGATTGGATGGCTGCAGTAGCCGATTTGTTCGATCTAGTCCGTAGTACTTGAAGGCTTGGCTCGGCTGCTGTTTGGCACTGGGGACGAAGGGCTCGGCTCGGCTGCTGATGTGTTGCACCGCCCAAGCACGGGCTTTCTGCAACGTGGACCCAGATAGGCACTACCAAGAGAGATGAAGTGAACTAGGACCCACCACCTGTGCCTGGGAGAATCTGTTTCGGGTTTTTCAACCTTGCTTGGTTCTCTTCATTTTTGCCAAGCTCGGTGGACCTATTGAAAAGCTCGAGTTCTCTTGACGAGGTGGGGAGTCCACTCTTCAGCACCCCCCCACGGAGTGTTCTGGCGTTTAGGTGCCGCGGTGTGGGCCCTGGTGGTGACCGGGTATTTTGACACGGTGGTGACCGGCGATCGTTTCTGTGTTCTTTTTTCCAGACCCGAAATCAAAGCAATGACCATGATTCGCCCCTATTTGCAACATGTTAGCAACTTTGGGGTTCACTTGATCGCCATCCATGTCACCGTTTCGCAAGACTCGACCCCCAAAAGGCGGTGCCTCCGAGGTGTGCCATCGAACGTGTCGAAACGAAACGAACATGTTCTCAGACACCCAGACACGACCGATGGACTGCCGGTGGGGTTTTAAGGCTATTGGACCTTCCAGTCCCATGAGGTCCAAATATATGGGATTGGAAGGTCCAATCCCATGTTCAGGCTCATATTGGGATGGCCTAATTGGATCTTCCAGTCGGTAAGGAAATGGATGAAGACACCGGTACCGGTACGTCTGCTGAAGGGAGGAAGGCAACGATCGACGCGTGGCACGCGTCGAGGATTCGGTAAACCTGCCAGAGTTCAAGGCATGGACGAGCTGGCTGAGGATGCTTGGGGGGGGTGCCAGCTGGGAGTTTCCAAGAGAGGTTGGTGAAGTGACCTTTTTGTGGCCAGTCCCAAGTCTCAAGCAGAAATTCATGGAGGATGGAACTCCACTACAGTCCCAGTCCCACTGAAGCTGGCAGCATAGAACTTAGAACATCCAGAACTGTGTCTGGTTGCGACTGGGGTTCCAGGTTATGATAGGATCCGTCACCTGAGAAACCTATGGGATAGTCAGTCTATAGGGATCTGTAGGGTTCTTCAACCTTTGTTGCTGGAGTTGGGTTCAAGACACAGGCATCCGGTGTCTGAGAGAAAGGTTCCAAATGTTGAACCCTCACGTGGAGGTGGATAATCGTTGCTCCTTTATTGCGTACTGCACCGCTTTTCAGGAAAAGAACGTTTTCACTGGTGCTGTGTGATATGAATGTTGATCTAGTCCATGCGTGAGCAGTCGAACAGTCGTGCCGTCTCAACGATGATCCAACATAGACCAGACTCCTGTCGGAACACGGACCAGATGCCTGCAGCTTGCAGGCAGTGATGCTCGCAGCTTTGCGTTCCATCGTGCCTGATGAATGGGTGCCTTGGCGCGGTCGGTTCCATCGCCCACGGTGCTGGGTCGCGCCGGTGCTGGGTCGCGGTGCGTCGCGAAGGCAGGCGGGCATGGAGGCATGGCGTCCGCAGAGAAGTGGTGGCGTTCATTGGTCTTTGCGTTCCTCTAAAACGTGCCACGAAGTCCACTGGATGCCAAGTGCCAAGTTCTCGATTTTTGGGGCGGAGGTGTTCTGAACGTGTTCTGAAGCAATACCCACACCTTCGCCGCGGCTGGGTTTCTGCTTGAACGGTCGGTCCATCAGCGGGAGCCGATGGATCGGTCGGTACACGGAGCGGTTTTGCGGAGAATCCGGGTGATCTCCTGATGTTTTGCACCTGTTTCCTATCCCAATCATGATACATACCCCCAAAACCCACCCCTGGCGTGATCGGCATATATGGCAGTCCCATGGAGTGTCTGGGTATGAGGTGAATTCCCTGGCATGGGGAAGGTGATTTTCCTTGGTTCCTTCAGCACATCCAAGTTGACCTGGCCAGAAGAACCATGTATGATGAGTGCTGAGCTGGCCCGTTGGTCTAGCATGGCTTAGCTGTGTTGGCTTCGCGATCACACCCTGGTATGGGGGGGCCACAGTCTTCATCACATCGATATAGGATTTGAGAGGTCCTGTTGAAGGGGCAATGCCCAGGATTCGATAGACCCGAGGATGTTGCTCTGCGATGGGGCGAAAGATTGTAAAATAGATCAAAATAATTCAAAATAGCAATTAGCATGATCATATATAGCAACTGATATACAAGCCAGCTCACCGACTAAGTAAGTAGCTTGTTTCAACCCTAAACCACCTTTCCAGTCCTGCGTGTTGCTGAGAACATGGATCACGAGATGGCCTGGAACTGGCTCTGGGAGAGCGTGGAGCGGATCATCTCGCAACTTGGACGAGAGTGGAGCACTTGGGACGTCGGTTTTCTCACAGAAATGGCAGTGGACACTGACACTGCCCGTACATCCCTTGTTAGTGTTCCCGGGGGTGGGGGTGTGACACTTACCTAACCCCCAATCATCCCAACAACAACAACAACAACAAATCAGAACACCCCGAATCAGAACACCCCGAATCGAACACCCACCGATCGGCACAGTTTGAGCCAAGTCGGTGTGGATGGGTCCCTTTCATCATGGCGCGCCTCCCTTTCATCATCCAGGTCCACCATCTCCTTCCCACGGGCCTATGAGAAGACGATCCGGACCTTCCTCTTCGAGCAGAGTGAGGTGGGGCTTCTACGAGGTGGGTAGGGCTTCTGCGAGGTGGATGCCTCGGGGCATCGGTGTGTCACACCCAGACCAGACAGACATGGAACTGGAACCAGATACACTGTGTGACTGTATAGCTATTCCATACATGGATGATGTGGAGAGGGGGGGTAATTCCGGACGAAGCCCAAAGCATCGCAGATGTGTTGGGATGGCAAAACCATGGCAAAACCATGAGTTCGCTGGGAGTTTCTACTGGTTCCAGTTCAACTATATAAAGGTTCATAGACTGAAGGACATCCAGTGGTTCCTATAGAAACCCATTGGCTGCCTGGGATTCCACTAGACGAGTGGTTTTCACCGGTTCCGCCCGGGATGAATTTCACTTCCAACCAGCTCCAACTGGATGGTTTCTTGGCTCAGCAATCGACAAACCCAGTGATTCAATCGGGAGTCTCAAACCCGAACACTCCGTGGCATATTTATCTTTAACCGGAAAGTCAAAGACTATATAATAAGATAAGTAATAAGATATAATAACAATTGTCTTTAGGTGAGCCGAAAAGGAATTTTCTTTACTTTACTTCAGTCGGTCAAAATAGTCTTTGGACTTTTAGGGTACGGTATATATATTTGGGTGTGAATGTAGGCATATATTCCAGTCCCAGACGTGGTCGCGTTTGGGAAAAGCATCAACACCTCTCGCCCCATCTCTGACCTAGCATTCTGTGGGGATCAGGATCTCCGACACGACCGGTGGGACTGCCAAAGAGAAAGAAACAAAGACCAAAAGAGAAGCAACCTGCACCTTTGTCTTGGAGATAGAAGTCTTGAATCTTGAATCTTGGCTCCACAGACATATCTCAGACACCACCACCTGTCTTGAAAAAACTGGGGGTGCTTGTGACCATAGCCCCGAACAGATGTGAAGGGATGTGTAAAACAAATCACCCCGAAACGTGGGTACTGGTCGAACTTCTACCGAACTTGGCTGGTTTGATGGATGCAAAGACAGAACTTTTGCGGTGGAAGATCTAGGTATGTCCCAAACACTGACTCCAGGGGACTCGAATCTATTGAATCTTGTCCTTTTCCCTTTTCAAGCACCACTACTAGTAGCTAAGAAGCTATTAGGTTGGAGGCCAGGGCTATTAGGTTGGAGGCCATCCCTAGTCGGTTGGAGGCCTTACTACTAGCAACAAGAATTAAGCTGTACTAGTAACAAGGCCTTGGAAGATCTGCTTTGAGCGGGAAGATGGTGGTTTTTTGGGCGACCTCATCGGTGGCGGAAGGGCGTGAAGACCACCGCGTGGGCGGATCCGAAAGCTTCGTCTCCCAGAAAGGGGTTTTAGGGAAAGTCGGAAAACCATATCCCAGACGCGACACATGGGACTATATATGCCTACATTGACCCCTAAAACCACCCCAACTGATCGGCATATATGGCAGTCCCATGGAGTGCTTGGATATGTTTTAGTGGGTGAAACACCATCGAGTGTCCTGTATACTGTATACCTGGACCCGGCTCCACAGGTCACCACCTGTCACTTGTGACAGATCTGTCCAAAACCTCCTTGTCGACTCGACCGGTGGTAGATGATCCCTCAAAGCCAAGTCGGGTCCGTTGGATGTGAAGGCTCCTTTCGGACGTGGGTAGACCTGGATCGGTCTGCGTCAGTCGACGTGGAGATCTACCTGCTTCCGATTCATACCAAGAGGAACCCCATAGATGACTCCATGTTTGGGTGACCTCCACCCCAGAATGATGACCTTGTCCTTTCAAAAACAGGGGTCCATGTTTCCCAAACACTCCATGTATGCCACGTTTCTCTACATTTGGTTGGTTTGCAGGGCCCATGGAGCCACATCGTCCAGTCGTGGTCTGGCTTTGGGTCCGGGCTCCGATGTGCGGTGCGCACCTTCCGCCGACTGGAAGGCGAACATGAATCAGCTGCGGGCACAAACCTATTCCTGCTTCTTCCAGCGCTGCCCCTCTGGGCAGGAGCCGTGTGGGAAGCCGTGTGCGCTTCGTCCGGGTTCGCCGGCAGTGGGCAGTGGGCCGTCCGGGTTCTCCGGCCGTTTCACGCGACCGGTGGTGGTCCGAGGACACCGCGACGACGAAGCTCCGCTTCCATTCGTCCGGCGGTTTTGGGGACACAGACCAAACACCTCTTGACGAGGCCAGGAACGACACTTCTTGGAGGGCCAGTGGTATGTTTGACCAGTGAAGCGCGTTCACGGCAGTCGGCCCGTTGGCGTCCACAAACCCATGCAGATTGATGAGTGGGATAATGCATAGTAGTCCAAGAAATGTGTCCCAGATGCTTCAATCAAAGGAAAGCCTTGAAATATGCTTGACATGTTGCTTCAGATTTACTTGGAACCACATGCTTCTACTTGAGTCATATAGTCACAAAAACACAGGTAACAGTAGAATAACAGCTCCCAAAAACTCACATGGACTCTGAGAATGGGACCCGGAAAGACGACGATTTTCCTCTAGCTGCACTTAGTGGTTTTCAGGGTCTATCTTCGTTTTCCACATGGTCGACGTTTCGGAAAGGATGGATTCCAGTGGTGTGGGCACGATCTCCCCACCGAACCGGAGGAGTTCTATGGGACTGGAGCCCGTAACACTTGGTCAGGACCATCCATGAAAGGAAGAGTTACCTTCGAACTAGTCCATACCCAGACACGACCCATGGGACTGCCATATATGTTTACATTGGGGTGGTGCCAGGCGGGTCTGTCTGGGGCGGCAGTCCGTCCAGTCCCAGACGTGTCGTGTCTATGGAATGGATGGCTTGGGCCATGTCAGGACCACTTCAAGCAGTCCACCACGCGGCTCTATTTCATCCTGGACCGGAACTATGCCTCTCGCCAGAAGACGAAGACGAAGACGAGAATCGCCCAGAGACGACGGACGACTAAGCGAGAAAGCGTCCTGCCATGGGGTGGTTGATTTCAGGGGTAATCTGTTCCAGGCCAGGAGTGTTGAACGGATGGAACATGCGCACGTGGATATAGGAAAACAGGGCACGGGGCCACATGTGACCATGCAGAGCCCACGCGGCATCGCCGCACCGGACCGCCCGTTTCCCACCGGACGCCCGTGACCGGTGACGTGACCCGTGAGTTCGGGTGACGCCGATGGGTGCGGAGTCGTCGAAGTGGACTTCGGAGGAACCAAAGGTTTGCCCAACCCAGACACGACCCATGGGACTGCCATATATGCCGATCAGGCCAGGGGTGGTGCCAGGGGGGTCAATGGGGCGGCATACATGGCAGTCCCATGGGTCGTGTCTGGGAAAGGTTTGCCCAAATATTCCTGTGATTTCTTCCTGGACCATCCAGTCGGGGTGCCGAAGTGGGGAAGCCGAAAAAAAAGGGTGTGGGGTAGTCCAGCCAGGACACCCCGACGGGATGGTCTTGGTTGTTTCTACTAGCTTCAATTAGTTACTAGTAGTAAGGCCCGGAGCTCCGTTCGTAGCGTTCGATCGCTCCGTTCGAGTCGCGATGCCCGAAATGCTCCAAACGTCGCTGAAAATCGCCTGCAGACGTTGTGGGTCGCCAACTTGGCGGGGTCAACTCGTGTATAGAGCGACATGATCACGTCTGAAGTCCACAGTGGTTTACGCAGCTTCTCTGCGCACGGTGCTTTCATTGAATCCACTCTTCAGTGCATGGATGGATCAAAGGAACCTCCAGGTGCATGGGTGACTAACCAGGTGCATGTATGTCCAGGTGCATCCTGGTGCAAGACATGGTCCTGGCTTTCTGAAAGGCCAAGTTAGAGGGTTCCCACCAAGCTGTAAAACACGGACTGGGCACAGATCACCTAAGGAGATGGTCCTGGAGATTTTCGAGAACCCAGCGAAGGCGGGACTCGATCGGTGGCTCACCGAGGACGAGTGGTCACCGACCCGATCGGTGAAGGGATGAGACTGAGCTCTGTTGGGCACCATGCTGTTTCTTTTTTCCAGCGGAGAGTCATTTTTGTTTAGTGGTCAACCTTTTTGTTGAGGCCGGAATGTAATAACTAACTACCTGTGGAAGCCTAGGCCGGTAGTGTGGGGGTAGTCCAGCCAGGACACCGCGACAGGATGGTCCTGTTATATTGTTATATTACTCAGTCCCATGTCTTTTGTGTTGAATGATTTTTTGCGAAGGTGAGTTAAGGCGTCCTATCATTCTCCAAGTTCATCCCAAGAGGAACTTCGCATGCACCACCAACCGACGTCCACTCGGATGCGACGGGGAGTGTCTGTTGAATGGGACGTCATCTACGGGGCGGGCAGTTCTGAAAGGAGATTTCCTTGTAGTCTCAGCTTCCCGGAAGTCCTATTGGATCACCTGACCACACCTTCCCTAGCAATCCAAGTACCTTCTCAGAAGGTGATTGGAGGCACTGTTATGTTGGTTTGGAGGGTCCAAGTACCTTCTGAGAAGGTACGACTGGATCCCTAGGGCTTTTTGGGGGGCTCAGTGGGTCTCCCAACCATCCCCACCCCACTTGATCGATCGAACCGGTGGAAAGTTCGGTGAAGCGTTTGTTCCTCGTCGGAACGGCTGCACAATCTGGCGCTCTTCACTTTCAAAGCCCTCTTCAAAGCCAAGGTTCGAATAGCCAAGATCATCGTACTAGGGGAGCCTGGTAGAGCCTGGTAACTGTTGCCATGAACCAAAAGAACTGGCATAGCCCGCTTGCTTCCACCGGGAGGGCCTATGGTGTAACGGGCACAGAGGTCCCGCCGCTTCGAAGTCCTCATTAAAAGGCCTATCCCATCCCCATGGGACTGGAAGAGTTCACCGACGTTGGGGTCCTTTTCATGGGGCAGCAGACGGCTCTATAGACCTATGTAATCTCTTCCAGTCCCGAATGGTGTGAGATTTGAAGTGGATCCCCAAGTGGATTCCAGGCACCGACAGCTCCGCGCTCGAACGCGCTCGGCCGCGCTCCGCGTTCGAGAGACCTCCCCCTCCAGGTGGTCGAGGACTTATCGGCCCTCGGCCTGCGACATGTGGGCTTCGGAGTTCCTGTGGAGCGCCTGGATCGGCCAAAGCGGCGTTCGCGGGGTTCGTGGGGACCAGTGGGTTCTTTGGGCGCTAGACGGCGGGACATGGAAAACAACACACGGGCCAACCGGGGGGGGGGTTGGAAGAGCAACGGGCGGGCGCAGGAGAGGAAGGTGAAATGACCGAAGAGGGGACGATCGGTCCATTGTGTTTTGCTTCATGGAAGGACTTTGTGCCCAGATGCGATAAAATATGCCGAAAAAACACAGTACCTGAACCTGTCATGTCTGGGACACCTGGGCAAGTGTTTGTTCAACATCATGGTTCCTCCACATTCGTTACGTGGTCAGGGGTCACATTCGGCATTCTAAGACAAATACGTGTCGGTGTGTCGGTGTGTCCCATTACCAGCAATAGTCAGTATATGATTCATTATAACCTTATCTTTGGGAGAGGCCTGCAACCTAGCCGTTATCATCCACAGGGGCTGGTTTTTGGGGGATAAACCCAAATATCCAGATTCAACCTGCCTGGGACTGGAAGATATGCCGATGCCAAACTCGATACGTGAGGCCAGCCTGGCGCCTGAGGTTCTTCCCACCCTTTGTCGCTTCCGCCGTCGAAGCCCTGAACACCCTCACCACGGACGATGCTTGGGTCTGACTGGTGGGAACTCCAAGCCGTTCGATCAGTTTTGGGGCGCTTGGCAATGACCCATATATTCGGGGGTCTACATATAATATAGTACCTGGCTGACATTGCTTTTGCATGAGAGGTAGCCAGTGACCTGAAAAAGGACCCGGAAAACCTGGGGTACCCAACTGGGATAGTCGAAGACCTGGGTTCTTCGACCTTTTGGTTGCTTGTTTCATCTGAGAAACCTCTTTCATTTCCCCATTTCTGGGCATGTCTCTCATAGTTCCAGTTCCTGTAAAAGTGGCGGGAAGAGGGTAATAAATGTCTACAGAGCGTGATTACACGTGCAGTCTTTGGTAGGGTAACCCTGTAGCCTTCCGTCGTGTGACCTTTAAAAGAGTTCGGTGGACCTGTTGGTGTAGTGTCAATTCCTTAAGTCAAACAATGGTTCTTCGCTATGGAATCCACGGTACAATTCATGGTGGGCCGGCGGAAGGCTGATCCGGGTATAGCCAATCCTATGGTTGGTGTTGTTGACATCCGGCGATTGTTTTGACATCGGAAGATAGACGCAACAAACAACAGTCAACATCTACCGGTGCAGTCTGACCAGCTCCAAACCTGCTCCAAAAGACCTCATTGAGCAGTGTTGTTGTACAAATCCAGTAACATGGGGTCAAACTGACCTGTAGGGCAATAGTTAATCGTCTTCATGTTACTAGCCCTTTATTCTGGTTGGAGGTGGGAACTTGAACGAATTAGTGGAACGACCCTAATGACCCATGTTTGTTGGGTGTCAGCTATTTTTTTGGCAAGACCCTCTCGATTTTTGTTTGGGCATCATTCAGAAACAGATCAAGATCATTCAAGAGTTGTTTGGTTTTCAGAAACTGGTTGGTGATCCTTGTGAAAAGACCGAAGACCTAGGCCTTTCTTTACCTGTGGTGACGAAAGCCTATAGCTGCTATAGCTCAGCTCCCTCAGATGACCTATGTCCTTCGGAAGACCTATGTCCCGCAGCTGCTCCGCTGCCCTCTTCACATCCAACACCCCTTCCCGACGTGCAGAAGCTCCCGTGACCGTGACCCTTAGGAGGCCATTTCCCAAGCCTTCACGTGGAGCGAAACGTCGCTTGGCTTTCCACCAAGACTTCTACTGATCTGACCAGAGTCGGAGTCAGAGTGACGTATGGCACAGCAGATCAAACAGGTGGATTTCGAGGCATGAACAGGTTTTCCAGGGGTTTTCCAGTGAGAGGAGTCAGACCCAGCAGTCAGATGCAGTCAGGCTTTTTCAGCAAAAGGATTTGAAGTGTCCCATTGTTGATGCAATAAACCGGGCGGTTTGGATCGGGCAATGCCAGCCCCAGCGGTTTTTGAAGAAGAGTTCACTCGGTTGGCGAGCGACTGGTAGGCGGCGGCCCAACACGAAAAGGGTGCTGAACTATAGGTCAAATGCATCAGCTTCATGGCCCACCATTGGTTTAATGAATAAATCATCCCGGTTTTAACCATTGTTTCACTAGAATTCACACTACAACAGGTCAACTGAGCTCTTTTAAATGGTCAAATGGAAGGCGAGGCGAACGGGCCAATGGGCTTCTGCAGGGCCGACGGTCGCTGGGTCCGTTCCCAGGACCTTCAGATCGGGGCTTCCAGCCAGCCTCACCCCAGCGAACGGTGCAGCCGTTGGTATCGTTCTCCCCCATTCATCCCGTTCGATCAGCACCGGCCAGGGCACTCCGGGCGTGACCTGGCTCCCCGGCTTCCCGGCTCCCGGTTCGCAAAGTCTCAGGTTGATTTCCAAGATCTTGATGAGGGTCATCCTGGAGGGCACCCCGGCTTTCCAGAACACGCGGCATGAGCGATGCCAAGAACACGCGGCAGACCGGGCGGTGTAGGCACGGAGAGTCAGGTGTGGGCTGAGTTGTGCACGAGAGTGTGGTCGCCACTCGGTGATGGAAGGGCCCTCCAAAGAAATGCGACAGGTTTCAAAAGGGAGATAGGTGATAGTCTTTAGATCTCCCAGAATACCGCACTGCTGCTCGACAAGGTGGAAGGTTTGCAAACATACGAATAGCAACAAATTTGAGATAAATTGTGTGATAAAGTGTTGGCACACTCTGTGCTCAAGCTATAGAGAAAGTTGCTTGGTACTTGATGATCCAACAGCTTTTTTGTAAGAGCTTAGGTTTAAAGTTGTTGCCGCAGTCACCAGCAGTTTGCCGGGTGCGAGAATAGAAGCAGTACTGGTGTCGTAGGCTGAGTGGAGCATAGTAGAACCTATATTACATATATACGTATTGAGCAAAACCTGGTCCTGTATCTCATTGAGACACCAGCAAAGTAAACCTACACCTCCAAGTACCTCAGAAGGCACAAACCCCCCCGGACCCCAGTCCCACCTTCGAAACGAAGGGTACGAGGCCAAACGGGTAAAGGTCCGTTCATGACCGGTTCACTCCGGCCTCGACACTCCGGCCTGAGTGGAGCGGAGCCGATGCTTTGTGGAGCGGACCAGATCCAACCACCGTGGGATCGTCGGGGGGGGATGACACAGAAAGATGACTCAAAGGGACCTCAGGGGACTCAAAGGAGTCAACTACAGAGCTTGGGGTGCTTCTTCTGTTTATTGACGTGAGTGGATGTGTTCTGGGGGCACCCCACCTCCTCAACTGGCACCCAACCTTCTTCCTCCAAGTAATTGGCACCCCAAGCTCTGTGACGCCTGGGAGTCGTTTCTTTTGTCTTTGAGCCGCCATGTCATGGCACTCGAACAGGAAGTCAGGTGCCAAGCAAACCGTTCAGAGGGGGTTCTTTCTCTACATTCTGATGATCAAATAACTACCCGTAATAGAGCCTTCGGTCACGCACTTGGGCTTCACCCTCAGAAGATATAAGTCCTTCACTAGGCCGGCACAGGGCGGGCTAGCCCAGACCTTTGGGCTCTCACTAGTGAGTACTACAATCCGAAAGTGTGAGTTGCTGTTGTTCTTGTTCTTGTTCTTGTTCTTGTTCTTGTTCTTGTTGTTGTTGTTGTTGTTGATGTTGTTGTTGTTGTTGTTGTTGTTATTTGCTGTTGTCTTTCTGTTTATAGCAAGACCGAGCTCGATACGCTCGAGCTCTGCTGATCGAACCCGAGGCTCCACGATCGTGATGAAGGCGATTAACCTCAACGAAGAGGCGCAGAGTGACGAGCAGCAGAGTGATGAAAAGGTGACGAGATGGATGTGGCAAGTCCCATTTGGGCTCTTGGCCCGCATCCTCAGGTTTGGTTGGTGGGTGCCAAGGGGGGTCAGTCCCCACCTGAGGATATGGACCAGGTCTCACTGTCAAACCTGAGGATGTGGGCTAGGAGCCCAAACGGGATTGATGGGTCAAATCCCCCCCAAAAAGGGTCAACATGTGCATGTGTGTGTGTTCCTGTCTCCCAAAGCGTTTCGTTCGACGAAGCCTGTATGGCAAACCCAGACACGCCAATTTTTTCGGAGTACATAAATCTATGCTATTAACTGTAACAAGGCCTCACTAACCATCATCATCCATTGTTGCTGGCAATAAAATAGACCCAACATATGCTAAAAGATGCTAAAATGATAGCCAGCATCCCAAACATACGTGAGCAACGAAGGACTCGAGAAACTTCAACTGAAACTCCGCAACTTTGGTGCGGTTTCCCACTTCTAGAATCTCTCAGCTGCTGCGCATGGCAAATTCTTTCCGGGACACCCACGCCATCCCAGACCCACATACTTTATCATACTTTTGCACTTAAACGATCCATCCATTCACCTGGAATCAATGTAGCTACTTGTAGTACTCAGTAAGGGAAAGGCCCGTTGAACCAATTTCACGAGTTCCTTTTGGTCCCAATCACACACCCCTCCACACCACTGCCTCCATTGTGTTTTAAAAAAACACAGACGACGTGCTCCCACGCCACGACCCGACCACGCCGCGTGCGCGACGTGCCGCGCCTGAAGAGGCAGCCCTTCGAAAAGCCATTTCAGTGGCGCCTCGGGGGCAGCGCGCGCAGCAGCTGCTGAACATTACGGCGGGGACGGAGGGGATGGAGGGAGACACGGACGGAGGAGCGGTGTGACCCGTGTAAACCTCACAGGCTGCTGATTCATGATGTTTCCGTGACAGATGTGTGTGTGTGTGTGTGCGTGTGATGTTTTCTCTCTTCCTGTTCCTTCTCCACTACCTCTCTCCCACTCTCACTCTCACTCTCTCTCTCTCTCTCTTCCGTTCCTTCTCTACCACCTCTACCTCTCTCCCACTCTCTCCCTTGTTCCCTCTGTCTTTCCCATCTCCTTCTTCTTCTAAAGTGTGTTTGTGTGTGATGTTCTCCTCACAAGAGAAGATGGATCACGTCACTTTCAATGTTTTTACTCAAGTTGAGGCAAGCTTGGTTGTGAGGGCGTGCGCATCGCAAGTTCTTCCGTGGCAGAGTGCTCAAGCGAAAGAGAACCGCACATTTGAAGCCTTGCTTTCAATACTGTATTAGATTATAGATGGAAGGAATTGCATGTGAAACTAAGAGCAAACGGAGCATGTCCCTCTTTCAGATTGGTTTCACCAGAATTGTCCTTCAAGCGCAGGGCCACATCAGTTTGAGCCAGAAACTTAGACAAAGGTCCCCATGTTTCAGTGATTGGGGCCAGGAAGCGTCCCTGCTACCGTGCTTTGGCAGATTTTACTAATACATTAAATTCACTCCATCATATATAGGTCTATGTCCCAGTAGAGCTCCCGTCTTCAGCCTCGTCCGCTTTCGCTCTCGCGAAACCCGTCCTCCCCCGGCGCCTCGTTCGCGTCCGTTCGGCTCGCGGCTGCTCCGGTCGAGCTCGCCAGGCTGGGACGCAGTCCTTCTCGCCGCTCTTTTGGGCGATCGACAGTGGGTCCTTGAACTCGGCCAAGGCCATCATCCAGGACCCGGAGAGGCGAGAGGCGAAGAGAGGCGAGAGGCCGGCGAGAGCCCGAAGAACGACCATGGGTTTTGTTAAAGCAACTGCACTGGGTGGAAGGTGCCGTTTTGTGGTTTGTTGGTGGTTTTTTTGCCGCGGGGTGCCGGTCCTGCAGACTACTGGGAAAAGACCGGAGGGGTCATCATGGCCTGAGGTCCTTATTCAGTCTTGGCACAAGGGAAATGGGCTCCGCAGAGTGATGGTGACCAAGTGTACACCGCTTGTGCTGGGGCCTGTGACTCTCCAGATAACCTCCTGATGACTGGAGAATCGTGCTTCGGGTCATGCCCAAAAATTGAAGTGCCATGGTCCCCCGTGGCCAAGTTTTTCGGCGTTAAGTCCCGGGACGAATTTCAGCGCATGATCAGAAATGCTGGGGCGAACTTGGAGCAATACCGGCAGTTCCAGATCTCACAGAGCGTCATCTTCCTGTACTTGATTATGCAGTGGATGGTGGCTTTCTTTGAATGGGCTACTGGAAAACAAAGGGACATTTTCAGCCACGTCGCAACTCCGCCTTTTGCTACAGCGCAACGTCAGCCATGAGCTTTCAGCAACCACCTGACGAGAGTGCTGAAACTTCGTTCTGGGCAGCGGTCTATACCGAGGAGCCCCCAAATGTGCTGTGTGGCGTCTTGACTGATTTGAACCTTCACCGCTTCACTCTCCACCAACAACTGATCATTGGTACTGTCATTACGACGTGCCTGACCATGGAATTTGGCGTGTTCGGACCTACTCAGAGCGGATTCAATCGCTTGTTTACCTTGAACATTTCACTTCACCCCATGACATCCCCCTCACCTGGCTGGTAGCTTTCATGCTACGCCGCCACCCCGTACCCCACCCCACTGAACCTACTTGGGTTCAAACACTCTACGGCGCACAGCACCCTCTCTACACGTGGACCCCGGACGATGTGCAGGCCAAAGCCACAGCCGTGGTCTTGGGCCTAGTGATCTTCCAGACACGAATGATGTCCGTCAATGAAATTGAGATGGCCGTGATGATTCAGTGATGATGATGCTCTATTTTATCAATGGAGCGGCCTATCTCATGATGACGCCTGCGGCGCTCATCATCTCAAACCTCTTAATGGCCTCATTGATCCTGCTTTATGGCTTGGTCTTTGAGCTAGTTGTGACAGGTTTACCGGTGTACTACCTGTTGACACCTTATTGCCAATGAAAATGCGCCTGCGAGTCCTGTTGCCATTGGCAATAGTTTCTCCAATGTGTCATGGGCGGAAATCCTGACACTGGTAGCGAATTTAGCTGCCAGGACATTCTTGATCACAGTCCTGCTTGGCATCACTACTTCTAGTGGTACTATCTACCAGTTTTGAGGCGTCTCAAGTTGGATGGTCAGAACTTCAACCACATTGTCAGTATCGGGGCTGTCGTCTTTATATAACCCATTCTGTACGGCTCCTGGGGCTACGGTAATGGAATCCAACTTTGAGTATGGAGCTTCTACTCAAGTGAAAGGATCCATGAAAGCTGTCTTTGAGGGAAAGACAATTAAAGACCTAGCCCCTTGGCTGATGAAAAGACTAAATCAGTGGCGTTCTCCTGGGTTTGGGGTGAGACAACCATCTCTTCAATGATCTTACCAAAGGTGGTCGCTGAGAACCAGGACTTGGTGAAGCGTTCATACCTAATGACCTAATGACGAAGGAGATCGCCTGTCAGCCCAAGGATCCTAAGAAGAAGATCAGGGTCATCCAGCACCGCTTGGTAATCAAGCATTCTTTGCTCTTGATCACGAGAGCCTTCTTTCTTGTCGTGTGGTAAGCAGAGCTCCTCAATGAAGCCAGTCGGCGTTGTGCATCATCCATCTTGCGAGGAGCCTTCTTTGCAGCTGCCTTCTGGGCCCTAGACCCATTGCCTTCCCATTCCTAGCTTTGGTCTTTGCCGTCGCCCCATGAGCTTTTGCCTTTCCCTTCGGTGCGCTTTCTCTGGCTCCTTCTCGTGCTCTTCCTTACGCTCTTCCGGCTCCTGGCTGCTCTCTGACAAAGCCGCATCATCTTCAACAGCTTCCTCACCGTTCTCACCTCCTCCCTTTCGCCTTCGCGGGGGCGGACAAGGTGGAGGCAAAGACGAAAGCCTGTGGCAGGCTTCGGGAGCTTTCATTTCCTCAGAAGGGACAATGTATTATATTTGTATGCATGCTGTAGATGTTTGGTCACCCTTTACCCATCAACTCCGGACCAGACACTGCAGCAACAGGACTGAAGCCGGATGAATCCATGGGTTGAGTTTCCTGCTCATCCATCCCTGAGAACATCCAGCAGAAACTAGCTTGCAAAAATAATCAGAGAACACATCGACAGCTACCTCAAGAATCTTCAAACTGAGGACAGTGCAAGACTTCTCAGATTTGGCAAGTGGAGCGGTGACATGGCGCTCCAGGTCCAGCGCAGCCAGCCTTGCAGCTACACTCTGTGCCGCGTCAGGTGCACCTTCCTTTGCCAGCTTGGCTCGCTTGCCCTCTGGGGCAGCTTCCGACTCCATTTCCTTTCTGGCTTTCCTAGAGACAAAAGCCTTTCGGGCACCTTTCACTCCCTAGACCTTTGGGTTTCCATCTCAGAAGCCTTGTGGGCAGCTTCCAACTCCAAAGCCCTTTTGGGTTTCCATCTCAGAAGCCTCTCGGGCAGTTTCCAGCTTCTTGGCCTCACAGGTTTCAGCTTCGTTCTTGGAAGCTTTGTGAGCAGCTTCCATCGTCACAGCTGCTGTCTCCACTTCAACCTCTGAAACCTTTTTGTCAGCTTTCCTTGCATCAGCCTTCTTGGCTGACACAATGCTGTTTGCGACCTCCAAGACCTTTGAGCCTTTCTTGGCAGCAGCCTCGATCTGAGCAATCCTTGCCTCAGCAGCTTTCTCACACGCCTCTAGTTCCCTTTGCCATGACTTCTCCCTCTCTTGCGCAGTGCGGTGTGCTTGCGCGCCGCGTGCAGCCCATTGCGCATGGGTGCTAAGAAGCATCTGACGGTGAGCGCAGAGGCAATTGATCAGGAGATTGTCATCACAATGCAGGGCATGACATGGGCATTGAAGCCGTGGTTGGACGAATTGGGATTTGAGGGCCGGTGGATGGAGGAACTACGAAAGGAGTTTTGCCCAAGGAGATGCCATCATTCAGAAGCTCAAAGCCGTGCTCTCGAACATGCACTTTGAATCTCATTTTGAAGCAGTGCCGTGGTTGCAGCAGCAGCTGCAAAGCTAGATGACAAAGCTTCTAATTGTACTAGCTCCTTTTGCAATTGATCTCCTTCCATGGGGGGCGGAAAGAAATCGGAGGATTGCCGATCAGATTTCAACAGGCAATGGACTCTAGGCTTGATTGCTAATGTGGGCAAGGTGCGCATTGCCACCTTCTCTGGTGTCAGCTCAGTGCCGGGGCCTGTGAACAAGCAGTGTATAACTGAAAAGCTTCCCTTGAAGAAAAGACCATGAATGCCTGCTTCAGGACCAGGAGGAGCAGCAGCAGGAGTGTGGACTGTTGAGCCTACCGTACTTGACTGATCAACATGGTCTATCGAAACCACACATTCCATGAAAACAATTTGGAACCATCAACAGTGTGTTCAAAGGAATTCAGCCACACTTGCAGAGTTATTCAGACCCACCTCCAGAGCCTTTTGAAGACGCAGCTCGGCCACTCTCCTTGGCTAGCTGCTTATAAGAATGATCGTTCTGTTCTATAATTCTTGTAACCTTTTATCAACTCCAGGATCTGAGCTACAAACCCCCTCAGACTCTGAGTCCGACAAGTCAGGTCCCGATGCAGAAAGGAGCTGGGCAAGAACTCATACTAAATGACACTGCTTGACTGTTGGTTGGGACTTTGAGCCCTGCATACCTGTAGATGGCACGGATCTGTTCACATCGTGGCACATGTTTGCGCAACAAATGCTGCTTCGTGGAGCTTTACGCGGTTTCCTGGCTGCAGCCAAAGCCGAAGTAATTTAAAAAAACATGGCTTAATTGCTTTAGCTGATCGTGGCCATCAAGCCGAGTGTCCATTGACCTCCTCCCCACGTGGGCAACACATGCGGAAGAACATTTCAACAGCGTGTTCCAAGGAAGACAATGATGGTCTCATTCCAAGGTGATTCAGAGTCAGACCCGCTTGATCACACCTGAAAGGCTTGCAATTGAGATGAACTAGTCATGGTATGGCACTAACGCGGATACTACACATGCTACAGTAATTCTATAATGTCAACTGCGTACAGGGCGAAAATCCACGAGTGATCTTGGTGATCTTGGTGGTCTTCTTCCCCTTCTGGATTCCCAGTGTGCACAAACACTGGTTCAGACCAGCAAGCTCCAGGTCAGGCCGGCCATTCGAGCTGGCCGCTAGGTGAGAAGCCTACTCAAAGGTGGCCATTGTCCAAGGATTGGCGTAAACACGGCTTGGGCAGGAACTGCATCATCAAAAGATGCAATAGCATGACATTCGATCTTCAGAACATGCCAGCATGCCGGGGCAAAGCTCACAGAACACATCTAACGCAGGGGCGCTTGGCATCAAAGATCCCTGCAAACGAAGCACGTGCATGTAAAAAGACACAAAAGTGTAAAGATGTGGCCTTTCTGAAAAAAGATCTTGAGAAACCCAGCTCTGGTCACAGGCATCCATTTCCGTCCTGCTAGGGATTGGTTCATGGGTGCAATACAAAAGCATCGAAAAATCAACTTGCCTGGAAGCACACATTGCTGGGTCCTTGGCACATAATTGATTTCCGAGGACAGGAGAAAACGACCCACGTGCCTTGAACCCCTCCAAGGCTGCAAAAGCGGCTGGCGCAAGCCATTCTGCACACTCAATGATAAAAACTGTCAAAACCTCACCAAACCCTCCGAATTGGGCCCTCACACCAAAAAGTGCTCGTTTCCGACAAATGTGGTCGATTTCCAAGTTTGTGCACGAACAAAGATATCAGGTAGCAGACCACCAAGTGGACACATTAATGTGTACCAAAGGGGGTAGACCTTGGCACAACACGGACAAGTGTCCCCTTGGACAACTGTTCCCGGGACGGTACGGTACCCGTGTTTAATGATTGCATGCAAAAACCATCCCTGCGTCGTTGTAAACGCCCTTTGGCAAATGAGGCAAACATGAAAAGACTGCGCATGGGATGGAATGACTACTCCACACCCAGTGGACGACACTTGTTGGGAAGGCTTTTCACCGACGCCGGACGCGGCCGACATCGCGGACCGCGGACCGCACGACGTTCCGGCAGGACTTGTTGACCATCCGTGCGGATCGAGAGGTCTACTACTATGGTTGTGAGGACCGATCTGCGCGTTGGGAACGGCTTCGCCCATGCGAAGCCCCACCTGGATGGTCTGGCGACCATCGAAAGGTGTCCAGAAGGGGGACTGATTGTTTGACAGGCCACGTAAAGCAGTACAACAAGAAAAAAACACTTACTTACGTGTTTTACTCTAGATTTTTCCATTTAAGAAATTAGGTCTATACTTGGTTTTGGGGTGTAAAACTCTCAGTATTCGCCATATGGCTATGGGTCCAAAACCTGCAGCCCTAAATCCTGGTAGGTTGAGCGCCCAGTCTATCTTAAATTAAATGCTTTTCGGTGGTCGACCAGGCTCCCCTGGTTTTGACCCACCCCCATATCCCCATTTGACGGGTAGACCGGTCTATTGTTTTTCTTGAAAGGGGTCATTGCCTGGGAAGTCTCCCTATTTGAACATGAATGTGCAAGGTGTTTGATACATAGCTCGATATACTTTGATATTTGTAATTTATAAGCCATTGGGGGGAGTGGGTTGGAAGACTTTTTGGAAGATAACGTGAAACAAGTAGGCTGCTGTTTCACTGTTCTGTTGGTTTCAAACGGATAGAACTTTGAGGAAGATTTGCCTGACATCCTGCATTGGCGGTCGTGGTTCTCAACATAAGTCCTCAATACACGTGCATTCCACCAAAGCAGCTTTGGCAGCCTCCTGTGAAAGTGCTAGAACATCCAATGTCTTGTTCTGATGTGAAGATGTTCTCAAACCTCGGTGGCCAATTCTGCACTCCTTGCGTTGGCACTTGTGCTCCATGCGTTGGCCACGGTGCAGCACAACCAGCTGCCACGATCGGAATGTCCACGCTGCACCTCGTTTCTTCCGCATTCCGCACGGTTTCGTCCGTCAACGCGACGAAGCGACGTGAACTCTTTCAACGCAGCGACACCAGGAACTCTTTCGCCGACACCCGAACATCATCAAGCGCCTCTGTACGAGCTCCTCGGCGCGTTCCGGCGAAGACGCGAGATCGAAGAGGTTCGGTGCGTGGCCAGGCGATCGAATGATGTTAAAGGAAAAACTGTATGTGGTGTACCAGCACCCTCAAGGGGTGGTTAATGGACACCCCTTAACAGCTAAGAACCTATAAATAGACACTTGGAGGGTCCTGGTATGTGGTGGTGGAAACATAGCTTGTTTGATGTAGTGCAACTGTATGTTCGACCCCCAGCACCCAAAGGTTTGGGCTGGAGCCGAAGATGCTTGTGGAGCGGCCCCTCCTTTCCGCCTCCAGGGAAACCACTCCGACTGAATCCGTTGAAGTGGATAGCATGGACCGTTCATGATCATGACTCATCCAAAGGCCCAATTCCGGTGGTTTCCACTCACTCCACTGACGTCCATGCTTATGTCTGAGTGGTTTCCCCGGAAGACGTGTGCTGTCTCGCCTTTGAGAACCTGACCAAAAAAAACTGGCCCACTCCTCCAAAGAACCGCTAAACCGGAGCGGCACCGAGCGAAACTTCACCCCCCTCGCCGCCCTCATTTCCCGCCCTCGAAACCGCGCCTCTCGCCGGGCCCTCGTCCGAAGCTCCAGGTGCTCCGACGCTCTTGGAAACGCTCCTGGACGGCTTGATCTGGCGTTCCCGGGTGACCAGCGAAGGCCTGCGACGAGTGACCCGACGAAGGCGAAAGCGCGCGCGCACCAGAGTGAGGTACGGACCGGACCGGTGGGGTTGGGATGTTCTGAAGGGAAAGGGATTGGAAGAAAGTGAGCTGGGGCATAAGCAGCTGAGGTGAACTACTACATCAAGCACTTGATCCAGGACCTATCCGCATCGCGTCACGATCCCCCTTTTTCCGTGGATCAGCTGCAGGGAAAAGCTTTCTGAGATTTGGGATAGACATGGTTTGCCCGCCCCACTCAACTCCTGAGAGGGGGTTTCTGGCTACAGAGAGGGGATCACACTCATTGCCACAGCAACACAACGTCTCAACCACATGAGCTACGATCAAAGCCCCAAAGTGCATTGGTTTTGAGGGGTTATAAGTCCCAAATACTCCATGGGACTGGCATATGCTCCATACATTGACCCCTGGTCAACCACCCCTGGCCGTTTCTCGGCACATATGGCAGTGCCAGACGGGTCGTGTCTTGGAGTTGCAGATGAGCAAATTCCAGATCCATCTGGTTATAACTCGTTCTGGTTTTGTCAATGGCCTGACAACCCATTCTACGAGATGTCGAAGAAAATGACCTGCAGATGGCGCTTCCCCGGAATCGAGACCGGAGAGTGAGCCGGGTGAGCGTGTCCCTGTTGCAGTCCTCCTGGTGTTGGGCAAACACCTTCGCAAAGTTGGACCCTTAGAAATTAGCCCAGATTGGCCTTCAAATCGATCCATCAGAGGTGCCAGATCTTGTGGAGACAAATGCAGGTGCTGCCTCTTAAGAATAGATCTTTGCGCACGCTCTCTGAATCTTTCCACTGGATTGTTGAGCACATTCAAACATTCTCGGGTGATACATTGATACCCACCTCTCGAAAGCAACGGGCATGGCTTCAGCCTCACACTCTTGGGCTTCTCCCCTCCACATCGCTTTGGAGTCTCCGGTAGACTGTCGAATCGCTTCGCGAGACATATGGGTATGCCCTAAACTTTACCGAATCAACTAAGGATTTTACACTACAAACACCAGGTCAACCAATTTTTAAATGGTCGAACGGAAGCCTATAGCATATGTTGCATGTCCCAGTTTCAGCCCCACCTATACTCCTCGGCAGGGACCAGTTTCTGCCCAGGTCCGCTACGGTCGATCCAATTCGTCATCCTTTAGACCAAACACGCTTTTACTGTAACTTCTCACGCTGAACGCCCGCCCCCTTTTCATACCGGTTTGGCGGGATTTGGCGTATGTTTGTAGGTAGGAAAACCGCTTCTGGGGAATCTCCTTCTTCCAGGTTGGACAGCAAATCCAGGTCACACCGACCCACCGGACCCACCCGTCGCCGTAGCCGTTCGGCATCGGGCTCGGCGGTTCAGGATCGAGGGCATGTAGAGTGCATCCAGTATGTTTTCAGGGACTGAGCTAGCGGCGTTTTGAGCTCACTCACCAAGGTTTTTGCCTGGAGGAAGATGAATCGATTCATCCTTTTATGACATGTTATGAACAAATATGAATAGTTGTTTTATGAAATGGAACGTTTATCCAATTGGATTGGCTTATATATATATATATAATTACTTTAACTAAATTCATTCTCCTTTCCTGCCAGGATGAGGAGGGCAACTTTGCACCTGCCATGGACGATGTCGTCCAACATGCCGACCCCAAGACACTCAGCCTGGAGGGAGAAAAGCGATGCACCGCTTTTCCGATCTCAAATTTGAAGAGCACCCTGAAGTGAATCACCTTGAAATTTGAAGCAGAATCACCTTGAAGAGTGAATCACCTTGAAGTAGAAGCTGAAAGCTGTCCAGTTTTCAACCCCAGACTATCCAATGTGTGGAATAATTACATGCGTTTACCCCATGTATGACCCTAATGCAAGTAACTCTTCCAGTCCCAACAGGGGTTCGTAATGGTTCGTACCATATGATCAGATTCATTATCATATACCTAGATAGCCTGACATGACTAGTTTTCATACAGGGAAAATCAAGAAGACGCTTGCTTGCTGCCGTTTTGGAAAACAGAGAGACCTCAGGCTGCGTTGACAGTGGGATTGGCTTCCTACCTGTATTTTTTTCCACACACGAAAAAACGCGTGCTTTCTGCTATGTTGTGACTTGCGTTTACATGGGGGAAACCAGTTTATCAAGTTTGGAATTGGCTTTATCAAGGTCTGGACTTATCCGTAACGCGTTTACGGCGACCGGTGTGGTGCTCACTATTCAGATGGTGTGGATGTGCAGAGCGTGCAGAGTTCCGACGAACGGGTGGCCACGCACTGGTGGCAACGACCGCCGTTGCCGGTTCCACAAAGATTGAGCATGAGCTGCTTCAGACCATCTTTGGAATTGGTTTCGATGTATATAAGTGGAGCGATCATGTTTGCTCGCCACAGTTGAATGTCAACATATGCCAACCATGTGTATGTGTGTAAGCTCAAACCAATTTGATTTCAGATGCCCCATCCATCAATTTTAACTTTCTGTGTTACTCTGAGGTATTCTCATGAAGTTATCCAGCATCAATTGCCCTCACATGCCCATCCCCTCAATTCTATCTAAAAACCATGGCCAGACCCTTTGTGGAATACCCTACTGCGATCTCGATCGCGGTGTTCGTCGCTGGTTTTCGTTCAATCCCCCCGACCGAGTCCAACCGAGGATTGCAAGCCACCCGTGCATGATCTTGGCCACGGACATGGCATCCTGGACGCAGTCGTCCGCGGGGTCCGCGCGGGGGTTTTGCTGAGTACAACTATAGTGTTCGGGAGACCCAAGCGGAGAACGATGACCTCATAGCAGCCTCCACCCTAGTAGCGATGGCCTCCACCTAGTAGCGTCCACCTAATAGCTTCCAACCTAATAGGAATGGCCTCCGACCTAGTAGCGATGGCCTTTGAGACCCAAGCACAGGATAAGACAAGTCTTGAAATGTTTACGACGTGTTCGAGGGTCAGGGAGTGCGGGAAGAAAGTTTTTTGAACAGTAATGGTGATCCGGAGGAGAGTGGTTTGACGGTGGTGTCAAGACAGTAGTGAATGGGGGCATACCCGGCCGGATTCTATGCAGGATGCACGCTGCTTCGTCCACAACTATGTCCAGAACATGAGAATGGAGAACGAGAGCACATATCAGATTGCCTCCCGCTAGGGATAAGCACGAATACCCTTGAAACCTGCAGTGTTTGAGACACCTTTTGCAGACATCCTTTTTTCCTCCTACCGTGCGCGTTGCTCGACACTACACACAGACCAACACAGCACAGCCCTCTCTTCAAGGCCTGACAGGCCTAACAATTTGATGAACTTTTTGGATCAATCCGATTGGCCCCTGTCTCAAGTAGAATCCCACCAGAATCTGGGTTCAGCCATGAAAAAACTAACAGAAATCAATGCCACCCACACTCTTGGGCACCAACAGTACCCAGTCCATTCGTATATAGTTACGACCACATGGATGAGACGTGGCAATCCCAATCGTCTCATTCGCCACGATGCCTGGCCTGGGAAGCCTTCCACAGCGGCGCCGCCAAGCGCGCTCTGACAACAGAGGTTTCAGATCCCTAGAGAGTACCCCATCAGGTACCCGGAGAGGTGCTGCAGGAGACAGGTCCTAAAAATAAGTCACTTAAAGCCTCTCCCTGGAACCGGGTATCGTGGAGTGAGTCACCGCCTGGCCCTCCGGTCTTGTGCCACAAGCTGCAGGGCGAACTGCGCAGACAGCGGAAGATGAAAACCTCAAACATCGGGAAAGAACCCCAGGCACTCCATGGGACTGTATGCCAATCAATTGACCCCTCTATCAGCGCTCACCTTTGGCCGTTTCTCGGTACATATACCAGTGCCATTAGTCGTGGTGTTTGGGATCTAGTCCTGCTTTGAACCGATGTCAAAAGGGCGAATAGGATCCCGAACGTTTCTCTCGGAAAGGCGGCGGCTGCTTGAGCGGCGGCCGGTGAACACCTCTCTCGGAGAGGTCAGGGACCTCTCCCAGAAAGACCATCCATAGGAATCCAAAGGAATCCAATGCACAGGAAAAAATGGCTTGTATAGATTAAATATAGAGGTCTAAGGGGAGCCCAGAAACCCTTAAGCTTTTTACCTTTGGGGCTGTACCAGTACTTAACCCTCACTGCCAGGTCTTTCGTTGAGGGTGCCCGAATTCAGAGGTCTCAAGTCGACCTACAGAGTCGGGTCCTGGCACAATCTTAACCCAGACACGACCCATGGGACTGCCATATATGCCGCCCCATTGACCCCCCCCTGGCACCACCCCTGGCCTGATCGGCATATATAGCAGTCCCATGGAGTGTCTGGGTAAAGTTTATTCTTCTTTGGCATCCAGGACTCGGTGGGTATGAAATAGTTACAACCACTTGGATTTGATCTGGTCATGCATGGGATCAATAAACGGTTCCAGCCGGCTGGTGAAGCAACTGCATCGTATCTTGGTTTGTTTCCGAGCCAAATCCTTCCACATCACATCTGGCTTTCTTGGCCTGCCTCAGGTTTGGTTCAAGTTTGCCACCTTCTATTTCTTGCTGAGCCACGCCGGTCGCATTCGTCGCTGTGGGAGAGCCGGGCCCCAACGGTTTGAAGCTGACGATACGTCCGGTCAAGCTGGAGTGGGTTCAGTTGGGGCATTGCGGAGCAGAAAAGAAGGGTGTCCCCTCATGGACATGTTCATAACCCAGACACTCCATGTATGCCATATATGCCTACATTGAGGTGGTGCCAGTGGGGTCAATGGGGCGGCATATATTCCAGTCCCATGGAGTGTCTGGGTAATAGCAAATCAATCGGACATTTGTGATACCGGTAGCATCAATCGAATCGGTGGGGAGGGCGGTACGAAGCTGTGCGGCTGGACGGTTCCAACCACTATCATACATTGCAGTGGATGGAACAGCATGGAACAGTGACCCGAAGGTTTTACTTTTTTATCTTATATATAATATATGTTTTTTAAAGCAGGATCGCTCATGCGATTCATTTGGTTCCTGGATGTTTGTTGGGAAACATAAGTGTCCGGGAACGGGAACCGACCACTTCTGCCACCGAGCACCAGTGGCTGTAAATGAGACCAAGTAAACCCATATGCACTTTAAGTCCTGTTGGCTCATTCCTACCAGGGGATTTCGGTATGTTGATCTAATATTTTTGAGGGGCCGGGCCAGCCAAATCTGTAGCGGGTCTCAACAAGCAAGTAGGAGTTTCTGGAGCAAAGTGATGAGGTTTGCAGGTGAGGAACCCTCCGCTTCCACCCCCCATTCGGACAGCTTGGAGTTCAACCACCGCAGCTCAGTGCTGAACCAGCAGTTCAGCACATCCATCGTGGTTTTCGCCGAACGACCCGCACACGGCACCGCCCCAAATCACGGTCCTTTTCATCGCAGCGAACGACATAAACCCATGGCTGTCCTCTCGTCCTCCCAGGCCTTCGGACCTGTGGTTTGGTTCGTGAAGACCAGTCGACCCAATCACTCATCCCCAGACACGACTAATGGGACTGGTATATCTACCTTCAAAACGGCCAGGGGTGCTGTTATATCTCGGGGTCTGTCTGGGGCGGCAAAAAAATGACAGACATGACAGGATGTGTTTGGGATCTGAGTCGTGCACCGAGGCCGCGGCTATTTCCTGTTCACCTTGCTGGTCTTCGCCTCGGGGCAGACCATCCTTGTGAGACACCAGGCGCGCCGATGGTCGGGTCGAAGGGCTTCATCCGATGGTCAGCGGCGGAAAGTCGGTGGCTTCCGCGACTTCCTGTTTATTGAGCACACCCCAGTTGATGAGGATTTTGGGGGAAAGGGTAGTAGAGCCATCCATGCAGAAATGAGAAAGCCTGGTGCATGTTTTTGAGGGAAGTTTGGACATCCACTTCGATCATCCTTCAAGTTGGAGGGAGGGATTTCTGGTTTTGAGCCAGGAGTAACAACAGCAGATGATATGTTCAATTCGTCGAAGTTTGCTTGAGGTTGTTTCATGCGGTGTCCTTTGCCCATGAGTTCAGATTGAGGCTTGAGGAGCAAAAGCCACCATCTTGTCTAGTCTAAGGAATTTGGACACAAGCAGGTCGAGAAAGGTGCCGCAAAACGCGCAGTGTGTGGATGCCCCTGCAGAATTTCGATGTTGATCAATGCCAGACCTGCTGCCAGACCCGAGTCCTGCCCGTCAGTACCTGGTCACCTGAACAGGATATGACCGAGTGGAGTTGGTGACGAACGATGGGATATATATATTGGCCGGGTTTACCCTACAGGGTCAGGAACAGGTCAGGAACTGACCTTATTTGGAGTTGATCAGTTGATCAGACCAAAGCACTGGTTCCTTGCACGTAGCAGGTGACCGACTACTGGGTCTGTATTAGTATGGACTCGCGGACTCCAATTCGGTGCTCGGTTCGGTTGGCATCTTCGGTGTTCGGTGTCAGCATTTCGGGACACATGGATTTGGTTCTGTCGGACCAAGCAGGATCTCGGAGGATGCCTGGAAGAGCCACCTCCCGGAGTAGCCACTTTTTTCGAGGAAGCAGCAATTCTGCTTTGCGGCCCCCGTTGAGACGGGAATCAGGTCGAAGTTGGCACCCAAGAAAGAAGAAACCTCAGGGATCCTCAGGGATGCCTGATTGCCTGTATGCTGTACTAAACTATAGCACTCACCACCCACACAGGATGTTGGTAAACACATGGTCAGGGAAGTCTAGAAACCACTAAAAAAGCTGGGTGGTGTTGGTACTTATGGTACGTCGCTTCCCTTTTCTTTCTGAAGATGAGCTGAAACCATCCACGGCCATCCACCATCCACGGCCACGCTCTTGGCAGGAGATGGAGACACAGGAGGAGACGCGACGGTGGAACCACCACCCGAGCGACGGACGGGTCGACCGGCCCTTCACGGCTTCCCTCGAGCCCTCCCAGACGCGACGGCTCTGGGGCTCTGGCGAAACGGCCGGGCCAGGGGTGGTGGTGCCTGGAGGGTCAGTTGATAGGCATCAATGGCAGTGCCATGGAGTGCAGGGGATTGATTGAATGGTCTGTCTGCCATGGAGTGTAGGGACCGCCCCAGTCCCGTGCGAAACGTCACTGGACCGTGCGGAGCGCGCGGAGCGACCGAACGGGGAAGTGACCGAAAGCGACGCTCCGGCGCTCCCAGTCAATATCACTTAATTGGGTTAGTTAGACTTGGTTTTGCTTAGGGTGATGGAACCAACATGGAAGTGGAGTTCACCCCCTGTTTGTAAAGGAAAGTAGTCTTCCAAGGGACCATGCCATCCACATAAGCAATGTTAGTGAGTCAGAGTGTAACTATAAGGATTGTGCCAATCACGAAGTAAGCCACCGACCGTCTCCCCCGTTCGCCGGCATCCACCACCAAAGAATCCAAATCATTTCGAAATGCTGGGAATCACCTTGGACCTATCCTTAGCATGAGCTCCTTAGCATTACGAAGGATTTCACCACTACAACAGGTCGGTCAACCGAACCTTGCGTGTCGGAACCACCGAACGGAACCACCGAACGGGAAAAAAGGCACCCCAAGCACCGCCGGTCGGAGAGCGAAAGCGGCCGCCGTGGCGAACGAAGGCTCCTGTCCGTGGTGACGGCGTTGGTGTTGTGTTGTGGAGCTAGTTGTTGTTGTGTTGTGGAACGAAGAACACCCAAAACCTAGGTCAGCTTGTTGATTGACCTCCCCCTAGTCCCAAAACCTCCCAATTGTTTAACCATCCACGCATCCTGGGTGGTGCTCGCAATTTCAAGCTGAAGATACTGCAGGGTGTCCGAGTACCAGTAACTGTTGGCCAAAGATTATCACTGTTTGTTGGTACAGGCAACTATAACTTATGTTGCTAGCAATGGTTTAAGGGGATATGGGTGTGTGTTGATAGAGAGACCACCCAAAGACCCTGGAAGAAGGAAAATAGACCAAAACCATCCAAAACCCATTGGTTGGTTGGGTTCTCCCTATAAAAACACCCACCCACATTATATTATATATTTATATATATTTATATCATGTTATATCCCTACCCAGTCAGTGCATAACCTTTACAATTTCTTTTTGGGGGGTGGTTTCCCACCTAAATTCCAACCTTTATTCTCCAGAGAAACGGCAGAAACGGCTCAGTCTCCAAAATATCGTGTCAAGACTGTCGGTATGTGAAGACTGCGGTGAAGTTCTGTCTGTTTTTTCCCCAATGGGCCAAAGAGATCGAGCCAGATCCGATCCGCCCCTAGGTCTAGTCACTAGAGACGACACAACAGAAGACCCTCCTCGCCGCGAGGGTCGACCCGAGATACCGTCCAAGGGAGCGCTTTACATCTCGGACCTGGCCTGTCAGATCCGAGATACCGTGCTAGCAGGGGAGTCCCAACAGGACACCCAAACAGGATGGTGAAACGGTGGTTTTTGGTTGGAGGTGACTTGGTTTGCTCCCGGATCCAAGTTATCCAGTGCAGAGCCCTCGAGCGCCTCGAGCTGCGAGCCTCACTCCCGTCGCAAGCGCGAAGAGATGGTTTGTTGCACGGGGCAAGGTCCTGGGTTTTGCTCAGAGTCAGAGTGATGATTCTCCCTGTGGCCAAATCCCCTTCTGGGATCTTTCTTCCAGTTCAGCCAATCCAATCCAACCAGCCAGAACAACACTGAGTCCCTCCCGTAGGAACGCTACGTCATGCTGGGTTGTCGCCTCTTCTTGTACATGGTCGTCGCTTGGAGCCGGATCGCGAAGACGAAGCGGAACCGGAAACGGAACGGACGGAACGGTCGGACGATCTTCACCTTGGTCCAAAGAAAACATCCTCCGAACACATGCAAGATCATGCAAGTGGAGTTCACCACCTGTTTGTAGAGGATATGTTGTTCTCATGCAACGGACTGCCTGCCATCCACCACGTGATGTGTTCGTCGTATTCTCGGGCTTCTCCCCGAACCAAGCATCTTTCGGTGGACGGGAGGCTGAAGGGATCGAACCGTCGCTGAAGAGCCCGCGCGCTCGCGCGCCGCGCCTGTCCTCCCATGGTCCGGATGCGGTCCTGAAGAGGTTCAATGTGAAACCTGGAGAAGCAATCGAAAGAGAAACGATATACATATAATCATTTGAAGTAGTGGAAGGGGTAGTGCTGTTGCATCATCAGAGTGATCCTGTATCTAACCAGTCTAAAACTGCGAATCATTAAAGCAAGTCTCTTTCATGTGTGACTCGGCCTCCAAAAAGTGTTCCCAAACCCCACAAACGCATCCAGAAACCACGCGATGGTCGAAACCATCGCGCCATGTCTTCAGGTCATGCCAGCCATGTTAGCGAACTTTGTCATGCTCCTCGGCAGGGGGTCGTTGCTTCGCCGTTCCGAGGGTGATGTGCTCCGGTGGCTTCTTGGGACTTCCCCGGCATCGCAAGGGAACGAACCGACCAAGAGTGAGCGAGCTAGCGATCTGCGCCTGACCAGAAGATGGACACAGATCTTTGACCAGACAGGTCGTTCTTCACACACTGCAATACACATTCCTGGACCTGAAAAAGGGCTGGGATCGACCTGGAGATCCCAAGTAGTGAGCTGAGGGCGCGCGCCCATGTGACGTCCGACTTTGGACACATTCATGCGCAATGAGCTGGGTGTGGAGTTCTGGCTCTGCCCGCTCCGGCTCTGCCTGCTGGTCCTTCCGGTTTTCGGTGGAGTTCAGACCTACTCACGACCCCCTCGCGCCCCAGCGCACGGAATCTCCCACCATTCCAAGCCAAGCCAGATCATCCTCGAGAATATGGAAGTGGCCTGACAACCGACGTTACCCCCGTTCTGCGGCAAATACCTGGCTGGTTGGCATCCGGAAAGAGAATTCAAGAAGAAAAAGCACAGCGTTCAGATGCGTTCAGAATCCAGACTGGTACACTCTCTTAACGGCAGGCCGGGGTTGACATCGGAGTGTATCACCACATATCCGAGAATGGTGGCGGCCACCCACCCAATGGGTGCGCCTTTCGGGCCGTTGAACACCGCTTCCACCACCACCACCGCTACAGCGGAGGACTGGAAGAGTTTCATCATATAGTTCCCAGACACTCCATGGGACTGCTATATATGCCGATCAGTTGGGGTGGTTTGGGGGGTCAATATATGGCAGTCCCATGGAGTGTCTGGGGTTATTAATACAAACCCAGTGTGAACATGACCCCCTCCATTGTCATGGAACTCTTCCAGTCCCAGACCTCGTCTCGTCACCTGGGACGGCGCTTCCGCCGGCGAAACCCTGCGATGTCCTTTCGTCACCGTCCCTTGTTCCTAGACCATACACTCCATGGACCTGCCATAGATGCCGATCCAGACAGACCCCCCTGGCACCACCCCCCCGAACGGCCGTTTCTTGCCAGTCCTTTGTCCCAGACGGGTCGCGTTGTAGGCGCAGGGCAGGCGGACCGGGCAAGAGCGCGCGCGCGCGGATGCCCGGGCGTCCTCAGGCTGTGCATGCGGGACGTGCACTCGCGGCACATGAGCCGACTCTGCGGACTGCCCATCCCAGCCCCTCGGGTGGAAGGGGTTGCGCGTTCGCGGAGGTGGATGGGAGAAAGAGGGGGTGAAACTGATGGGAGTGGGTGAAGCTCCTACCCACATGGAGCTTCGTGTCGATGAGATTCCAAAAGGTTTAAGAATCCAGGTAGATTCTCTCTCTCTCTCTCTCTGGTAAATTACACTTTTTCGTTGTTGGTCCGCTTGCGAGTCTAACAAGTATCCAGCAATGCGCGATCCAAAAGGTCGACTTGTTGGTCTTTCTTCGTCCGTTCGGAAGTGGTCGATCACCGGTGATCATTGAAGCTGCAAGATGGGGGGTGAACCATCCACACCCTCCGATGCGGGCTTTCCCGCCCACCCTCGGTGCCTCCCGGGACACCCCGGGACACCCTCCGGTCCTGTCTCAACGCGACGACTCGCGGGGCCAGGCGAGCCTGAAGGAGTTCGACAAGGCGCGCGGAAGACGACGTCGGAGAACGAGGTGAAAAGAATTGCCTGTCTCTCCCTTGGGGGTGTAATGTTGACTCTTGATTCATAAGCCCCTCGTATGAAGAGGATGTTCGATTCAAGTGGGGGGGTGTTATTAATCAACTAGTCTACATTAGTGTTTATATACCTGTAACAGTCGGTAAAGAGATATCACAACGTTAAACTATAGTACTAACCATCAACCAAACCATCCCAGTGCTTGGTTGCTTTTGTGAACGATAGTTTTGAGAGTGTGCAAAGCATGACACCTATGCGAGGGGTGCTCCATACTTCAGGCATTCACTATTGTGTTTGATGGTTACAGAGCATGCCAGGATGGGTAGCTGGTTACACAGCAAGAAGAGAATCAGTATGAGATGTGGAGATGTGTCCGAAAAGAGAAAGTTGGATCAAGATTCACCTCTGAATGTGCAAACCTTGGGACTTGGCACTTCTATCCCTTGCAGTTTGCGGTTGTCGGGTGAAGTGATGTTGTATTTTCAAGGTCCCTCTATAGGGCTGTGCAGTTGCCAACGCACCCCCAGACTGCTGGGAGTTGAGTCGCTGGGCTGTGTTGTTTCCAAATAAGACCCCAGCAGCCCGCAACTTTTGGCCGATGGTTCCTGGTAAAGCCTGGGGGTGTTGCCTCCAAAACGGCACCAAACCGGCTCGGATCGGCAACACCTGGACCCTTGGACGGGTCCCTTACGCAGAGTCGACGAGAGTCGACGACGCAGCCAGGCCTTGCGATTGTGCCTGCTTTGGGTGATGGTGTTCTTGCCACTTGGCATGGTTCGACAGCGTGTGATTCATTTCGACAGCACCGGTGAGAATGGGGCCCCGGAGGGCGGAGGGCGGAGGGGACAACGGAAGTGAGATGGCATGGGGTAGCTTGTTTCAACACGTTTTGGAGAAACACCCAATAGTGTGTCTTCAAAATGACATGCTTTGATTCACTGATCCTTTTTTGTTTCCTTCATCCCGCCAACACAGAGTGGAATCAACACTGTTCCATGTCCCTCGTTGGTCAGCGTTTGGGGTTCCAGACCATTTCGCCGCTGGAAGGTGCCACTCTGTTTTCTCGCACCACCCAGCTTGGGGGTTAACCCTGACCATCGGTTTTCCATCAAACATCCTTTTGGGTGGTGCTGTCAAGGATCTCTTGTGGCCTGCAGGATCTCTTGTGGTCTAGATGTTTGGTCGGCCAGACCACGCAACATACACGTTGTGATGGTTATTCAAGGACACCAGCCTCCGTGGGATAGATTATGGTGTGACGATTTGGTTCTATACAAGGCATCGCAGACATGAGTGAATCCATCATAGATCAGATCAGCACTAGATTTCAGGCTTTCTCAGAAGAGAGAGTCATCCCACGATGCTTCTAGAGGACCGGACGGAGGCAGATGATGTTCTCAAAGGGATGAGATGCTTGAAAGTCTATCCGTTCATTTGTTTTTTTTGGCCGTGACCTCATGGGGTTTGTTAGACTTGGTTTTGCTTAGAGTGATGTATACTTTTCCCTGAAGCCCCTTCTGGAAAGTGCAGTGAACTGTCTACATACATAGGAAGATAGAATTCACATAAGGCCACAGTTGCTGAGCTTCATGTGGTTTTGATTGTTTTTGTATGTTTTTCTACAACTTATTTCTCTTGTATTTCTCCAGCTTGCCAATTGGCACAGTAACACAGCACTGGTAGCATGTTGGCTGAAAATCAAAGGTCTTCACGCCACCCGTAGTCCTACGTATGGCGCCCTCAAGGTGCGTGAGAAAACAGTAGTTCAAGGATCCGAGTTTGCACACGAAGGTGCAGCTGGTCTCAGGAAAAAACTGCAACGTAAGCTGGCATGAAGGAGAGGCTGTGGAACCGGTAACTGCGCAAACTGCTCAAGCACTGCTTCCAAACATTAAGATCGGCACCGCACTGGAACACTTTCCAAACATCCTAGAAGAGACGGATACTCCCGTGAAGCATGATAGACTGGCTACTCCGCAAGTCGAGCTACTGCAGAATTGGAACAAGTCTTGTGGCTTCATATACCACTGTCCTCACACAGGCGCTTGGCCAAGAGCAAATCCGGTCGTCCGGGCAGTGCTTGCACGCTAGCGGGCTCTTCCTTCACAGTGTCCATTCCCGCAGCCCCACACTCCCCTCCCCTCTGCTTCCTGTGCTGCCACATGAACATTCCCGTGCTTGGGACCTCCGTTCCACTTCCTTTGACATGCCCTCGGTCATTTTCCACTGCCCTTACGCAGTCTGGTTTGGATTCATACCCTTTTCTTGCCACGACGTTGGCCGCATCAGGTCTTGCACGGAGCCGATGTTGTGGTGCATGAGCCTTGCCGCATTCAGGTCGGGAGGTCTCCCCTGCGTCAGGGTTCGTTGGGATGACAAAACCGGAAACTCCAGACAATTCACCCGAAACACAGGAAGTCATCCCAACTTGGACTCTCCTGATTAGACGTGCCAAAGGTCCTGATGCTCCGGAAAGAGACCAATTCCACCAAGACCCACGTGATTGAAGGGGCGGCGGGGAACGGGAAGTGAACGGAGGACCTCCGGGTGACCTCCCCGTGGTTTGGGTGACCTCCGGTTTTGGTTGACCTGTTGATTTTCGTTCCTGGGTGTTTGTTTTTATTTCTGGGCTTGTATTTTTCTGGCATAAGGGAATTTGTTCTTTCCCGGTTTCTTGAAAAGAACATGATGGTAAGTGTTGGTCAGGGTTGTCTTGCCGAGTGATGCTAGGGAAATAACCTGTTGGAAGCTCATGTAGAGTCTTGATGAATAGCGCCACCCCAGACATGGATGGTAAAAGCATGTAAAACCTCTCCATATGGGTGATTCATCATGAGTCCACATGGAATACTCTTTGGAGTACACCAAACTGGGACATTTCTACCAGACCCATACACTCCATGGGACTGGAAGATCTGCCCACTCCAGACAGTCCGGCAGTCCCAGACCGGTCGCGCTCGGCGTTTTCGACGCGCCGTGGCCGGTCGAGGAACAGCGGCTCGCAAGAGTTGGCCTTTTTGACCGACTGCCCCGAGATTTCCACAGAGGCACCGAGAACAAAGGGGGTGTGAGAGGGTGTGTGTGTGTGTGTCTCCGTTTGGTTTCATCGCAACAGGAGAGGTAAAAGAGGATCACTTGTTGCTCGAAATGTCGGCCTGTAAGCTGTAGGTTATTGTAGGTGATGTTGTTGTTGGTTAATGAAACGCCACTGGTTTCATGGCAGAAAAAAAATGATGAAAACCCCAAAAAAACAAACGCCAGAAGGACTCATGCCACTTGTGCGGTTTTGGAAGCAGTAGGCATGTTCTCATCCACTTGCCCTGGAAGTCCGTTCGACCGTTTGAAAAGGGGGACGACCTGGTGACCTGCCGTGTGAAAACCAATGAAAACAATGGTTGTTCGGTACCAGGACCTTCCAACAGATGGTTTTTGGACTGAAGAGGCTATTTACAGAAAGGTCGTGGGCTTAGAAGCCTTTCATGGTGGGCGGGTAGAAGCCCGCCGCGGCGTGGCGCTTCTCTCTAGCCTACGGAAGTCTGCGCTCGCGCTGTCCGGAGGATCGGCAGATGCATCGATCAGCCCAGATGTATTTACCAGGACCCTCCTGTCGGGGTGTCTATAAATAGCCTTGTAAGGAGGTGATTCGGGGCGTCCAAAACAAACACCGGATGAGAGGAAGGTCCTGGTAGGATGTTTCGGACTTCAGGCACTTAGCGGCCAGGACTTGCCGGAAACCGCTTACTTGAAATGGATGTGGGTTGTATTCTATGTTTGATCCATAGGCTTTGACTTATGCCGCACGCGTGAGAGGAGTGTTTGGGATATTGGGCATGGGCTTATGAATATGTCTAAATTGCACTCAACTCTTTCAAGAAACCCATCTTTTCTCTCGGTCGTGAATCAAAACCATGGAGGTAGCTTCGTGCAGATGACCGAAGAAAAAGAACTATATTATGTACTTCCAAGTGTTTTCAAGGACCTGGTTTTGATGAAACTCCAGCTCACGACCGAAATCCACTTTCAGTTCCCACCCACAAACACCCCAGAAGTCCGCGCTTGAGATTCCAAGCCCGGACAGACGAAAGGCACCGGTCCTCTAGGGAACCACAGACTTTCTGGGCAATTGGACCCTCCTGGCGTACAAGCAAGTGTCTCCATTCACCCTCTCAGGGTAGTTATGTGGATCCATAGTGGGGAACCATACAAGGACCTTCCAACAGGGGTGGTTTTAGAAGCCTAACAGCTGGTTTCTGGGCACCTGTTGTTAGCAGGAAACACCTGTTGGAGAGTCCAGGTATAGGGTGTGATTCATGGTGCAACACACGTTCGGTACGCCTGGACCCTCAAATTGTGTCGCCCTGTGAAGGCCCAGGGGTCATGGCTGTGGATAGAAATACCTGGAAACCTAGCATTTGGGTTCCCAGGTAAGGGTCGGCACCACGTACCAACCAGACCGGTACCCACCAGTACCCACCAAGAACTCATTTCCAGGGGTCACAAAGGGGTGGTGTTTAGTCCCATCCAGTGAGTGGATAATGGGCACCCCTAACCTCCATTAAGCACCCCTTTGAAAATCTTGGTTCATTGTCGTCCTTTGTTTTTCCTTCCCCGCAGAGAGAGGCGATCCCTAACAACCCGACGAAGCGCGAACCAAGTGAGACTCTTCAGTCCAAGCCAGAGGCTTTTCAGAACCTGATATCTAGTGACTATCCCAGGTGGAGTTCCGCAGCGATTTGTTCCTGGATGGAGTTCAAGGGATTGTCAATCAAGGTGAATACCACTTATATTAGATACCTACCGAGTCCTTCACCCCAAAACCTCTGTCCAACAGCCCGCTTCGTGGTTCTTCGGTCCCCGTGGCGCCCCGGCCCAGATGAAAACCATCTATGGTATCCTTTCGGCCTTCGGCCTCTTGGCATCGGGACGGATGGACTACAGCGAAACGACTGGGGCGTTCGGTCGAATCCACGCACCAGTGAGAAGAGTTGTGTGGATTTGAACAGGAACCGGAGAACAAGTGGAATGTTCCCGGTTTCTGTTCCTCTCCTGGCATGGGAGAAGAGTTTGATCAAAGCTTGCTTGTCCTTCCAAAAGATGCGCCTCTCCAGTTCCACGAAGACAGCACGGCCCGGCCTTGGTGGAAAATCGAGTGGCCCTCGTGGGGAATCGATGTGCAGGTTGGGAGGTCCCCTCATGGGTGTGTCGACGGAAATCCTGAAGACCCTTTCCGACTTCATCTACACACCCGCGTGACAGTGGTGAAAGTGCTCCATCTGCGTTGGTTGCTGTGGCTATAAGGTAGTGACTTCGTCTCTGACCCCGTCTCCCTCAAGAACTTGTATCAGCATAGACCCTGAAGAATCCCCAAACAGTTTCAGCAGCTTTCTTTATGCCACTTCCTTGAATTCCTTTGTTGGTGGAAATGTCTTCCTATAATATCTCCAAGAAGGTCGTGTAGGGTACCAGCTGTTTGGGAACGGGCATGTAAACAAACACGGACAATCCAAGGGACGTCTCGCATTCATCGCAAGATAAACACACAGACCCAGGCAGGTCCTGGACGCCCGGACAAGGCGAAGAAGAAAAGGGCCATTCGTTTGGCAGCTTCTGGGCGAGTTCACCTTTCGGTCTTTCCCCGCAGAAGAGAAGACCAAGAGAGTGGATCATGGGCCAAAGCTGCCAGAAATACTTGTAAAGTGTGGCAGCGCCTGGCAAATTGTTCTGGGCTTGAAAGCAATTGGATCGGGGCCCCGAGGTGGAGATCAACGCTCCCAGTTCGCAATCAGGGACAGCTTGCCTTCAGGGGTTCCAGTCGGCATTGCATTAGCGCATGTCCATTGTGTTGGCAACGCACCACACTAAGAACTACATCAAGTGGCTGATTGACTATCGCCACCTTCCAGTACATGGAGTTGTGCCTAATGCCGATCGTTGGATCGAAGTGATCGCCAGCTTCCATAAAAGCTTGGCTCGTTGCTATTTAGATCAGAGAAGACCACGATTGCCAGAGCACCAAGAACTAAATGCAGCAATCATGGTGTGAGAAGTTGATCAATTTGACCACAGCTTTTGACCTGGCTAACTCCAAGTGGAAGACAGCAAGGTTTCGAGAGCGTGTTCAGCTGAGAGAGCAGGTGCGCAAGTTCCTGCCTAAGGGCTCAGTTGGTCAGGAGATCCTCAAGGAGTTGGGCACTACTTGCTCAACGCGTGCTGAACGACGTCCAGTCCTTGGCGCAGAAGCCCAGAACTTTGCCAAGAAACGGTTCCCGTCCAAGCAGGTGCAATCGCAGGCCTATGACGCCGATAGCACTGCCCCAGCGGCGGAAGAGCTTGACGAAGAAGATCGAGTGATTGGTGAATTCTTTGCCAAACATGTCCTTGGAAGATCTGGTCAGTGAACTACGTATAGAACTGGCTGGAGCGACCTCGGTGATTCAAGGACTGCAGAGTTCAGCCCAACAGCAGCAAGCACAGATTCAGAGTCAAAATACAGAGCTTAGTAGATTGCAGCTTCAGGTGGCTAGTCAACAACCGGTTCCAGATGGTAGTCCACAGGCAGCTCAACCTAGTTCACCTACTTCTCCTGTTGGTGCAACCTTGATGCCATTGGTTGATACACGTACTTTGGGGAAACCTGACACGTTCAATGGTGATAGGTCCAAGTTAGAGTTTAGAGATTGGTCAGTGGTGGTTGGTGCATATCTTGGTGCTGTAGATCATCGCTTTCCAGAGATGCTGGAGAAGGTGGAGACAGGAGTGGGTTCTGACTTCAGGAACCTGAGACTGACACCAATTGAGAAGGCCCTTTCAACGCAACTATTGCCGGTGGAATCGCGAGTGGCAGGATCGCGGGAGAATGTGCATCCTGGTTCATGCGAACAGCATGATGGACTTCCAAGGGCTTCCACAAACCGAGAACTCAGAAGGAATGTTCTCAATGCACTTTTCAAGACGATCTTAGTCCGTATGTGTCTAGATCTTAGGTTTTATGTCACCGCAAACAAGGCTGACATAGTCGAACATGTGCTTGATGTTTGGAGGATTGGCAGCGGACAACCAGCTGCGGCAACTCATAGAGTCTTTCAAAAATGTCGTGCTAGGTTCAGCTGAGGACCTATGGACTGAAGAGAGGCTTCAAGCTTGGTTGAGCCAGCATAGCTGCTATGACTGGTAGAATTTGAGAATCCACAAGTTGACCAAAAGCTGACACAGCTTAGGTCATGGAGGCGTGTCGTGGATTGTAGCATGTTCACAAGTACCACCTATGTTTGTAAAGATGCATGTCCAAAGTGTCCACCTCAGGACTTTGAGGTCAGTACAGAGGAATCCCTAGAACCATAGGGTTGAACTGTTTTGCACTGTGATACATGGTTCAATAGAGAAAACCGGTGCTACCTGTGCTGTTTCACTTTTGCTAGAAGAAAGAAGTTCAAACGTCTTTTTGAGGATTGGTTTCCCTACTGACGACGACTAGGTGGAAAGTTTGATTAACCTTTCGTTTTTTTTTGGCAGACGGCTCGGAAGTCAACTGGTTTTGGAAATAGAAGACTCCGCTGTCAAAGCAGGGTCATTCCATGGCTTTCCCTCCAGCTTGAACTCAACAGCGTCCGCTGCAAGGCACATGAATCTAGGGTCAGGTGTCCTCCCGAGGAAGATCGAGTTAATTATTTGCCCACTCAACCGGTTCATTGCGATTCTGGTAGCTTACAAATGGAACTTGGTCTCCAAAACTTGTTGTTCATACTGGAGCATCACCCGCGAACGCGCCATGAGGCATGCTGCTCTTCTGGCTGTTGTTGTCGGATTTTAGTGTCTTCTCCACCCGGATCAGCGCCTTGTCCATGATTGGGAGGGTCTTCGTCCCAGCTGCATCACCCTAGTCCACCATTCATGGGTCCAAATTGCTCACACTGCGACTTGTTTGATCGCCTCCGGCATGCACCGCGCAGAGGTGACAAACTCTTCGTGGCTTACGATAGCAATCACGGTCCAATCAGTTTCAAGGCATTAAGTCGGTGGAGCCAATCATGTTTCGAAGGGTCAAGGGTACACACACTTGCCTTCCGCAAGTCCACACCATTCGAGGGGAAACATCATGGACAATCGTAATTCCCTTGTGTTTGATGAACTAATGAAGAGTGAAGACTTTCCACGCGTATTGCAAATGGCCTCCAAAAGAACTGGGCAAGAAGGATCTTCTCGTTTTCTTTGCTGTCTTCTCTGAGGGCCACGTGATCTGAGGTGCCTTTTTGCTCGTTTGCAGCCATGTGATCTCCGAGGTGGAACCGATGAACGGCGAACGAAGCTGAGGAAAACATGGAGGATGCTATTTGGGGAAGCCAACAACCATGGATTTCATGGATTGAATCCGGAACAATCATTGCTTTACAAAACAATTTTCACTCCATCAACAGGTCAACCTTTCTTTTTAAAGGTCGAACCGAAGGCTAGGCAATGTCATTTGGGGAATCCAATCTTGGAAACACACACAAATGGAGCTGGCATAATTTGCTGAGAAAAGGCCAAGGGTTATATAGTTAGTTGATTTCAGGGGTCCATGGAGACATATAATATAGCATTGTATTATATACCAGTCCCACCGGTCGTGTTTGGGATATAGTGGGTGTTGTCATGGTGGATTCGTACCCCACATCTACTGTGGGTCAACGTCATATAGTCATCGCAAAGACCAGGAAGAGGCGTTTTGTCAGAGCTCAGTGCTTCAGTGGACCAAGTTCGGTGGAGAAAGAGTTCGGTGCTACAAGTAGTATCCTGCATCACTCCGAGAGCCACAAAAATATGTTAGCCAAAGAACTTGGCCCAAAAAGCGTTGAACCAATGGACCAAGCAACTCACACTCATCAACCCAACTATACGTAGCATCGTTCGCAGAAAATCATGCATCCCAACGAGCAAACTGATCAGCCAACTTTCAGACTGCTAAGCAGCTCATACCGACCACCCAGCCAAGCAACTCACCAACCAACCAACCATATATAACCACCTACAACTAAGAAACGAAGCTAGTTTACAGTATACAGCAATGACCTAACTGGCTTAACTCAACCAGAGGATCCCAGTGACCACTGCTACCAAGAAAGGAGCCAGAAACCAAGACGGTGGAGTCGAACTCCGGAACCGGACTCGACGAAGTCCAGTCGCTCGAGTCGCTGGAGTCGCTGCCTGGAGTCGTAGTCGCTTGTGGCCGCGTCTTCTGTTTCGGGCATGTTGTCTTGTGAACACCCACAGAGCAATACTGAACAAGGAAGACTTACCACTGTTTGATCGCTTACATAACTCATCAGGAAGCTTAGCCCCTTCCTTCGCAGGTGGGCCTTTTCATGATGGCGTTGGCTGTGCTGCTGATTGCATTTGCCACGAGCGTGCAGCTTGGTTTTGAGGTTTTGTTGTGATTGCAGATTTTCCCGGTCCCTGGCATGGGGATGTTGTTTAGTTTCGTGCCTAAAGTCAGTGGCTTCCCAACAGGATGCGTTTCCCAACTCAAATCCAATAGGTGGAAAGTCGGCGTTACTTTCTATTCTAAGGAAACGGCTCGGGGACCATGTTTTCTCTCTGCTTGGACAGCGAATCCTAGGAATGCTCTGAATCACCACTTGGAGGACTTTGATGGAGCGACTTGGCCACGCGCCCGTGCGACGGGCGTCAAGCGCGAGACGTGGCGTCTCCGGCCGTTGCGCGGGGGTGTATGGATCTCATGTCGTGTGAATGTGGACCGGCCGGAATCGATGAAGATCCCTGAGGTCAGGTGTCCCAGTAAAACCTGTAGAGCCGTCGGTCAAAGAATGAAGTAGATATCACTCTTTTGAAGATGGGTTTGGGCCTGCAAGCTAACCATCATCCACTGGGCCCAGCACAATGGGATAGATCAAGATCCACCCCCAGACACTCCATGTATGCTATATATGCCTACATTGACCCGCCTGGCACCACCCCAATGTAGGCATATATAGCATACATGGAGTGTCTGGGATAGAGTCCTGACTACCGTCAACCTGTCCTTCACGCGTTCACGTGGTTTGGCCGATTGGATCGGGTGTTTGGTCGATTGGTCCAGGTGAAAAATCTCCAACCTGGGCCTCCTGACCTTGTGCGTTCTTGTCGGCTCCCCCGAACGGGGACAGATCGATCACTCCAACGAGTTAGACATGGTTTCGTGATCGATCAGTCAATCTGCGAAAAGGGGGGAACTCCGTTTCAAAGAGTTCACAGGCGAACAATGAACAGTTCACGCGGTCTATCGTGGAGCGTCCATAATCTGCCCTCAGCAGTGGGAAGATCATCGATACCAGCAGCTCCAACAGGTCACCAATTGAAACCTGTTAGGGCCTAACAACCCTCCATTTCGGAGACCTGTTGGAAGGTGCTGGTAGTGGGGTGCCCCCCATCCTCCAAATCAGCTTTTTCAGCTGGCCACGCGCTACGCGCGGACGCAGGCTCCTAGCACGCACAAAAAGCACACGGGACGACAGACTCGAGACCGTTGATGTTCATCCCCAACAGCCCTTTTCACCGAACAGTGAGGATGATCCGAGCCGTTTGGTGTTTGGAAAGCCGAAACGGAGGAACCCAAAGTCCCAGTCCTCAATGAAAACAACCCTTCATTTGTGACACACTCCCAGTCCTCACATATCAAGGTGTCCGTATTGATTTGGGTGTCCATAGTCTGTTGTAGAAGTGCCTCATACCTTCTCCTGCCAGTGCCACACACTCACTTGCGGTCTGTGCAAGCGCTGCAAACAGCGGGACAGTGTCCGTGTCCACGTCCACACCCGTATGCAACAGGCCGATCACGTCCAGATGCCCCTTTTGGTGGTCCTTGCACACCCATCGCACAGTGCAAGCTGCAGCGAGGATCTTCCTTCATCCTTCATTTCTCTTTGACGGACTGGTCTGGTGTTTCCAACCAGCACCACCCAAAGGGTGGTTATTAGATGGAAAATAGATAGTCAGGGGGGTCTATAAACCACCCTTTGGGTGATGCTGGAAGTCACTGCTCTTCTTCCAGACCGGTCCAGTCCGACACCACTGTGGCCCAGCTGTGTCTTTGAACAGACAGCAGACAGCACCCCCTGGCGTCGGGGCGAACTCGGGGTCGGCACGCCGCACGGTCGGCCTTCCGAACATGACGGCTAACACAGCCACATGGAGTGAAGAGAACCTCCGCGTTTGCAGAAAAACTTGTGGAACTCTCCCTGAAGATGAACTGAAGCGTGTCGCTTCCGTTGAACTCTTCGGATGAGCTTCATTCTCTCCTGAAGTCCAGTTCGATCTTTATACGATCGAACTGGACCTACCTCCCCAGGTCCGCTCCCGTCGACGAACCGGTCCGGTCATGGCAGTCCCGTCCCTTCCCGTCGACCGGACTCCCGTCGCGTCTGGGAAGTCCGGTCGACCGCGACCGGCACCGCGCGGTGCCGTCTTCTCATCGAGGTCCACGTGTGGCTCCGGGCGCTCTTTCAGATCGTCTTGGGCATGTTCCCCGTGAGCAACTACGACCGCTTCCAGGCGAGGACACCATTTCCAGCCAATCGGGTCCGGACGTGGCGGGGGGGGGGGACGTGGCGGGCGAAAGTGTTCATGCAGGGCGAAGGACCCGACGAGCTCGGAAAAGGTGGAGAAACTGCAGCTGTTTGGGGATTGGGGTCACTCAACTAAGAACGAACCGGTGGAAGAAGGTTAACGAACCCCTGAGATTCCATGGTATTGGGACGGTTTCGGAGGTCAATGTAGGGAAACATTCCAATGGAGGGTCTGAAATCTTTTCCAGAAAAACTGACAGGTTAGGAACCAGAGACCGAGGGAGGGGGGGGGTCTGTCTTGAGACGGAGCAGGAACGCCCGTTTTGGCCAGTGGAGCAGGGCTCTTCCTTTTGAGGAAAACCGAAGGGGGTTGGTTTGTGGACGCTTTTGAGGGCGGTTTTTTGCTGTGTCTTTTCCTGTCGTCTTTGAAGTCAAGCTGGTCGGCGTGCCTGCTGGGTGATAGCTAGCACATTATAGCACGGTTCAAGTCATCGCAGAATTGCTCACCCTGTTCGGCAGAAGGAAGTGTTTGCCCCCATGTTCAGAGTGGATCTCAGGATATCCCGCTCTTCTCTTTTGGCCCTGCTGCCGTCATCCCGCTGCTTAGCCCCCAGAGTACCCCCCCAAAAAAAGGAGAGCTCCGCATGATATCCCTGCCGAAGCTGCCGAAGCCGCCAGCACGGTCCATGGCACAGGATGAGGCAGCCGTCATGGCCTTCGTCTCGGTCTTCATCATCTTGGCCGCTCGGACGGGGAGCGGTGGACGTCACCCTACTTCGGTCACCGCCGAAGTCGGTTCCGAAAACGAACAGCCGTGACCTTGTGGACTCCAGAACGGGTGCGACGAGGGGAGATGTCTTGTTTGTGCAGAACATGTGCAGAAACACTGTGTTTTTTTATGTTTTTTTGGCTGAAACATCACCAAGACCTAGGTTTTGGAGCCAGTGTTTGCTTCAATGTTTCTTGTTAATGCAAAACATTGACAAAAACATTAACAACACTCGGTGTTGCACTGTTTTTTTGCTGAAACCTCACAAAAACCTAAGTTCTGAGCTGTTGTGTGGCTTCAATTGTTCAGACCAGGCCGACAATGGTCTAGAGGGAATACCGGAGTACCCCAAAAAGGGCTCACCGCTGCCGTCTCCGCCAAGTTCACAGTGTTTGATGTGCGACCCAGCGCGGAGAAGGAGAAAGAACAGGATGACTCCCAAGCTGGGGACGTGAAGTCCATCTACCTGGACTTCACAGGTGTTTCCTGGTGACAACAGGTGCCCAGAAACCACCTGTTAGGCTTCTAAAACCACCGGACTTGGAAGGTCCTGGTATATAGAGCAAACATTGCATATGTTTACCTAGCAGCATCCAAAATCTGCCAGGTCACCGCCTGCAAATTGTAAGTCTGCATTGGAGGGACCAAGATGTGCAAGTTGTTCATTTAATGACATTCATGGAGCACGTCTATAGTTTTGGAATCAGGCCGGATGAGGCTTGATGTGTCATGAGCCCCTAGATCACGTGGTAGAATGAGAATTGAAAGTGATCCGCACCCAGCAGTCACAAAGGTGTGCTCAATGGAGGTTAGGGGTGCCCATGATCCACTCACTGGATGGGACTAAACACCACACCACCCAACTCCATGTGATTCCTGGACTGGTTCAGTCAGTGTGCTGCTCATCATATGGTTTGGTTTCGAAACCAAACCTCGAAAACCACTGACAGATCCTGCAACGCCACTCTGTCAGTGGATGGACGGGCTTCGGGGACCCGAGCCCATCCACGGAATCGCCGCCTTCGGTCCTTCGGTGAGGTGAAACAGCGGGGGGAACCCACAGACCGAATGCAGTTGACCGAAACGCCGAACATCCCATGGGACTGGCTGTAGTGACATACATTGCATGTGGGGTCATAAAATGGGGTAAACACGATAAAATGTATCGATATGTAACTATTCTATTCCAGACATGGATGGTCTGGGATGGCAGTCCCTGGCCCGACCTGCTTCGGTCTCCTAGACCCGATGGTGTGCGGTGTCGAGGGTGTCGAGATCCATCACCCTTAAGGTTGGAGGTCGTCGCTCTTAGGTTCCCTTAGTGAATGGACTTATATATAGAACTGGACCCTTGGATAGAGCTGAGGGGCGGCTGGCCAATGTTTCGTGACTTGCTGGTCTTCCAATCGGGGATTGGTCGCAAGATGTAGTGAAGTGGTTTTTAATGTAATGGGTGTTAGTATGGGTGTTATACAGTGAGTTACACTCTACTACACTATACAGTGAATTGTATTACGCTTCACCGTCAATTGTATGCCGAAGCTCTCCAGACTCCGAAGATCTCCAGCACTGCACGCGAAACGCCTCGCAAGTACCGAGAAACCTCCGACCGCTGAGGTCTTCATTTTCCTCTTGCCCCTCGGGCTTTCAAGAGGGTGGAAACATCACGGCTGGCGGGCGTGCGGGTGGGTGGGCGGGTGGGTGGGTGGGTGGGTGTACACCCGGTCACCGTGATTCACGGTGGTTCTTGGCACACGGAAGTGTTTTGGTGGCGACTGAGTTCAGTCCCCGTTGCCCTCCAATCCTCGGCCATCCTCGGCCGATCCCCCGGTCGTTCGTCCTTCGTCGTTGGTCTCGGGCCGAGACGGTGGCACCATGGAAATGAGACTCGACCTCCCTATGGGTCCGGTGGTTTTCCACTCGGAGATGGAAGGTTTGTTGGACATGGACAAGAAAGATGGTTGGCATTGGTGGATGTCTTACTTCAGCCGGGTGCTTGTCGAGTGGAAACACTTTGTCAGCATGAGCCAAACCGAACGTGGTAGGACCCGCCTGTTGAGTTAAAGGAATCTAGGAATGTTGATGGGGGAAGTATCTGTAAGTAAACCATCTCAAACCCCTTAGCCGTAAGCGAAAAAGAATCGCTTCAAAAACATGTTTCAAAGAGCATACCCAGAACCAAACTGGCTTAGTCTTCCACGGTCCTTTTCGCTTTGCCAGAAATCGTTGATCGTCTCTCCATTCCACCTGCGTGTAGGGAGAGATTTTCCGGGCTGGGTGCCGGGCTGCCGACCGAGGAACTTGTTGGTGGCTCAGCTGAACCAGTCCTATCACCTCAAGTTCTGTGACATGAAGGGCAACGCCCGGCTCCGTCGTGCAAGGGCTGCTCGGACGGCGGGGTGGGGTGGTGCTTCAGCGGTGCCTTTCCAAGCGGCTCAGTCTCGGTCTTCGGCTGCCCTAGACTACACTCTCCGGGCTTCGATTGGGGCACCCAGGAGAGGAGGCTCCAGGTCGGAAGATGTGTTCTTCTTGGTGTTTGCTTTTCTCAGGAGTAGGAGTAGGAGGAGGAGTAGGAGAGTGTTTTACTGGCTTGACATGTGTCCTTCGAAGTACTTGCTCTTGGCCCCTATGTGAATGTTGGATCAGACGATGTTCTCGGCAATTGAAAAGGAGGTGGATGTTCCAACGAATTCTCATGACCCAGAGGCTCATGGACCCGAACCCACTGCCGCATGGTGGTTTTTTCGGGTCAGAGGCTCCTCGTCGTCCCGGCGTCGTCGTGTCTCCGTGTCGAGGTGTCTCGGTGTGTCGAGGCGTCGGCTGGGCGTTTAAAGCAGAACCCATGCCCAGACGCGACTAATTGGGTTGGTTTGGAGGTCAATTGATCGGCAGTCCTATGGCAGTCCGGAGCTCCTGGGGCGTACCCTGCGGAGCTCGGAACTGACCCTCAACAGGATGAACAACTGCATGGTGGTATGAGGACCAGAAATGTGAACAGAGGGCCGTCTTCCACGGCCCCCGGTTTTCCACCCGGGCTGGAACCTCTCAGGGCGAAACGAAGTCCTTCGGAACCAGATCCTCTTCCTGTTTGAGTGAATTTGCCGTCCAGCCCCTGTTCCACATCCGCTCCACAGGTCAAAGGTGCTTGAAAGGGGGATTCAATGTAGAGACCAGTACCTGTGGAGTTGGTATTTGGAACAAACCAAGAGAGGTGACCTTTGTGTTCTGAACTAGGACCCGTCACCTGCAATACCTATATAATTAGTCGAACTGGGGTTCTTCAGAACCTCTGTCCGTGCCAGCCAATAGATGTTCTGCCGAACTTCATCCCAAAAAACACAGCCCCAGCTTCGGCAGACATTTGGGCAGAGAGTCGAACGATCCTATACGCATCTTCATCCCGAAGGCCGCACCGTGACCTCAGGTCATTTGCTCGGTCATGGCGCCGCTCGGAGAAATCGAGCGTGTTGGCCGTCGGTGAGCGGGGTCTCCGCGTCGGGCGGAGGGGATCTTGAAAGAAAAAGCCACCTTGATTCGCCCCAGGTGGCTCGGTGTGACCAATGCCTGAGTGAATGGGCCTTCAGACACAGGGAGCGGTGGTGACCTGTTTTGTCTGGTTTTGACCTGTTTGATGTAGCAGAAAATAACAGAAACATCACCCTGAGTGGACTCCCAGTCACGATAGGAGCACTCCCAGTCACGATGGATTCGTTTACCGAACTTGCAGTCAACTGTGGCTGTGGTGAACCACCCGTCTGGTGGACCACCCGCGCTGTTCCATGGCCGAACTGGGTTCGTCGTTCCTGTGGTGAAGAGCCATGAAAGCGAAAGCCATGAAGCCACTGCGGTGTTCGCCGGGAGCTATAGGGGTTGATGCCACGCATCGTCCAATCCTAGCATGAATCTGAGTTAAGCAGGCACGATGCTGCTTGCCTTCCTACACATGGGCATGATGGATCCGGATGGGTCCAAAGGCATCGACCGCGAGAATCAAATTGTAGCCTCGTCAAAGAGGTGGGTTCGAGGTGTCCGAAAAGACCACCGGCCGAAAGGAAGGTCACAATCCCAAAGCAATCCAGCTTGCCCCGTGAGGACCTACTAGTAGATTTGCTCCGTCTCCACACTTGGAAAAACGAAACGGCCTTCCCCAGTCCCCCCAAAAGGAGAATGCCAAAAGATCCCCAAGTCCTCACGCACCTGGATCTTCCAACTCTACAGTGGCATTTCTGCTGAACCTGGCTGATTTCATGGATGAAAAGGCCTCCGCCCTTCTCCACAAGTCTCCGCTGTCTTCCAAGCCCACTCCCTACCGAACCGTGGATCCCCCCAACCATTAGAGGGAGGATTGGGTGCTTTCCCCACTCCAATCCCCACCATTTTGGTCACATGTCCTCCCCGGATCTCGAGGTTCCAACTCGCCGAGTCTTTCATTTCGACCCCAAACCGAGCGCCGCGGCCCGCCGCGGCCGTTTCCGCGCGTTCGCAGCCGCAAGCCGCGCGCGGACCTTCTCAGGAGCTCGGCTCCTGCGAAGCACTGGCGACGTTTCTTGGACTCCTTGGGCTTCGAGCAGCGCTTGGAGTTCAACGAAGGCGCCCAGTTCGGTCGTCCGACCGAGATCGAGACCGACCCGCGCCAGGGTCCGGCGGTTTCGGGCGGATCCGGCGGTTTGGGTCCGGCCGGTGGCGAGGAGCAGAGTGAGGAAGCGTTCCGAGGCCCAAGTGCAATGTAGACTGCATGGATTCTAGACAAGCAGTGGCCTACAATATAGGTGGTATTTGGCGCTGACCCCTCTACTCTTTGATTCATTCAGATGGAAGTGAAGTTCAAAGTTTTCAGAGACAAAGGGTCTTTCCAACCGCCGCTGTTCCACTTCTATGATGATTTCAGGGAGTGTGGAATACCTGGATCTTCCACCCACGCAACATGTCTTTGCCTTTTCATCCATAGACCCTGCCAAGTTCGACAGATCATCTACACATGCATGGAAGATCCAGGTATGTTCAACCGGACGTCCCATGGAGCTCCGGGGAACGGCCAAACACGTGGCCCATCGTCCATCTCTGCCGCCCCATCGTCCGGCGCGCGGGTCCCCGTCCTCGCCCGTCCACCGTGCACCGCGCACGTCACGTCACGTCGGTGATCGGTGGCCAGGGGCGGGTGTTCCGTCGGACACGTGGACAACCTACCAGGATCATACTGCCGGGGTGTCCTGTCAGATCCAGTCTAGCAGTGGGCTGAGTAGTGCCAGGACACCCAAACAGGATGACCCAGGTACAAGATCCTTTTTGGGGGTGGGGGGCATTGGAGAGACCCTCAAGTCGTAGGTGGACAGTTCGGAGCTTTTCGCCCTGTCTAGAATCCCACATCGACTGAGGACAGGGTCAATTGGAGACTGATGGTCGAAAGCCGTCAGTTGGACCAACAGGTCAGACTGGACCGAGGTCCGTCAGACCTGTTTCGACAGGTCAGAGCGCTCGATGAATGTCGACGTGATGGTTTTCTTCGTCTCTAAGTGAGTGAAAGCATCCCTATCCTCCTAGGCATCCCATGTCCCTGACAAGTGAGTCAGTGAGTGAAACATGGACATCCCCTGGCATCCCTATCCTCCCAGTGGCGTCGGCCTTCTGTCAGCGAAGGCCCAAGTCGGTTTGGTGATGGACGGAAGCAAACTGGGCCCCCGAGGGATGTGAGTGACTCACCCCGACGACCGATGTTTGTGTTGGGTTGAAATCAGATGGATTTTCAGGTGCCATTTGGAGGCATTTGGAGGCCCAAATCGATGTTGGTTTTTTGGGTTCCATGGAAGCTCCCCGGTCCCCAAATCTGTTGCCCAAGCCTTTCTTGCTGCGGCCGAAGATGGACTTAGCTACATGTTCTTCCCTTTGATTCTCACTCAAAATCAGTGTTTGAGAACAGCGTTACAGGACACCTCCAGTGCCTACCACGCTCGCGTGTGGACTTCAGGGTCTGAAGAGTTCCTACCCTCTAGATCCCTCCAGTGGCGGGTCGATTCCCTCGGCGGCCGCGGCGAGGGTCGTTCCCATCGGCGCTGAGCCAGGTGGTCTTTCCATGTTTGGGGCTTCAACAGCCGCAGACATCAGTAAGTCCAGTGATCTACTTACCCCCCAATCAGTGCCCAATCCTTCCATCCTCCCAAATGCAGCGCAACGCTTTCTCATCTTCGGGACTACGAACCCCACCGCACTGCGCGGTCCACCGGAAGTGGTTCCACCACTGGGTGCCAGACCAGAATCCCACGGAGCTTTCGGGTGGTTGAACACCCATCCGACTGATGTTCCATCCTAACCACCAGATTTCGACCCAATCGCTTCGCTCGCTTCGCCTTCCAGGCGACATCGGCATTGCAGGAGGTCTCCAAGTCTTGGAGCCTGCGTGCCTGGGACCAAACGCGATTCGCGCGGCGCGGCGCGTGGAGGAACGACGGCTGCGTGGCACGTGGGACGACGGGGCCCCGTCCGTTGGGACGATGCCGGATCCACAGGCACAAGAGGACCCTTGGGGGTCATGGCACAGGGGGGACCCGCCAGGTTTTGGCCACCGAACAGGAAGGATGACACGATCTCAACCTTTTGGACGCGGTGCCACCACCACTCCCATATAGGACCATCGGATAGATACATGAAAAACTGCCAGGAGTCACTATCAGGGGTGGTTTTTAGTCCCTAATTAAGCACCCCTTTGTGACTGCTGGTGGTTGGAATTTGGCAGACTCGTCGCAGGTGGTCGCAGCTGGCAGTTCGACCGGATGCGACTGGTTGTACCGTACCCGAACCGCACTGGTCGACTCCAGGTGCGATCCGCCCAACAAAGAGTCCGATCTTGGTACCAGCCGGCCAACACCACCAAGTCTCAAAGAAAAACAACCAGGAGTTACCAAGAGAGTTCAAGTCACGAAAGGTAGCTTGAGCTACCTGAGTTCTCCTTGCTTTAGGAAAATGTATTACAATTACAATCAGGAGTTGGGATTGTGCATTGAGTTTGGTCCTGTAAGAGTTGATTCTGTTCGTCGGGGGGGGGGGGCCCCCTGGATCAAATCCCCCCTGCGCCGGTTCACGCCGTCATGGACTTCTACCAAGGTTACTTGTGATTGTCTGCTACCTTTCGTTCACCCCCTCCTCTCTCAAGTGACCTTATAGACTACCTTATAGGTATACATCATGGAATAGTATTGGAATATCTTCCAACAGGCGGTTTCTGGACACCCCTCAACCGCGAAGAGGCTATTTATGGACACTTCTTGGAAGGTCCTGGTCCTGGTATAGGGTTCTTCAACCTCTGTTGGTGCATGTCAGAGGTGTGGCTCGTCCCAAAAAAAAGGAGTGAGGGGCGCACCCCGGGCACCTCTGGCCCCCTCCCCTCCTTCCTCCTTCCCCGGAGCTGGTTCACGGAACCCGGCATCTTCGACCCTTCGAGCGAAGAACCGAGGGGGTTTTTTGGTTCCGGAGAATCAAGTATACCCTGGGAGTCTAAGACCAAACAGGTGGTGAACTCACTCCACTTCCATGATGATTTCAGGGGTATCGCTTCCCTGGGAGTCCTTTACTTGGGTGCCGAAAATCGTCTTTGGACTTCTAGGGTATACCGTTTTACGAGACGCGGCAATTCTAAACACCTCACGAGGGTCCGGGTCCTGGTTTGGGTGGGAATGAGATGGAATGAGTCATGAATGTGTGTTTGTTTCTCACGTTCAGAAGATACTTGTTCACATGGGTCCATGGGTGTACCGATTTCAGGGGATCAATCCCATCCTAAATCTTGACGGTCTCAAAATGTCTCAAATATCTTCAGACATTGTCTCAAATGTCAGGTCATATCCCAGACGCTCCATGGGACTGCCATCTATGCCGATCCGTTGGGGTGGTGTCTGGGGCGGCAGTCCTATTCCAGTCCCAGACAGGTCGTGTATGGGGAGACTCCAGTCCCAGTCCATCTTTGGATCTAGGAAAACGCTGCCGAAAGGCTTTTTTGCTTCTTTTCCCAGACACTCCATGCAACTGCTATATATGCCGATCAGTTGGGGTGGTTTGGGGGGTCAATGGGGCGGGTTTTTGGCCTCTAAGCCCAGCCATCTGAGTCGGCAGAACGCTGCGCGTCGGTCGACAGGAGCGCCATCACGGTGACCTTCGACGCGGTGAAGCGCTACGGCGGCTCCACGGCGCCCACCATGCCGTGGCCTCCCGAGGCGGCCAGCGAACGGTGTGGGACGGGTGAGTGGGAGTGGGATTGGGGAGGAAGAGAGAGAGAGGGGAGAGAGAGGAGAGAGATCAGGGAGACAGTTGGTGAAAGTGTCTGTTTCCCAGCAATGGGGGGCCAGGCCGCTCTCCCTTCCTCCAAGGAAGGAGTTCCACTCGGAGGGGAGCCATTGGACGAGCCACACCGTTCCGCTCCTGGTCCGTTGGGGAGGACTCTTTTTGGAGGGTAGGAGTCACGGTGGATCTGTTGGGCACAGCTCCTTGGAGTCACGGTGCTCGGCCAGTGCGATCTGGTCCCTTTTGATCCACGAGTCGAACCGAAGCTGTTCGAGCTGGAACGTTGGTGAGCCGAGGACCCACCCAAATCTTCCTCAACAACGGTGTTTTCTTTGATCCTTGTGCCCCACCCCAACACCCGACCCACCGACGGAGCTCGTGCGCGCTTGCAGAGCGACCGATCGAAGTGGGACCGAAGCCAGGTGGAGGTGGCCGATATGGAACAAGACCGCCACTTGGACCTTCACGGAGAACCGTCCGGGCGGTGGCACCGAAGCGGGTTTCGAGGGCGTCGAGACCGTTTGGTCCCTCCAAAACCGGGATTGGAGGTCCGGAGCCCTGACCCGAGGAGACCTCGGGTACGGCTCCCCCTGAAGAAACGGTTTGGATCAGGGTCGGTCGCGTTGAGGAGACTGAGAACGCCATCTCTCAGGCTATGAGCGCCTCGAAAAGCTCCTTCTCAAGGGCATCCACAGGCGAAGCTGATCGCTGGGTCCCATCGGGGAAGGCGGAGGTTCCTCGCTGTGCTCGGAGCCCAAGGCATGGGAAGGCATCTGCCCAGTTCGACGATATTTTGACCGACTGAAGTGAAGGGTATTCCTCAACTCGGGTCACCATAGAGCCTCAAGACCTTCCCTCCTTTTTATTACATTTGTATATAGCAATTGGGTTGGAGGCCATGGCTCTTAGGTTGGAGGCCATCGCTAGTCTGACCTTCAGTCTTTGACTCCCAAGGATCTGAATTGGTTGAATCGCTTTTTGTGCATGCACACCAGCCAGGTGAAGGTGTGTTATACCCACAGTACTGAGACCACGGTGCGCGAAAGATGAATGTGAGGATTCAATATTTCAAAGCGTTTTTAGAGGTTGGATGGGCACTCGCTCCAAGATGCCTGACAGAGATGGAGGTCCAAGCTTGGACAACTTGTGCCTACCAGGACCTTCCAACAGGTCCTTGGACACCCGAGAAACCTTTATAAGAGCCTATTTGTAGACACCTCTTGGAGGGTCCTGGTACTCTCAAAATCCACTCCAATCGTTGCAATCCAGTCGTGTTTTTTGGTTTTTCGAGGTCGCCGGCCATCAGTCGAGTTGAAAGGCCTCATCGGTCAAGAGCCGAGTTTGGTGTATCATATCGCTCATTCTTCTACTCAGGATGACCGATATCTACCAGGCGCCCACAAACCATGAAAAACAAAGGTTTTCACATACAAAAACAATGTTTTTTGTTAGGGAAAACCACCAGCACCACCCAAAGGTGGTTTATAGACCCCCCTGACTATCTATTTTCCATCTAATAACCACCCTTTGGGTGGTGCTGGCAGGTTTTTGATGGTTTGTGGGCCCCTGGTAACTCGCCTAACTTCACCTCTTTGTTGGATCGTCTTTTCGGGGTCAGTCAGGTCAGTCACCCAGACGGATCGCCGTGCGGGTTTGTCACACGGGGGGTGGCATGTTTGGTGTTTGGTGTTTCGATGAGTGTCGCAAGAAGCAATGACTCTCGCCTAGTTCTGTGTCTTAAAATAGTTCTGTGTCTTTTGGACGACTGGAACCTCACGTCTTCACCGCCCAAACCATGACGAACCGTCTTCTCTCGATTCTCGATCTCTCTTTGTCTATGAGCATCGTCCAAACAAGGCACCGCGATGTTCGTTCGAACCGGTGAGAGACGGAGCTAAGCCGGTGGACCGGTCCGCCTCGATCCGAAGGGGTGGGTCTTCCAATTTTCTTCAAGATCCACAACGAAGCATTCCAATTCGGGCGTTGATCCCTCCGAATTCGGTAGATCAGATCACGTTTGCTTTGTTCGTTCGTCCATGTTTGGTTGCGGAAGACAAATACCTGGGCCTTGCTGGTGAATTCTTTGAAACTGGAAGCACCTGCTAGGTGCTACACCCTTTGTTTTTCTCCATCTCGGGTGCTGCTTCTGCCAACAATTGGCTTAGATTTGTTGAAGCTCACTCAGTCACTGAAGTACAGACGTCCATCTCCACAGATCACAGACGTCCCATCTCTGGGACCTCAAGACACGGCCATCTCCACATGCCGCTTCGCGTGCCTGGCTCCCCGCGCGAGCTGGCGCTGGCGCTGGCGCAGGCATGGGAAGTCTCATGGCAAGAAGAACAGCATGTTGGGAAGCAGCAGCTTGATGAGCGACGACATCAGCGACTCCAACAACGGCCTCTTGGAAGCCCGTCCCGTCGGGTCCGGTCGGCAGTCGGAGATGGGGAACGGATGCATCACGGAGGGTCCATGGCAAAGGGGACCCCTCAGGAGTGGCCCACCATTGATTGAATGGTGTGAATCCCAACCAAGTGTTTTAAGGATTATACGCTACACAACCAGATCAACGCATTGTCTTGGTTGGGCTATTTGCACTCACGGAGGGTCGCCACGCGCGGTGGTGCTGTTCGGTTTCCAACGGTACGGTTAGAATCGGTCTCGAAGCTGCGAACACGGAACAGGGAAACGCCTGGTGGGTCTGGGACATCTGATTTGGGTGACCAAAACTACGAAGTCCACCCCAACCTCACCACCTCACCCAAAACCAGTTCGATTATTGCAAAATCCTGGTCTGCTCTATACATCCTTAAGGTTCTTTAAGTATGGTTCTGAAAAATGACCACGTCCAGTGAAATGAGGTCATTGACCTGTAGGGCCAGATTCGCAGCTTTTCCTTCACTCGGCATCACTCGGCCCAATTCTGGAATCCCCACCGGCCGACTCTACCCGCGGTTGGCGCAGACTCCGCTCGGCTGCGCCGAGCGTGGTGTTTGGGTTTGAAGAATCCGAGCAGCCGAGCTGGGCTTGGTCTGGACACCTGCCGATTCCGATGTCGGGGCTGCAAGGATTTTTCGGACTCAGAGGCTCAGAGGATAGATGATTCTGGAGGCTCATGATGTCTATTCCCGACAGCACTTGATTCCTTGCAGAATACTTGCAGAGTCGGACGGTTCCTGGAAATGATTCTTCCGGTGTCTCGAACCAGTTTTCTGGGACGGCTCGGAAACCGATTCTTCGCATTCCCCCGTGCCTACTAGGCGGTCTATGTATAGGTCTATGTGCCTAGCGGTCTTTCCGACTGCATTTAACAAAAAATAAGAAACCCAGACACTCCATGTATGCCATATTTGCATACATTGGGGTGGTTTGGGGGGTCAATGTAGGCATATATCTATATGGCATACATGGAGTGTCTGGGAAAGAATAACGACCTCCTCCTCGTCGTCCTGTGGGCTCTGGGCCGTTCTGTGGGTTGTCCCGTTCTTTTGACGTCGAAGTCATCACGCCTTGAGGCAGCCATTGAAGCCGAAGTCTCAAACAGGCCACGGTGGGACGAGATATGATGGGATATGTCCACGATTTGGATAGCTAGCAGACTAGCTGGGTGATAGAAGATGATGGTTTCATGTATGATGTTCAACCTTTAGTTGGGGATGATTGAACCCACTGACTCATGTTGCTGTTCGTTCGTGAGTTGACACCACCAACCAGCTGGACGAGCTGCTTCTGAGGCTGAGTGTTTCGCCGACAAATCTCCAGTCCAACAGCCAACGACGGTCCGGACGAGCGAGTTCCGCTTGCGGAACTGGTGGCGGAACTAGTGGAACTGTATCGGTTTCAGCTAGCGGTGCGCCCAAGCACCCCACCACTGCAAACAGAAAAGCGATGCATATTAGGGGCGAACTACATGACCAAATTGGTCCATTTTTGGCCATGGATTCTGGCCAGGACTCCGAACGGCTGCATTTCAAGATTCCATGTCTCCCAGGGCCCCATCCTGGCGACCGATGTCCTGATGTCCAGACTTCGGTAAAACAACACGTGGTGAAACCATGTACACCCTGCAAGTCCAGTCTGACCTAGTAAACTTGATCAAACTGACCTCTATATGTGAGTTAGTTTTTGTAAGACCAACTGGCCTTCAACCTCATTGAGTAGTTATTTTTCCTATTTTCCCCACTCCAGTCATTTCAGATCCTCAGGGAATGGTTTTGGATAATTGTAGAGTGTGCTGCACAAAGCCTCAGAGATGATCATCCTTTCGTTGTGTGCTGTGGGGTTGGATTAGAGGCCTTCCATATGCTCCTCGTTGGAGTGATTGTAGAGTAGCACAAAGCAATTGTGCGAAGTGACACAGAGCTAGCGTCGACCGAAGGTCGGGCTCAAGTTTTTTTTGTGGTTGACACCGAGGATGGTGGAAACCAGCGGCCCGAATGCCATGACGCTGGAGATGGCGCGGTGGCTGCTGACGTGGAGCCGGACCTATCCCGCCGAGTGGGATGGGCTCGGCGACATCTTCACCTGCCTATGGACCATTAGCAGGTGTCAATTCGTGGACAACCGGACGAACGGCATTTTGCCCATCACGATGGCCGCCGTCACTTTGGCCCGTGATACTGCCGACGAGGTGCACCCCTCCTTGATCCGCCTCACGAAGCACGTGGGCGATTTCTATAGTCCGCCCGAGATTCGGCCACGGCCTTTCATGGAGATCTTCAGCGGGTGGACCAACATCCGTTTGGAGACCTGGGTGGAGACGGCCGCTCGCAGCATCCACGTGGTTCGCGGACTGCGCCGAGGAGCTCACCTGACCAATGCCTGGCCCATGGAGTTTATGTTCGAGACCCTGTGTGCATACCTTGAGGACGCACACCTGATCGACCGCACGGCAGTTGTGAAGCGAAATCGCCAGGTCGCAGCGATCGGTGATGCCATGATGGCATTGGCGACCCAGGACCCGGATGACTTGCGCCTGGCACGTCGCCGCCTGGAGTTCGAATCACCATAAGCGTGAAACCGGTTGCACGGATTAGGTATGAAAACTCGCTCGATGCCGGTCGGTGTTGGGACCTTAGTCAGAGACGAACACCTGGACTGACGCTCATTCGTCAGATGCGCAGCACTTAGCTTCGGTGACTTGGTGTCGATCGTCGGATCCCCACACCCCATCCATCCATGTTTTGATTCGCACCCTTTGTGCGTTTGCCATAGCCGTTAGCATGGCTCTGGCCGATCGATGGAACACCGTGATAGCGGCCTGCGAGATAGCGGCCGTCACACGCATCCTTCCCACGCTGGTCGAACTGGGCTGGACATCGCCATCCGTTCTGGCAGCTCAACGACCCCGATGGTCAAGACTCGACCTGAATGATGAGGAGACATCCATGCTGCAAATACCCTTGGCCGCCTGGCTGGAGACACACCAGGACGGCTCACCGAAAGATGCACGGCAAGACCTTCCCAAGATCAATCCATCCACGGGAGGCAGCCTCAAGCGAGCCCTCGAGTCAGCACAGGCTCACCTATCGGATCGGACCTTGAAATCCTTTCGAGAGGACATTTGGGCGAGGAGCAACTCGCACCCACACAACAGCAGAGTCAAGACTTGGGAGACGATCGCCCGAGCGTGGCACGTGCCCCCATGGCCACTGACCCCGGACCTCATCGAGAAAGTGGGGGCCTCCCTCAAAGCCGGAGGGTACAAATCAGCCAAGCTGTATTTCAGCGCGGCCCGACGCGAACACGTCGTTCGCCATGGCGACATTCCTGTCGAAGTCGAACTCAGCATGAAGGATGCCGTGCGGAGCATCGAACGCGGCTTGGGCCCCTCCAAACTCAAGGACTCGTTCGACCTCACCCTGCTTAGGACACTATGGGACCTGCCCGACTTCAAGCACATCGAGGACGACTACATCATGGTGCTGAGCGGCTCCTGGTTCCTCATGAGAGAAATCGAACTCGCGAACGCTCGAGCCTCTCACGTTCGTTTCGAGCATACCTCCTCCGACCACCCCGTTGTTCACTGGAGCCTTCCCGTGTCAAAGACGGACACCAAGGGGGAGATGATCGAGAGATCCCACGTGTGCTCCTGCTCCGCAGGTACCGAACCTCTGTGCATCGTTCATGCCCTGAGGCGTCGGATCGACAAGATTGAGCTAATGACCGACCGCACACCCCTCTTCCCGGACAGCCGAGGCCACACCAGGTCCAAGGCGGACACCATCAAGGCCATTCGAAACATCATCGGCCTGACAGGTACCGAGACCACACGGGTCGGCCTAGTGGACGATCCCTGGAGCGCTTTGGTGGACACTCACTGAGGGTGGCGGGATCCCAGTTCCTGGCGGCTCATGGAGTAGACACGAACACGATCCTCCTGCTGGGCCGTTGGAGCTCGCATGCCATCCAGAGGTACATTCAGGAGGCATCACTCCTTCGACCGTGCCGACCGCTTGGTCACCCAGAGACCCCCGATGCACGACCCTCGTTCGTGCGGGACACTGACTTGGCGGAGCTCCGCACCAAACCGGAGAGCCTGGCCAAGAGGGTCGCCTCCTTGAACACACCACCGAAATACGTGGTAATTCGGAAGGCCCACCTTCCGGACCCGCGAGAGAACGGGGCCGTTCCGGCCGAATGGCGCACGAAGTGCGGGCGCCCATATGGATTGACCCGCTTCCGGCGCTCGGACCGACTTGACCAGCCATGCAGGCAATGTTTTCCCGACACCCCCGAAGCCGCGGGGGCTTCCTCCGAGACAGAGGTCATGGACCGCCAATCTGACGAGTCCGAAACCTCATCGACAAGCAGCGATTCCGAGTGAAATGCCCTGCACCGCACGGAGCGGCAGTCGGAGCGAGCGTACTTGGCCCTACCGAGCTTTAGACCACCAGGCCCCACTCGCCACTGTCGTGCACTTACCTGGCCATACCAAGCTTTAGACCACCAGGCCCCCGGGGAATCCAACGGTTCCGACACCGCTCGCATCGTGGCCCCCCCCGAGACGAAGACCCCCGAGGTTCCGAGGACCCCGGTGTGACACACAATTCCCGGAGCCGATCCCCTTCATGGATCAGGCGACTTGGGACGACGCCTCGTGGGCGACACCCCCGCTACCGACCTCGATGCGCGCCATGTCGGCCGAACTCGCAGCGCTTGCCACCGCATGCGGCCTCCCGGAGAAGCTGCACGGGTACCTGCGAGCCAAGCAGGTCCTCTCAACCGGACTTCTGGCCGCGATGGCCGATTCATTTCAAGAGATCGATGAGCTACTCTTCAAGCCCCTGCTTGAGGGAGAAGAGATCGAAGGCACAGAATGGAAGATCTCCTCCACCGAAGGCCCGGTGGTGAGGGCTGCACTTCGGTTCCTGTGGAGTCAGTGCAGGGACAAAGGTGGCATGCAAGCCCAAGCCAGTGGCGCCAATAGCCAGCCACTCGGGTTGCCCCCGCCAGCAGGAGGCGGCCAACCGACCGAACCAACGACCAGCAAATCGGCACCCACTGTGCCGCGGGAGATACCTCCCCAAGAACTCCAGAAGCTCGTGAAATTCCACGCTGACACAGAAATTGCCGGACGCCAGCGTGATTTTCCGATGAAAATGCTGGTCGGTGCCGAACGGGTCATGGCCCGAATCTGGCACGAGGCGTGGATCTCCCACCAATTCACGCCGACACAGCTCCATGAGATCCTCGAATCGAGGTGCTTCGACAGTTCGGGCTCTCTCAACTCGCTCAACAAAGAGCTCCGCCAGAAAACTCAGAGCCGATTGGCGGTCGATGAAGAGCACAACACGATAGTGATCGAGGAGGAGCAACAGTGGAGCCCCAAGGGCCTCTTGAGTTTGATGGATGCCCTGGAGGCGATTGAGCTCTGTTGGACCCTCTGCCAATTGGGCCATGAACTCGACATCAAGGCCTACATCAACTGGTGGAAGCAACTCTTCCGATCCCGACCGGGGAAAATCGAGCAGTTGAAGACCTACTGGCTCGATGGGGGTTGGCGGATCGCCCTGCTGATGCGCCAAGGGCACACCTTCGCCCACTGCACCCAGACCCTCATGGACGACACGGGCGCACTCCAGGCCGCCTTGATGAAGGAGCTCACCATTGCGAAGCCCCAGCAGACGAAGCCACAGGCACGGAAGCCACCATCGAAGGGCAAGGGAGGCGGCAAGCACGACCGCCAGGAGTCATCATCATGGACCTCACCTCAGTCCTCACAGGATCGCCCATGGAAGCGAGAGTGGCCGCAATGGAAGTCCAGCGATGCATGGCAGTCCCAGCCGTGGAAGAAATCCTCGGCGGGGAAGCACTCTGGCTAGGGACAGCACGGGGCTCCCCCTGAACCAGAGGGAGTACCCGGGCCGAAGCGGCAGAAAACCATGACCCCACAGCCTGACAGCCGGCTGAGTCGATACATCGCCCCCGGAACACCCACACCACAGCCGACCGCAAAGGCCTGGATCGTCCTCAGTGTCTTCGACGGCTGCGGGATTGCTCACGAGGCCGCCGACATCGTGATTGGCAGTCGCCGCATCTGGCACCGAATCTCCTGGGAGATCGACGAAGCCTGTGTAGCCATCTCGTCCCACCGATGGCCGGACCTCGAGCAGAGGGGTGACATCTTCCAGGATGACCAGGCAGCCCTGAAGGCCCGCATCGACGAGATCGACCCGAACCAGGAGTGCACGATCCTACTCACGGCCGCACCGCCGTGTCCAGACTTCAGTCGAATCCGGCCGGATGCCCCAGGCAGAGACGGCCCCGAGGGCCAGAAGTTCGACAACATGCTCCGCTGGTTCGCGGCCCCGAGCGCTCTCTTCAGGGAGAGGAAGGTCCTACGCATGATCGAAAACGTGATCATGAGCCGCAAAGCGGATCTTCGCCACTTTGAGGCGGAGGTGGGAGTCCCTGCCATCATCATGGACGCCCAGGACTGGGGACTTGTCAAGAGACCCCGAGTCTTTTGGACAGATGCTGGGTCAATTTGGCGAGACAGCCATGGGCTGGAGGATTCGCTGGACGAAGCTCTATGACACAGACCACCTGACGTTCGAATTCCCCCCAGACCCAGTGGCATCCATTCTGCCTCCGAGGTGGAAGCCCCCGAAGTGCCTTGAGGAAGGCAAGACCCTCCCCACCCTGACATCCCCAGCACCAGGCCCTGAGGGACGCCCCGCGCCCAGATCCGTGAAAGGGAAGCTGGACTCTGCCACGTTCCACCGATGGGAACTGTCGGGGCGCCGATTCGCCCCATGGCACTTCCGTGAAGAGAACCTGTTCGAGAACGAGCGGGGAGAGCTCGTGACACCAAGCATCCTGGTGAAAGAGCGCCTCCACCACCTGGAGGACGACTTCACGGCACCAGCCCAGGACGACAGAGAACGACACAAGATCCTGGCGAACAGCTGGCATTTAGGGACTGCCATCCTGGTGATGACCATGCTGACCTGCTTCCCAGCAGCGGAGGCATCGCTCCCGCCGGGGCCGGAGCTGGACCCGCTTGGACACACAGCCATCGACACCCTGGCATCGATCTGGGCTTCAGGACCACTCGCCAGTGGACCACACAAGGGGGAGCAGGGCGAACACTGGATGACCCAGTGCACATGCCTGGACCAACACTGGCAAGCCAGCTGGCTCAGAAGCCACCCGCACGATGTGGCCGACCCACTTGAACCGGGCCTGACACAGACCATCAATTTATGGCACCAATGGCACCAGCGGTTGCCAGCCCTCCGGGCACAGTTGATCGGGGAGATCACGGACATGGCACTGGACCTCGAGGACGATCTCCAGGCCTGGCACAAATTGAGACCCGAAAACATCCGAATCGTTCTCGACCCATCAGGCCCGAACCGAATTCACTTCCCACTACTAGCCCAACTCCTGCACAAGTTTGGGTGGGAGGACCAGAGATTGCTAGCCGAGATCCAAGAAGGGTTTCCAGTGCTGGGCAAGATGAGCCCAGGCCTAGGTTGGGAAAAGAGACAAGACATGAAGTACGCACAGCCGATGCGTCTGTCGTCGTTCATGCAGTTGAACGAAGAGCATGTACTGTCCAGAGTGCACCAGACAAAACCAGATAAGCACTGGCAGTCACTGTTGGAAATCTCGAAAGACATCGAGAAACAGAGAATGGTCGGTCCCCTGACAGCCCCACCGAGCTGGGGCATACGGACAATCCCCTCCATTCATCATCCGAACACACAGGCACTGACGGAGGGGCCATCACACCACGTTCCCACAAGCTTTGCATTCTCGGTCGAGCAGACCGGCGCCGATGGACAGACCAAGGTCCGACGGTGCGAGGACTGGAAACGAAGCAGGCACAACGAGACAATCGAGGGGGAGGACATCCCACCGACACATAGGGTCAATACATTCATTGCAGTCGCCAATGAATTCCATGCAAAAGGATTCAGCACACACCTGTGGGGGGCCGACCACGAGTCAGCATACCGGCAACTACCAGTAGCCGAACCCGATCACACCCACGTGTTGGTCAGAATCCCCGGGGGGTGGACGCTTTGGAAACATAGATGCCTCCTGTTCGGGAGCACAGCTTCGGTGTGGTCGTACACACGCACAGCAGACATGATTTGCTGGCTCTGCCGTGCCCTCACACTTTCACCCATGGTGCACTATGTGGACGACTATGCATCGATCGAACCGGAACAAACGATCCAATCGGGCTTTGACTGTGTACACCACATCATGAAGCACGTGGGCTTCAAATTCAAACCAAGCAAAGACCAACCCCCCGCCCCACGGCAGTTAATCCAAGGTGTCATCATGTCCATCGATGCCACGTCCTTCACCGTTAGCACCGAACTCGGTCGCATGCAGCGCATCACAGCACAACCGCGCGGACACTTGCACAGGGCCACAATGTCCTCGGATGAGGCCAATCGATTGGCCGGAAAGCTCCAATTCATATCCGAGGCTACCATGTCCCAGGCCATACGCTGTTGCATACAGCCACTGTATGCACGCGCAAGTGCACCCATTCAACATGCACAAACCCCACTAGGCAGTGGGATCACAGATGCTTTGCAAACGTTATTGCATGTCTTACCGAGTCTCAAACCAAGAACATTCAACTTTACCAAGACAGCTTGCACAATTGTGTACGCTGATGCATACTTTCAGGCTGGAGATCAAAGACTGTCGGTCCGAACGGCACTGGAGCAACCAGGCTGGACCGCGGAAGCCACCAACCTCATGAAGAACGGCTGGGGCTTTGTGCTTCGCCGACCCGACGGTCAGTGTCATTATGCCCATGGCGAGATCCCTGGACGGCTCCTTGGACGGCTCACCACCCGGAGGGCATTCATTTATGCCTTGGAAATCATTGCCCAACTCCTGCGCCTCATTGTCGGCATGCCCATGATGGAAGAGATGAGCATTTGCTTCATTGATAACGAGCCGGGCAAATTTGCGCTCCAGCGAGGATTCGGCAAGGACACCAAGGTGAACCGCCTCTTGGGACTCCTGTGGAGCTTCCTGAACAAGTGCGACCACCAGCCCTACTGGGAAAGAGTCACCTCGCAGGCGAACATAGCCGACGCAGTCAGTCGGGGGGACATGTCCATGGCCGAACGACTCGGCTGGAAGAGAATGGAAACCTCGTGGGACGACCTTTACCACATCTTCGTCGACGCCACCGACTCCATGGAGCAAGCTATGAGCCTGGGAGCTGCGCTGGCCACGTCTTTTGGCCGGGTGCCACGGGGTCAGGCGGCCAACATGGCAGAAGAACGCCTGACTTGCGACGCTGCTGTGGCACCAACCCCAAAAGGAGCGCAGCGGCCGAGGTAGGCTCAGGGCAGAGCATAGCATGTGTCGAGTAGCACAAAGCAATTGTGCGAAGTGACACAGAGCTAGCGTCGACCGAAGGTCGGGCTCAAGTTTTTTTTTTTCACCTGAGACTTGCTAGCAGCACCAAGCAGGCAGAAGAACGCCTGACTTGCGACGCTGCTGTGGCACCAACCCCAAAAGGAGCGCAGCGGCCGAGGTAGGCTCAGGGCAGAGCATAGCATGTGTCGTAGTGTTTTTGTGTGAATAATGTTCAGCACTTTTTGGCATGAGCTGTCAGTTCTTTTGTAGCCAACGAAGCTTCAGAGAAGCACGAGGATCGACATATTGATTTAAGCGAACACCCTGATGATGTTCACAGAAATCCTTGAATCACTCACAAAACGTCACACCCGGCACAAAGACAATACACCATATATCCCCTACCTTCCCTTGGAACATGAAAAGAGTTCGGTGAACCTGCTGTTGCAGTCTATATCATCTAAAATCCTGAGTAAAACCATGGTTCTTCGGTCCAAACAGGGTGTCCCACCCGACGGTGTCCGCCTCGGGTCATGGCTTCTCCCGCCTGCCGGGGGCAGGCCGACGACGGTGCGGTGTCCGCGCGCCACACCCATGACGCAGAGGGAATCGGTGCCGACCCTCCGACCCTCCGACAGTCGGAGAAGTCAGTGGAACAGTCATGCCCAAACGCATCCAAGTCTCGCGTGCTTTGGGGTTGGGGGCAATAGGATTGGTTGGTGTTGGTGTGGTGGTGTTGTTCCTTTCTTCGCCAGTTGAGAACGTCTCTTGAGACACCCACCCACGGACATGGTATGAAAACGGACATGGCGGAACCTTCCGTCTTCCGGCGGTCAGCTGTCCCGGCGGAAGCCATCGGAACCCGGACGAGGACGGTACCCCAGACGCTCCATGGGACTGCTATATATGCCGATCAGGCCAGGGGTGGTGGTTTGGGAGGTCTGTTTGGGGCGGCATATATAGCAGTCCCATGGAGTGTCTGGGGTAAAAAAAAACGCCCGTGGAGCGGTTTGTCGGTCGGTGCGGCCGTTGTGATCGTTTTCCGGACACGACCGACACGACCGAAAACACCAAATCGGCTGGAAGAAGTGAGAGGAGACCTACACCCCCAAAGCCGAGCGTCTTGGCTCGCCGGTTTTTGGGGGGGGCCAGCCAGTGTGATATGGAACTTCATACGTACCAGGCTATTCATAGACACCCCCCCCCTGTGGTTCCGGGTCCTGGTAGATGGGCCCTGGCGTTTGGACCGCCCAAAAGACGTGGCTTGTTCGGGAAAAAACGGTGCTGTTGGGTGAAGCCGTGGGCAATTCAAGGAATCATCGGTAACATACTTTGATGTAGACTCTTGACCCGTAGCTTCCGCCCCCCCGATTTGGAGGGTTAAAACCCCTTCTTGGCAGGTGTGACGGATCATTTGGGGTCGCTGTGCATGGTGAGGCTCGCCTCTCATGACTCCACGTACCATGAAGCTCCTGTGCATGGTGAGGAGCATGAAAACATGATGATGAGACCCTAAAGAATCTGCTCAACAAGCCGTGACCTGAACTTCGCCTGACCAAACATGGGTGACGTCTTGAACTACGCATGACGTCTCGGACTCTGGCAGTCCGAGCGGAGGGGGGTTCCTGCACCGGACTGCAGCGAGCGGGGGTTCCCAAAGTGGGGGGAGCCGTTTCTTTTTTTCGGTGGACCAGCTTCGTTGCTCAATGGATGGCGAACCAAACCCGCGCGTGTTGTTGTCTGCCCGCGAAGCAAAACGCTTTGACTTCCGTGGATGGAACCCGATGGAACGCCTCGACATAAGAGATAGAGTGAAAACAGATCGCCCTAATATATACAAGTCCAGCTCGACGACTTTTTGGGACCGCCAAAGTCAAGAAATTCCTAGACTCGGATCATCGTCGACTGTCGACTTTCAGGGATATATCGGTCTTTCGGGTCTTTCTTTCCAAAGAACAGGTCTGTTTCAGATTCCGGAAGTGCCTTCGTTTTTGGAGGGTAGGGTCTGACAGATCAGGGTCCCACGCACATGACATGACTTGCCGAAAATCACATGACATGTTTTATTGTTGGATGGAAGGCACCGGCACCATTGAATGGATGTTGGATGTTTGCAGTAAAAGCACGACTGGCACGACTGGTTGTGTGGCAAGTTGTGTGCCAAGGGGTCAGGTCCAAGATGTCCAAGCTGTCTTTCCGGAGGAACAGTGCTGTCCTTGGTGTCATAGTAGATGGTCCATGCTTCATGTTACCCTCTGACCATCTCTGACACATGAAAGTCTCAGTGGCTTCACTGACCTACTCTATGGGTGTATCGGTGCATGAGGCTGCTACTCATCCTTTCCTTTGAAACTAAGGATGTGCAATCAAACAAATCAGCCAAGACGCTCAGCACGTCCTGTTTCTTGAGCCAAAGCATCGATCCGCACTTGTGATTTGTGCGTGTCATCCTAAAAGCATGGAGAGGTGCTTGAACATCCACACTCCCCTGCCTGCGCTGCAGGCATTCCCCGTGGACAGGTTTTTTCGTCCATCCACAAAAAGGGTTCAAGGTGCTTCATACACCATAATTGAAAGCTATCCTCAGAATCTGGATCTTCATCCGCCGAGCCGCAAGCTGCCATCACCCTTGTCGACACCCCCATCCACAGCGGCAGCGAGCCCACTTCAGCAGGCAGCAAACCTTCATCTCTTAGAGAGATCTGCCAAGCTTCCTCATTCACGTCTCTTTGATGGTCTCCCTCATGTGGCAGCTGCGGCAGTGGAAGCCTTTGATCCTCTCTCATCACCTCCCCCCGCCGCTCAAAGCTCTGCATTCGAGCTGTGTAGCCCAGGCTCAGCGTTCGCTCAGCCGCGTCTTGGCCAGGCCTCAAAGCCGCTGATGACCTGGTAGCCGAAGAACTTGACGTTATAGTGTCGTCCGTTCCCGGTTTCACATAGCGCACCTCCCGAATAAGCTCGGGTTCTGGAGGTGTGGATTCCTGAGTTGATGTGGCCTGACCAGTTGAGGAGGTCTGTGCCGTTGAAGAAGATCTTGATGATCCACTCACCATTGCCTTTGGCATACAAGGGGGCCCGGTCGATCCGCTGGTCACTGTAGACGATGGACCGCTGGTTCGAGGGTTGGAACTCTGGGAGGTCAAGGTCTCCTGAGTGGCCCCAGTGCCTGCTGGCTGCAGATCTCGAAAAACCGAGTAGCCCACCCAGACTTCATCCTGGAGAACCGCGGGGTTGTGCCCATCCTCCAATCGCCTTGGTGTAGATGTCGTTCACCATGGATCCAAAACAATATGGTCCGATGAGATTCCACTTGCATCCCATCGAACGGAGTCATCCGATGGATCGGATGGAATGGTCGCTTCCTTGGCTTCACATGGTGCCTCACCCACCAGCCATCCTGTAGCCTCGCCCAGCGATCTCTTAGTAGGAGGCCTTTGCTGCGGCAGCACTGGTCGGAATGCCGCTAACCGCAGCTGGCAGCTTCCATGGCTTTCAACGTGCGCGCCGCCCCGGGAGCCCTGCGGGCTAAGTGTTCTTGCCTGGCTTGCAGGCAATTGGAAAATGCCATCCGGTTCGTTTTCCCTGGATGGATCCTGACGGCCCTTAGCTCTTTTTCTTTTCTTCTCATCTTCATGGAAAATGCCATCCGGTTCGTGTTCCCTGGATGGATCTTGACGGCCAGTGGCTCCTTTTTCTTTCTTTTCAAACATCCTAGAGAGCTTGACCACACCAGCCGCCAAACCCAACAAGCGAGCAATCCTACCAAGCATGTCCAGCAGCTTTCAACCCCATGAACTCATAGAAGGCTCGCCATGCTCTTGGCTGTGTGATCACCTTGGTGAGCAAGTCTGAAGCTAGCCTCGAGCCCGGAAGGTGGCGGACTTTCCACATGCCCATGCTCACCCGCTCGCGAAGCACGAAACACCTCAGTTTCAAATGGCGTGTGCGCCATGCCCCGTCGGGGGCTTGAAGAATCTTCAAACCCGTTTGGCTGTCGCCGTAGAGCCCCCCAATCTCATTGCTGAGTGCCCCCTGCTCCAAAATGTTGATCAACACACTGGCGGATTCGCCCATCACCACCCCGTCCAGGTACCCGCAGATCTCCGACTCCGAGCTCGAAAGGGTCGCCAAGGGCTGTCGCTTTGATTCCCATTGAATGGGAGCCCCACCATATAACACAATCACCCCCTGTTTGCCTCGGCAACCCAAAGGAGCAAAGGAGGAATCGCAGAAGACCTCCAACCGAGTCATAGACCTGTGGAAGGCGAGGTCCGAGCTCTCTTCCAAACCTTGGGGACATTGACCATACCTCAACACCATATTGGAGGTTGCAGTGATATAGCCCAAAACACGCGGCCCATATTCACAAACTCGAGCTGGATACTTACTGACTCCTCTCCCAATCCAAGCCACCGCAAAGGCCAGATCAGGCCCGCCAACCCGAACTTCCTTGGCTCCATTGGATGATTTGCTTGGCAGCCTGGACCACTGAGGCTCTTTGCACCCACCCTATCATGTCTCAAGCAGTGGTTCTGGTCGACAACCAGAGCACTTCACCGACTAAGCCCTGAGCTGCTTTGATCTGCTCCGGCGTTGGAGAAGGTTCATGGTCTCACAAAGATTGCCAGGAAGTGGTGTGGACCTCAAGGAAGCGGGCTCATGGCGGCTCAACAAATCCAATGTATATGCTTCCTGCCAATTATCAACTCATTTGTGAGACCATCCCAGGACAGTTCAAAGCCGCAATACTTCATTCACCTTCGTGGCCCACGAACTCCGGCTCCGAGCATTTCCACTCTTGAGTGATGCGCGGCAACACGGCCCGGACAACATCATCCGGCCCAACCGGCAGCAAGTCGTCAACATACACAGAATACACAGCGACATATAGCCCACCGCCTTTTCTTTTCCATCAGCTTGAGTGGCAATGACTTGCCACAAGTTTCCTTCTGGAGTGGGTCGTAGTTCATGCTGTGGACCATTGAGCTCCCACTTGAACTGCTGCAGCATAGTGTCCCTGTAGACCCTCCAATCCGCTGGACTGGCTTTGTCGATGATCCATCTTTCGTTCTCCTTTACGATGCCAGCTTCAACAAGTATACCCGTGGCGGGATCGCCACCAAGAGAGACTCCTTGGCCCGTTGACGAGGAGCAAGAAGGAACGCTGTGTTCACGTCCACCGATCCCAAAGTCCAGCCCTCATGAGCCATTTTCCGAAAGAGGCATCGCGTTCCGGCTCTTGAGATCTCTTGTTGGCCTGTTCCGGGTCGGCCAGTTCCACTCTATTTCCACATGACCATGCGAGCCCGAAGTTTTCCGAACAGAGCTTTCACCGTGGGGACGACCATGGCAGGCGCCACTTCCATCTCAGCGTAGTTGGGGCGGTTCTTCAAACCCTCCGTTGTTGTGGGTCTCAAAGCCTTGGTGTTGGAGGTCAGCGAAAGGTACTCATCAGTCAAGCGCTCCTTCCACTTCTCCAGCTCACGCCGCACTTGTTGGAGAGGAACTGTATAAGTTTGAAGCACTGCGCTTGGTCTGGAGAAAGTGCAACACCTGTGGTGGTCTCATCATTCATTGCTGCGATCTTGGACCATCGTGCTTCTTCCAGCATTCGGTGCTGCTCTTCCAGGACCACTTCCCTTGAAAACACCATAGCTTCCAACCAATGGAGCCATTCTCCATGTTCCCGTTGAGTTCCTCACTCCACAACCTCTTCAATGACCAGTGCTC